AAATATGATTTGAAAATTTCGCTTTTTTGTAATTGTCAATTAAACCAGATTCGTTGATATCCGGTATGAACTATATTGCAAAAATTCTTGTATTGAAATCTAATTTCCATTAGCTTTCACTTTGAATTTCAGATCTAAACCTCTGATAAGTTATTTGATTGACTTTGTAGATTATGAATGTAATTCATCGTTATTTCATTTACGAAAAAGGAAGAAAATTCACTTAATAGTTTCGTATTACATACAGCGCATCAAGTTTTTAAATTTTTAAAAGGACTCACGTAATTTATTTTTTATACTCCATAGTATACATAGCTACATAATACTCCTTATAATGATATATACTTTCGAATTAACTGGTTAAATTCAAATATTTTCATTTGATCGGCTTACTCAAATACTAATAACTTAATTATATTTATTTAATGATAACAAGTTAAACATAACTTTTTTCTATTGTTCTGCCTTCGACCAATTAGAATTTCTAATACATTTTTTTGCCAAATAGAAATTTTTTCTTTTTTTTTTTAAACAAACAATAAGATGGGATTCACTCACACATTTAAATGATAATGCACAGTATTGAGTACTTACTCATACTGCGAAGGTTACGTGCAAGAAAATGTCACGACACTGAGGTCATGCGTATAGGAGCGATGTCATGAATGCGACTTGTAAGCATTTAACCCATTTATTGTTGTCACGCTGATAAATTGTTTTAATCATTAAGCAAAATAACATGAAAAATCCATGAGAATTTTTAACAAATTAACAATTACAAAATAAAGCGAAAAAAGAGAAAATTAACACAATGCAGCGGTTCTAAAGTACAACCATTTAAAATAGCACATATGTAATCCTTGATAAAGATTTATGAAACTTTAAAGAAACGATTCAATTGACGAAAAAAATGGCTTAGTCAATAATGAATCGATTAATAAAAGCGTCGTTAGTAATAAAATGTTATATTGTACACCTTAAACATTATATTCTTTATTTTTGTTCTGACATACTTGGAGGGAAACAAAATCTTGATTAAAAATCATATTACCTCTAATTGTTAAACTTACACACCGTTATTAGAAAAAAAAACCTGTCACACACAAATATACTACTGCTAAACAAATTTTATACTGTTCTTTTTTTTCATACGAAGGATAAAAATCTATAACCCGTAATTTATCCGTAATTAATCGGTTAAAAAAAAAAAAAAAAAAAAAAAAGAGAGAGAAGAAAATGAAACTTACGTTACTAAATGAAACATGTGGTATAGGCGGTGCACAGTCTTCAGCAGTAAAAAAGAAAAGGTAATCGTGCTTGTAACTGAAGTACCATCGTCTGAACAAGGGATGCGTGCAGGCTGAGCTCACCACAAGGATAGAGGTGCATTTGTATTCTTCTGATATAAACAAAATTCTTTTATAACTTTTTAATTTCGCATCAGCGCTGAAACTCCTTTATCCTGGTCGCTCCTTGCGCAATATGCAAGCACCCCGAAGTAGGATTCTTTCTATCTTCTATTTATAATCAGCCAGAACAAAAACAAACTATTTAAACGGCAAATAACACATAGACTACATAAAGCACAATTACAGTATATTTCACAAATTGTTTAAACATTCATATATAATTATACGAATCTTCGCATATGACGGAAAGGCGATTTGATCAATTAGGGAAAGATTATTTCGTAAAAACAATGTATTTTTTTTTTTTTTCTTTTCGTTTAAGGACAGGAAAAACATTAGGAGATTTAAGGGCTTGCAAAAATGGTTTTATCTGGCAGATTGCCATGCCAGTTTGGATTGCTGGCTTAGAAATTGCGAGGCCTATCTCTCTTTACTGCGAGAGGTTCTTTCCTAATATTTTGTTTTATTCCACGTTATTTTTCCATCTTTTGTTCTTTTTTTTTTTTTTTTTTATCTGCATTTCCCGCCACGATCGATGCATAATTTCGGAATGTTGACAATATTCTAATTTTACCTTATCAAGGTGCAATAAATAAATGATATCTCTTTTACACTGAGATATATACACGGTTGACTGACTGTTAGTTTCATTCGCGAACAGGTGAAGGAGGGTGTAGTTGTTGCACCTGCCGATAGCCAAGCAGTGAGACAACCATTTTGTATAGTTTTGTTTTTACTTTTTTTTTCTCGACGTATACCACTGAAAACTTAAAAAAATAGAAACAAACTTTTGCAACTAGAAACAGTAAGTCAATTGCACCGTCAGTTACCACTCACTGCCTTTTCTTTTGTTCATGTCAACTGATGGGCCGATGCGACATTTGTAATGTAGTGGACAGAGCAACATTCTCTCATCTATTGATCACATTTTTATCATCGTATTTATATAATGTAATGTACAATATGCAGCTACATTATGATAATCAGTATGTCCAACGCATTCAAACTGATAACACCATGGGTACTTCACTTTTTTGTTCTTAAATTTTTTTTTTTGTTTTCAAAGATATTCAAATTATTAATTAATCAATATATATTGTATGTTTCAGAGTTAGGTACTTTAATACAATTACTTCCAAGTTTTCCACCTTTCTTGTGGTATCTCTGTGTAAAAAGTGTAACTATAATGCTAATATAATAATAATTATAATAATAAGTTGCACAAGGCAATAGTCCTGTGTGGCCGTTCGAATGTGTTTGCGGCCGTTTCTCCACTCCCCTCCCCCCAATAACTTCCTGGCACAACGACAACTTTCGATAATCTCTCCACCCTCCACTGAAGATCCAAAAGAACTCGCAGTTTGCACTTAGTGTTACCTCTTTTTATATTATTACTCATTCATGGGGGGACAGGTGTGTAGCTGATTTTTTTATGATGTTAATATAGCAACTGAATGTTGACAGGATAACGTTCCAATTAGCGATTGGCACTTTTGAGCTGATTGGAGAGCCAATCGAGGCCCTCGTAAAGTCCGTCTCCACTTGTGGCACACGTTGCTTGAATGTACCAATTACGATTGCGTAAAGAGTGCAGGCCCAACTTATCGGTAATCTCCGCTGCATTCATTGCATTTGGGAGATCCTAAAATTGAAAGTATTCTGATGTGTCTACTTTTAAATGCATTCATTGTTGCGTTAGTTGATTTCTCTTTGGCTTAGTTATTAACAATTCTCCTGGCATCCTTTCATTCAATGTATATAGTGTATTTTGTTTGCACAATTAGTATTGTATCTCATGAATCAAAGAATGTTTTGTGTATTAATATATCCATAAATATACTTACTTGTTTGTTAGCAAATATAAGAAGTACAGCATCTCTAAGTTCATCTTCTGCTAACATCCTCATTAGTTCTTCGCGTGCCTCGCCAATACGTTCCCTGTCATTACTGTCGACGACAAATATCAGTCCCTGAAAGTAAATTTAATTTATAGAAATAGCTGTATTTGGATGTCCTTTATATGCTAAATAAATTAACATTACAATAGAATTATAATAAAAACGACAATAATTATTAAGGAAAAGAAGAATAATGTTAAGAAAAGAGTTATAAAATTTTAATAACATTAAGAAAAATAATGAAATCAGTAAGTTGCATACTTGTGTATTTTGAAAGTAATGTCGCCACAGAGGTCTGATTTTGTCTTGGCCACCCACATCCCATACAGTAAAACTTATATTCTTGTATTCAACTGTTTCTACATTGAAACCTAAAATTTATAATGTAAAATCAGTAAAATCCATCACTGAATACTCAATACTCCTTCTCTGTGTTTTCCAAAAAAGAAAACAAAATTGAAATAATTTTAAAACAAGAACTATGCATTTGCAATATATTCCTGTTTAATTACAATTAGAAAGAAACTATATGTTTACCTATAGTGGGAATTGTAGTGACAATTTCCCCTAATTTTAATTTGTACAGAATTGTGGTTTTACCAGCTGCATCAAGACCCACCATCAAAATCCTCATTTCTTTTTTGCCAAATAGGCCTTTGAATAAGGTTGCAAACATATTCCCCATGGTTACTGCTGATTATGTAAATACCTAAAACAAATAATAATTTACATTAAAATTAACTTGTGAACACTATAAAATTCATTTTAGATAATGTATTTAAAATACATTTTAATAGTATCTAAAATTACAACGTGATTCACATCAATATTTCTGCTATTTGTGACACGATGTAAATATGGTTCTTTGTTTCATTTATTTAAACTATTTTACAATTTCTACAAAAATTAACCTAGATTATAATTAAAAATATGTATCATGACTTATGTAAGAAAAAAAAAACACTAAAAAATGACTATAAGGGCAAGAGCATCATCTGCAAAAATACAGAAAGCACAAAGCTTATAGTTATGAAACTATAACCTTACCATAACTTTATTATCACAAATTTCTTATATAAAATCGGTTCAGTGAAATGTAATTATGCCAGACATATGCAACAATACAATGTACAATACAGTTTACGAACAATAATATATCAGAATTAAAATCATACCACAGTGGAAAAAAAAGTAATAATTTCGACAGAACAAACGGCAAAAGAAACAATAATCGATCGAAGATAACAATTTTCAAGAGGTTTATATGAGTGAGCAAAAGGAACACGTTTCGTGAACGGAAAAAACTGAAATTACGTAGACGGAGCCAACGAACAGAAACATGCGTAAAGTACTGATACTCTGACACAAAGGCTAAAGAGCTAACCTGCACATATATATGAAACAAACAATAAGAAAAATCTAACAAACGTCTTAAATCGTGGATTTCAGTTTAACTAACGAAAAAAATGTGTAGAAGCATGCATGAGATGCTCACGCTGCCCGCTATTGATTCTCATTTTAATACATCGCTATGATTATCGAACTAGCATACCGTTAAGGATCACTCTAGAGCGTTTTGCTGGTGATCTATGCACTTTTAAAACGTGATCGGCTACCTAAAACGCCAATACCCAAGTATTGCGAGCAAGGCGGAAGATATTGTGCGGTTTGCGAAGCCACTGCGTACACCCGGTTGTCTGTCACCTTCGACCTACTCCCCAGCAAATCGTCAAAGGTTCCCCGCTCAAACTTCCATTATTTATAAACGTTGTCTGATTATTGAGAGTTTCCCGTAATTTCACGTTGTCCGTATAAGCCACTTACGTTACTTACGTTTCAGTAAAAAAGATTATTTTCACGAGAAACGATAAAACATAAAACCAACACTCTCGAAAAGTACCGTATGTCAAAATGGCGGACGTGGAAAGGATTCATGCCTTATGCCACGTATAGGGCCCTCAAAATTCTCCGATTGGCTACGCCAGTCACGTGACATGGAAGATCTTCAATCATTTGCGTTTACTTCGGTAGGTGTCGACACCAATTGGAACAGTGCTAAAGGGACTCTCAAACGATCAATATATATTGTCAATATTTCACTATTATCTAGATTATTAAATGTTTTAAGGGACATATCGATTGATTATTAATATATAAAATATCTATAAGACGATTTGATGAAATCAAAAATATTTTTAATATTGACGAAATATTGACAATAAATATTGATCTGAGAACCATTACTAACAGTACTTCAGTTGGTATCGAGGAAAGCTGCGGTGAATAGGGGTGCTAATTTGTTTTTAATTTATACTGTATGTTATTTAATTTTACTAAGTTAGCACTGGTAACTTAGGAACGTTAGATTCTGTTGAAGAGTTGTCATAAGTTTTCCAAGTAGTATTATATATTAATTTAATTCTTTGACATACATTTTTGATGATTAACTATATTAGTAGATTTATAATTGCTTTGTTTGTTCATACACCTGGAGCATGATATTTTTCATCTAATGATCCTTCTCCGTAAATTTCACATTCTTCTGTGTTAGAAGGGATAGCAGTTATGATTTCTAATGTTTCAGCTGATTGCCCAGGTTTTCTGTACACAAAACAATAAATAAATGTAATAATTGATGTAGATAGTAATCAGATAGGTGTTTAATTAATTTACTTTGGTTGGAAGGAAACTGTGAGCATCAAAGAGCTGTTTTTACCATTTAGATAGCTTGATAATATTCCTTCTTTTTGATCAAGTATAAAATCATTGTTCTTGAACTTTTGATTGACTTTAATGTACTGACTGCATACTGTTTAAAGATCAATTAAATCACTGTGTTAATATGAAAAGCAATTTATATGGTTATTAATAAATTATAAAAATATAGCTATACCTGATAAGTTTTTAATGACTATCATTAGTTTTTTAGTATCACCTATGTAAACCAGACCAAAGTTCAATGCATACGATGATAATTTTAATATTGGTAACCAGACTTGCAAAAATAATTCTATCTTCTGAAATTAATTGAATTTAATAAAAAATCATGTTTTATATAATTAAAAGATAATAAAAATTGAAACCTGATAACGTTTATCGGTGTGTATGATTTGCAGCGGTTGTGTTAGCGTAATTACCGAATCATACAAATCTTGACATTTATGCGTATGAATTATTGTTTCAATTAATTCTGCATCCACGATACACATTATTTTTACCTGTAAAAGTAATGTTGTTTAGAGTTTTTACTTGTAATAAGAGAAAGATAGATTACTTGGGCACATCCTTTGCTACTTATACATATAGTCCCTGTAAATTTGCATGGATCGGTTTCTGCATAAATTGCAACAGATTTGATATGAAATGGATCAGATGTTTCCAACATGACTTCTATGGTTTCAGGTGCACAATTATGTAAGAAGAATGTTTGAACCAATCTAAATTTAAAAGCATTTAATTGATTATTCTCTGATAGAATATCTTTTTAATGAAAATAATTGAATTTGTGTACTCTAATTTTTTTGTTTTGCTTTGCATTACATCATGGGCACAGCACTTAAATATTCTGTTTGCTTTAGGAATACTAAAAGTCACTCTTGGCTGGATAATATCTGCTGTAATATCAATTTCTACAGGGGGAAAATAAATTCCATCTTGTCTAAAATAACAATTATCTCTATACCTATAACATGATAAAACACTTTATAAAACATTTCAACTTTTACTGGTTTATGATATTAATTGAATATATGTACAAACTTATCGCTTGGAGCAATTCTTAGAAATCCCAGAATCTTAGAAAGGAATTTCTCTTCATAGATCTTTTTCACTTTATTGTTATATTTGTCAGGTTGTATACTGATTCTTAGGAAAGCAGTATCATTGGGCAAAATAAACATTTCTCTTGGAGCAACCTTAAGGAACATTAAAATATTTCCTGATTGTTTATACTTCCAAATATTTTTCTTAGTACTCTATTACAATCCATGTTTCTTGTTTCCTTACTGTACAAGCTATTGTATCAACAGGACCATAATAAGGGAGTATTGAAATTCTGAATTCAGTGTCTTCTACATCTTCAGTAGTGTTATGACTACTTATATCCGAATCTGCAGTTTTTTTGTCTTCTAAAGTATCTTCACTGGTATATTCTACTGAAATTTCAGTAGTTTGTAAAGATTCACCATCTGATTTCCAAGACGTGGCCATGTAAGAGGACCCTCTAAATCATTTTTTTAAAATAGTATCATGTATTATTACCAAATAAAAACACTTTGTTCCTTGTATGTTATGAATAAACATTTACGAATGAGTATGTGCTGTTATATCAGAACTGATACTGGATCCAGTAGAGTTACGTTCATTTAGATTTTCTGTTGATGAATAAAATTTCACATGTTCAGTTTCACTAGCACTTTTTGACTTGCTAGCCCTCAATTTTGATGCCAACTTATCAGTAAATAAAGTACAGACATTAACTGTAACGTTAAAAGGCATGCTTTCTGTGACTGATGTGATTAGAAATGAATGCCAATCAATAGCTATGGGTACCACACTAGTATTCCTTAATACTATTTTCCTTTCCTGTAGACGTATACCTTTAATTGTTGTTCCATATCTACAATTAATTAATTCACTTGAAACCACAAGCACATTAATGTATTAGATAGAAGCAACAAATAGATTTTCTAACATACTTAAGGACAGGTACTTTTGATTGATTTCTATCCGAAATAGACACCCATATGGGTGACCCAACAATCTGTACACATATATCTAACGTGTACAATGGTAACCCTGTTATATTTATCTCCAATTTATCAACATAAATACCCCAAGTATCACCAAAAGCATAGATATCCACCGGTACAGCCTCGAAAGGTCCAATATTTGAACTTAAAGGGTCAACATAAATCACAACCCCTGAGTTTGGTTGTTTCACTCGGTACATTATTTCCTCTGTAGAATAAAATGTTTTGGGGAATGTTAATTTTAAATAAAATAAAATAAAGTCCTACCAATCAGGTCCTTTTCTTGACAATGAACTCGCTTGTAGATAGACTTAATACGATCCTCCAGTGATATCCCTTCACAGGAACACATAACAGGATAGAAATTTTTTAAACGTAGTCGAAAATTTGTTGGAATGGATGTCTCGTTTTTTATGATGAACGTTTTCTTTTCCACTGAAAATTTATAATATATTCCATTCCATTTTGATATTACAATGGTCTTGTACAACTTAGAAGTACCCGTCCTCAAAGGTAGATTCAAAAATTCCATTACAGTTGGTTGCTGAGTGAACGGCAGAGTTATTTCGAAAAAAGGAACAATATCTTCACAGGAAACGATCTTCTCCTGCGAATATTTCCCATTTCCTGTTGCCAACTTACTCAACTAGGATCGAATGAATTTCTAAATTACGGTAAATTCATTGTTAAATCCACTAATGTAGTACTTGAATGATCTCTGAAGTACGGGTACTCAAGGTAGATTGCTCTCCTGATTCTTCAGCCACTTCGCTGATCGAAGGACCTGCAGAAGCGTCTTTGAGAACATCTCCTTGATCCAAATTCGCGTTCATTAATTCCTGCTCTTCTCTTGCTCTATATTTATCCAACAATTTCTGCAAAGTTGCAAAATATGATCTAATAGTAGTATAATGCAAGTTTGCAAAAGTGAACCTTCAACTAAAAATTGCAATTACACTTACCATGCCTTTTTTACTTTTTCCTGCTAAATCCAAAGCAAGTTGAAGGCTATTCACGCGCCACTCTATTCGAACAAAATTGTTCTTCAATTCCACAGGCTGTTTGTCACTTAATGGGAAGTAAAATGTAACATAAAGTGGCTCAATGTTACATTCAATTCCCAGCATTATGATTTTTTGTGAATTTCCAATGAAACAGAGCATGTGTAAAGACTGCACGATCCCCTGAAAATTGATACTCTTTAAACAAATCTTATTACGTTTCCTGTAATTAAAAATGCATCACAATACATGATAAATTATTAAGAAGCATTTAGATGCTTGACCTCTTTCAGGGGCATAAGAGTGATCTTCATTTTCTCTGTGGTTCTACCTGATAGTTCTCCTTTTTCAGGGCAAATACAGATCTTCATTTTCTCTGCATCTTCACCACCCACATCACCCCATGAATAATTTAACGAATGATCGGAGAGATTCTTGACTGTCAGTACACAAGTCTCCTCGATACCAATGTATAAAGTTCTGGGATGTATAATATTTTCAATATTTATAATAATTTTAAGATGTCATACAATTACATACCTTGTAGGTCTAATGATACCCATGGTTATTTTACGTTCCCACAAAAGTGGCTTGAATTGTTTTAGATTCATAATGTCGTAATGTGAAAACAACTCGTCTATTAACTATATAATTAATTTGATGAGTGGAGTAAAATTGAAAAAGGGACAAGTTCCTTACCAGTAAATTCGTAGATTTATATTCTTCTCCTTCAGTTCTCATGTCTTCTCCTTCAGTTTCCTCTTGTTGATCTTTTATGAAATCGTTATAGTCCGATATTTTTCCAGCAAGCAGTTCCACTATTTCATCGAAGGCTTGATCACTAGATTAAAAAAAAAAAAAAAAATGAATTATGTACATAAAATATTGATTATGTTATAATAGATGCACCTTTTAATTTGATCATCCGTTGTATATTGCAACCATACCTCCAAATCAGCGACCCAAACATCTACAGACTGATGATATTGTTGATGTATAGAATTATTAGTAAATTAATTACTTAGGTACTTAGTTACTCATACATTTAAACAATCGCGTTGTTTGTTAGTACACTGCTTAACACGTGACTGTGTCTTGTCGCAAATAGCCGCTTCAGGTATATCTTCTACGTACAATCTAAAAGTTTCCATCAAAGTTTTAATTCTATCATTTAAAAATGTTCACCATCTACTCACTGTAAAACGGCGAGATAAAGGGCTGGCTGCAAATTACTATATTCTGCAATTATATTGAAATGATGCGTGGAACTTGGAGCAAATATACCATGATCAGGTCGAATGAGAAGAAATTCCAGAGGGAAGTGTTTGTGCTGGTTCATTTTGTTTTCGTCGGTTTGGATGTCTCGTTTCTCCCATTTGAAGTACATACTTATTTCACTGTGAATGAAACAATTAAGAAGATAAATTGGCCTTTGTATTTTCTTAATTTACCTCGTATTAGTCACGTAAATCGTGCATTGACCAAACATGTTTGGAGCACTTGCATTTATCTGTACACAGTAGTTTGCTTGCTTATCTACACTTTTCTTAGCTATTTTGTCCTTTTTTAATTTCTGTAATTTAATTATAATAATTATTATAATTTGATTACAATAACACACGCTAATATTTTTGCCAGATAATAATTATTGAAAAGAAGAGTAATAGATACTTTACTAATCTGAATGAAAGACGGTTCGTATATTACACCATCTCCAATTATTTCTGTGGCTAGTATAGTACCATTGTTACAAAGTATGTACACTTTGTCCACCTAACAATAACACGTTAAAATCAACGAACAAGTTAAATAAAATAGAATGATTCTGAATAATTACATGAACGCCATAAAAGTCTGGTAAAAAGGATATATGTAAAATCATCTCTTCTTGTGACTTCAGTATAAAATATGCTGGCCATACATTGAAGCGTGATAATTTTAACACATTTGTGTCCGTGATATCCTAACAAAAGAACGAATAAAAATGAAGAAGAAAAACATTGATGGGCGTAGGAAAGATCATACTTGAATGTGCATAGTAGCCCAATCAATCTCACTCATCGCGAAAAATCTACCGTCTCCTCCAACGTTCTTGAATTTGATCGGTACATGTACTGTCTCTCCCACAAAGCCTATTTTACAGTCGAAGGTCATGCCTGCAAATTTATTGTGAATGGTATCCCAACTACGAACGCTGTATGAGACGCTGTCTTCACTAGACTGCAACATACCAACGATGGATAGTTGTTAGCTTTCACAAAAGTTTAGAGTTTAACTTAACAAGTACATTTACGCTATCTTCTGAGGATGATGTTTCTGGACGCCAAGCCTGGACTAAGTACTTTGCATTGAATTCCAGAATATCAAGAGACTTCTTTGACGGTGAACAGGTCCCTATGGAATTATGAATAAAAATGATGTTAGGATTAAACAACACTTGACATTTGTGTTAAAGCTAACGAATCGTTTTACCTAATAAAATAGGAGGTTCTCTATATGCATGTAACCTGATGATCAACGATTTTCCATGCTCCACCTTCATCACCAGTACCTCTTCCGGTTCGTCGACGTCGGTGCAGCGGAAGAAAACGATCAATTGGAAGTGCATTCCCGGAGGGACGATGTTCCTGTTACTCTCGAGACGTTTTATTACCACATTAAAGTTGGAGTTACACGGTCTTGGTTCGATTTGAAATTTTGCTGGCGATGTGCTGACATTTTGCAACGTGATTGTTTTCTTAAATAACAATTTTAATTAATGAAACCCTTGAATGAATTACGATGAAACTCGAGGAATACCTTGTACAACTTGTTTAATTTGAAATTACGAAATTGCACGTAAGTGGAGTCTGCGATTATGATATTTTTCTGCATCCCCAGTTTAATTATGCTCCTCTTAGCTCGAGCGTTCCAATGCGGTGATTTCGAGTGTTCTCTGTAGAATAATTCAAATTGAATATTATGGCTAGGATATTATAAATAAATATGTATTCCGAAGATTTACGTATTAATATAGATTTTTGATAGAGATGTTAAATGCACTAATGGTGATCTCTTGAAAATCTTTGGGTTCAGTTGGGCCAAGTCTACCAGTTTCTTGTATTCTTCCCAAGTGCTCAGCTTTGGTGGTTCCAATTGATCCAGTTCGTTAATATATTCATCTAAACAAATATTTGAATAATTTATTAGTTTCTAAGAAAGCTAATTCCTTCGTGTTTTATACCTGACTGATCTTCGTATTCTTCAAAGTCAGCATCCAGTTCCTCGTATTTGAATTTCGAATCTCGATCATCTTGATCAAGGCGTGTAATATATTTTAACATTTTTATATCAGCTGGACATGGATTTTGCAATTTGCTTCTGCGAATCTATAAACATTCCTGGAGTTATTATTTTATTTAACACCTTGAGTGACTCGCTAAATCAATAAGAACATCCACTAAATACTAACATAAAGTAAATAAGAATATTTGTTCTGCAACATAACATTTTCTTGATGAGATTTAACAATGGTATACGACATTTTCCAATTACATGTATCTTGAGGAAGTTTTTGAAGATCCTCTCCTTTCTTCTCGTTATTTCCGGTACGAACAAAGGATGTAATGTTCATTTTATAAAACTTTAACAATTATACTGTTAACGCATGTAATTACTATTTGACGTTGAATTAACAAATGAAATCGCCGGACGATGAAAACAATGAAGAAAAGATCTAAAACTAAATTTAAACATATACGAGATAGCAGAAATAAGGAAGGATACAATAATGAATTTTTAAGACTATGATTTATTTGGAAACAATGTTTTTTTTTTATATAAAGGTTTAGAGAATGAAATTCTATGTACAAAAGGGTTACGTTAGTAAAATACTAGGATTTTATATTCCTGGCCGTACATCGTGCAAAATAGTTTCCTCTTACACTGAAGATATAATAATTGTATTGTTTCTTTTTTTTTCTCTCTCTCATTTCGTGCAGTTCTTTTTCCTCTGTATTTCTTATTGCGAGTCTCAGACTGCTCTTATAATTAAACGCTTGAATCTAGTTTAACCCTTTTCTTTTTATAATAAAACGTCGAGGAAAAACAAGCTTTTGCTCGACGTTTCGATTAATAATCACATAAGGTACACTTATCGTATTTATCCATAGTTCTTGAATACAAAGAATTGATTTTTTTTGTTTTTTAACTTCATCGTACATGTATACATATACATTTATATATATATATATATATATATTTATATAATCATCTCAACGCGCATAAACATTATACGCAAGTTTCTTTTTCCTTTTCGTTTAACGTGTAAGACATTACAAATTACGCTTTGTACAATCTAATAATATAATATAAACAAGCGAGAAAAGTCTCAGGATTTTGTAACCCATGTTAATAAGTCTCCTCTAAACAGAAAAAAGAAAAGATTATTACATTTAGTTTGATAAGAAGTGTATATCTGCACAAGAAGCGATATCTCAGTGTCTTGATAAAAAAGCACTTATAGTATTTCAAAGAAACTCCTCTGATTATTATTAATAATATATGTATATGTATAATAGGAATGGGCTTAATAATAATGAAACGTGCGTGATGTTCCATTAAACAACACTGTATTTGTATTCTCTTGTTTTTGAAAGCCTTATAGATTTAGAAATGATGTGTTTTCTCTTATAAGTGTGCACTTATTTAATCTAGATAGATTAAGCATACACAGTCCATGATACTCGTGTTGAATAATTTACAAGCGTACGAATTTATGAAATTTATCGAAGAGCGGATGATTTGCTAAACCGTCGATAAAAATAATTTAAACGAAAAATCAAAATGGAAAAAAGAAAAAAAAAAAGGAAGAATCGATTTTTATCTATGGTCTTGTACAATGGAAAATTCTAGTCAAACTAGGTTCAAGCTTCTATGTAAAAATTTGTCCCCGTCCCCCTCCCCTAGAGAAGTATCAATTTCATATATTTACATGTTTGGAAGCGCCGATTTGCACTGATAAATCATCGGTACTCCTTCGCGACTTCCCTAGAACGTGACTAATCGCGTCGTAAAGTTTGGACTTTGTATGCAGGGGAAAGAGGTCTTCATTAAAAAGCCTAATATCTGTTCTGTTCTGTGGAAAATATAAAACCCCAGATTATACTTCACTATCCTACAAATACAATGCTTATTTCAAACGTATAATGGTGTGTGTCGTTATCGTAGATGCGATTATCCGTTTCCTCGCATTATTATTAATCTATGCGCGTTGTGTTTTTTTTTTTTCTTTTTTACTGCTCGTATTATAAATTAAAGATAAAAATTAAAACTCCAGAGCGGATTCGTTTTACACTGAAACATGAAATTTCTAAAACATACTCCTTTATCTGTTAATCTAACTTCTACGTTTCTGTATCTGTGATCCATTATTCCTTTTTTTTTTTTTTTGTTTTATGTTTTTACAATACACCAGCTTATATGTTGTTTTAATCTGTCACATTGTATTAGCTGGAAAACATATGTCTGATAAATTTTCATCCATTGCAATTGTACGAAGTGAACGTTCTTACAATATATACAACCCACGATCACCCTTAAGCGTACAACTTCCACGTAAATTGTATAAGTTCGATGCATGATTGTTTATTCATTTCACGTGTGTGTCAACGTTTTAAGTGTCTCTTCACTTGCCTAGTCCGAGCGCAGCATACTGTTCTTCCGTCACTTCGGTCATCATCAGGTTCCCGTCAGGTAAAAGGAGAACCACTCTTCTGGTACCGCCTAGAGATAACAGACATAAAATGGCAGGTAATATTGCAGGATCGATCCTTGATTCAATTAGGAGTTTGATCAAACTCGTTACTTTACCTGGAGTAGGTTCTTCCGCTTGTACGACCTGAGCTACGACTTGCCCGTGACCGTCGCCCTCCTCTTGCCCTTCGGTCACGTCGGTAGCGTTCGTGTTATCCATGATAGACATAACCATTGGATTTTCAGTAGGCTCCGTTCCACCCTCCTTTACGTAAAACTGTGAGGCCAGGTTTACCTGATCAGGTATCAGCTGAGCAACAGCTTCCGCCACAGCATGGTCCAACGTCAATACAGATCCTTCGTCACCTTGTTGTTCAGTGGTAACGTACACGCATTGTTGTTCGCCATCAGCGTCACGAGTGACTAACAACGTTTGACCATCCTCGGCTTGGCCCGCCACTTGATAAACAACACCGTCCTCGCCGGTTATCGTTACCAAGTTGGACGCGTCTTCCGCTACCTTCCTCTCCTCCGACAGTTTCTCTTCGGATTTAGTTACATCGGTGGACGCGATCGCTATCGTGCTGGTCGAGGTAACCGTGGCTGTTGTCAATCCAGCAGCGATCGACGATTCGCTGCTCGATGTAGCCTCTGTCAATGGTGTTGCGGTGGTTGTAACCGGAGTAGCCACGGCAGGAGCGGTATCGTCCAAGCAAGGAAGATCCGGAGCTGGGACAGAGACGTTGGTTAAGTTGATTTGGGCTGGTTCGCTCGTCTGAACGATCGTGCCTGTTGTTCCGCCAGGACTCATTTCGACTCTCATGATTCCACCAGCCTCTGTAAGAGAATCAAGGGAAGGTAGCACCAATTCTGTCGTGGTAGCGGTAGCAGTAACGTCTATACTCTCGGATGTGGTGGTAGTAGTTTTGACGGTGGACAACGGCGTGGTGGGTTCCGGTTCGGGTTCTGGCTCAGCTGGTTGCTCGACTGGTTCACCATCCGGACCGATGATACGTCCGGTCAACGGGCACAAAGTGAACGGTCTGGGTGGACTGTCCGGTTCCGTAGTGGCTATGGTATCGGCCTCCGGAGGTGGAAGTTCCGGTTCACCCTCGCTGCTACTCTCTTCGGAGCCTACCTCGTGGAATTCCATGTGAAGCCCATCGCCCTCCGCCAATTTACTTTCTTTCTGTTTGCTTCCCGGCACGGTAGCTGCGGTTGGTGTTTCAGCCAATTTCCCTCTACCTCGTCCGGCGGTAGCACGAGCACCTGCTAGGAGGCCACGGCCACCTGGTTTAATGATACCTGCTGCTTCTTGAGCTTTCCTTTTAGCCATTAATAACTTTTGTTGCGGAGATAATAATGACTGTGGCTTACCAACTGGTGTTTTCGGCGGCTGTTTAACCTGTTGCACTGGACTAGTTCCAGACTTTATCACTTGCTTCGGCTGTGGACTAAGCACCGTAAACTTCGGTCTAATCTGAGTAACATTTCCAGGACTCACCGAATTACTTTGGGTGGTTACAGCTGTTGTACGTTTTTGTAGCACCTGACGAGCTTGCTGGGACTGAACTTGTCTCGGGGCTGGCGCCCTGACAGGTGTGCGAATTGTAGATCCGATTCCGAGTACGCTAGTGGGTGTCGTCGCGCGCAGCGGAGGTCTCGGTAACAATGGACGACCGTCCGCACCGCGTTGGCCTGTAACAGGTCCAGGACGTATTCCTGTACTTAGTCTTGGTTGCAAAGTTATGGGAGCCGGCACCGCGGTCACGACATGTATCTGCGGTAACTGTGTCGGATCTGGTTTCGGCTGGATCTTTATAGGCTCTGTTTTCTGTGTACCTCCTGTTTTAGTTGTAACCGGCTTAGAAACTACTTTCATCTGGGTTACTACTTGACTTCCATCCATTTTAGATACCACCTTTACAGGTGTTACTGAATTTGACTGCGATGCGGATATTACTTGCTTCCTCACTACGTTAGTATTATCCCGATTTTGAACCATCAAAACACCTTGGGTAGTCGGCGAACCTTTTACGGATAATTTCCCGCTAGGGGATGAATCCAATTTGATGATCCCATCTTTACGAGACATTACGTACACGCCAGACGTTAAGTTTGGCATTTGCTTCGGGTCTACTTTAACCACACCTTTAGCGTTCGCAACTAAAACTGGCGGTTGATTAGATTTCGCCCCTTCGGGAGACTGAAGTCCCAAAGAAGTAGCAAGATCTGAAGACGAACCACTCGCTCTGTTAGAACCGTTTGACTGAGCATTGGCGCGATTAAATGCTCGTTGGATCACGTCGCTTCGACCCAATAATCTCTCCTCCTCGGACTCTCCAGTCCAATCTTCGTCGCTACCAGTATCACCTTTTGCTCGTTTTGCAGCACTGCTGCCTCCGTCCTCAGAATCACTCTCGGAATAATCCATTCTTCTTTTCCCTAATACTAAAAAAAAAATGAATTTCAATACTTCTCTAACGTTTATTAGATTGCTTTAAACAAAAAAAAAAAAAAATTATTGCGCAATGTTACGAAAATACCCGTACAATCATTGTCCTCGTCTTTCATTGAACCGCACCATTGCTTCACTTGATCCATTGCTTTTGATTTACTTGAACGCATTGGTCGCCTACACGTACAATTTAACGCATTAAATTTAGTTCTTAGAAAAAATATGTAATGTATAAACTAGTAAGTCAACGTAGAACTTACCCTACATGAACTGCAGTACTTGGTCCAGGTTTAGCTTCTGCTTTTATAACAGTTTTATGAGCAAGATGACTTCCTCGTCCTGCTGCTTTTGAATTAGCCTGCTGTTGAGCTGCTTTTAATTCCTTCTGCTTAGCAAGATTTCTTTCAAATTCTTCTAACAAATGTTTACATGTAGCTACGTGCTCGGCAGGTTCCCATGTATTATGTTCACTGGAATTATTAATGTACTTTATCTTGTAACTATCTTATAATCTTTCTAATGATGAAACTTTTTCTATAGAATCTTATCTTTTTCTCTACAAATAGGTCATTATTTCATAGATTAAACTTACTGTCCATAACCCTCCCATTTCAATAAATACTCGGAACATCTCTTTTTCGGATTGAAACGTTTCGCTAAAATTTTTTCTACCGTATATTCTTCATCGCTTGAATCTCTGTCCTCTTCGCCGGCTTTACTAGATTTACCCTACATAAGAACGAATAGATTACAAATGTTTACATACAACGGGCAATCGATAAAACGTGGTCGAACAAACCTTGGGTTTTATAGAAGGTTTCAATTTTGGCTTCTCCTTCTTTTCTACTTCAGTATCGAAAGACTCGTTTTTCTGATTCCTTGTTTCTGAAGCTTTACCGTCTTTCCTTTCAGCATCCTCCGGCTGTCCATTGCGAATAACTTTACGAACAACGACAGATTTTCCTATAAAGGTGCGAAATAACTTTAGTGAACTTTTCATTTAAATTATAACGATTTTACTTTTCGCACACAATTGTACCTTCTGCATTGGTACTTATTTGATTCTGTCTTGGTGCATCCTGCATTTTTGCATTACTGATTTTGGTAAACGTTTGAATGGTTTTTCCAGCTGCAATCCAAGAATCTCTTATATGCGTATCCATTTTACACCATTTCTGATAAAGTTTCCATGAATTTGTTGAGTCCTTGTCTGACCCTTCCTGCTGGATTTGTGAATCTTTCCATAAAAGAAAGGCCCACACTTGTGCTTTTTGCTCATTCTGGAAAAAGGTCAAAGTGAAATAAAGACTGTTGCAACCCAGATTGATATCGCTTACAACATTGGATAAATATTACTAACATTGCTATTTTCACGAAAATGTGAAACTTGAGTACAAGCGCCTTCTTTTGTACGATGCTCTTGAAATTCTTCAATGAAATGAAAAACTGAATGGCACTGACCACATACAAGAACATCCAATCTTCCCATCTCTTCTTGTGCAGCTAGTAACATACATGAATGTATTATTTCAAACATTATAATGGAATTTTTGAAGAAGTTCTGGTTGTGTTAATAATTAGTCATCAACTGTAAACAGTCAGCATGTCAGGTTCCTAGTTACTATGTACCAATGACTACCGACTTCTCTTACTTGTATAAGAATATTGCGATAAAAATACTAGGTTACAAACCTTTAATAGCAGTAGGATTACTACTTATGGCCGAAGGGCCATCACCTCCCTCCATTTTATTCAATGGAATACTTGAGATTATATCCGCAAGGTTTTATTCTAAAAAGTAAAATTATTATTTACTTTTAATTAAAGTTTATACATGTAACATGGAATGTACAGAACAAAGTAGCTAATAACAATATATCAATAACATACTGAATTTTATTATTTAACAATGATCTATATTTTAATACAAATTTAAGTTCCACTGTTTCGTTACACATTTTGTAAGCAGATCAAAATCTGAATTAAAAATTATTATTATATATTGTTTAATTAAAATATGATATAGAAAAAGTGTAAAAAAATAATTAAAAATGATAAAATCAAACGTTTAACTTTCCCTTTTTAATTTATATTAATAACGTATCAATGAACCTTATCAACTTAATTTCAGAGTACTATAGGTAATAAACTCGCTAAAAACTTTTATTTCTTGCAGCAAGTAATTTATAAACATTATCATGTTATTTGTATACTAGGTTGAAAATAAAAAAAAAAAAAATTGTAACATTCGGACTTCGAAGTTTCGCGGGCGTCAGAAAAATTTACACGCAACATGCCGGTGGAAATCGAACTGCAAACATTTTTTAACAAGACACCACTGCCGTTGTTACGGTGATTCAAAAGGTTCACTATACACACACAGCTATCATTGGTAATTTTGTAAATCGTCTGCACTTCCAAGGCGCATCACGAGGTGTATTTCGTGAAACTTTTTATTTAAACTAAACGAATTCCCGCATAAATGGTAAAACGTCCAGACACAGCATGGAGTCATTGTAAACGCGGCCAGTGGCGTAAGTTACCAACGAACAAAACTCACATATAATTTGTTCTTGAATTATTAGCCGGCTCACCGTGATTGTTCGTTACCGATAAAAGCGACTAATCTAACTGCAAATAATACGAGAGTTCAGAAATTACAAAAACATTTAGAAACGATGCCATTGCCGCCGTCGCCGCCGCCACAGACTCGTCCTCTGTCTATCACGAGCAAGCCGATGCTCATCAAGATGGCTCTCGTCACGAAAACTTTCATCGACTATTCACTTCCTGTCTACCCATGAATATTTTTCGAACACACTTGTCCGTTACCGATTTCAATGTAATCGACACTCAAATCAATAATATTGACTTACGCCCGTTAAACCGTGGAAAAATTAGATTTTCCTGATCTGGATAATTATTGCTGTCGCCGCACGAGATGGGATGAAAACAGTGACCGCGTCTGACGACAGTAGCGCCATGGCGCTTGCCCGCCACGGCAACAGTTTACCTTTTGGCGGGAGAATATTATCCATCAATTCTACTTTATCTTCTTTTATCAATAATATCTTTTACCTAACGTTACTTCTTACGTTTAGAATGTTACACTTACGATTAATTACTGATAAGAAAGCAGAAAATTATTTCTGAAAAGAGAACGAAATTGCCAATTATTGCATTATTGATTTCAAATATACCGCTTTTCTTCAATGAATTTACCTATGTTCCGGCTTGGAATTGAGTATAGAAAAGGCAAGTTTATGTTAATTGATAGCAAAGCAATTTCGTAAATAGTCATCGGTTATTCCGTATAAATTTATAATTTGTGTACGATTAAAAGCTCTATTTTTTTTCATTTCTATTTATGTCTTACATACTCACGCTTTACTTCTATATTCAGTACCTTCACTGTAATTTATGAAGAAAAATTTAGAACAAATAAATTCTTGTATCGACCAGACACCACGTGAAAATTATACGTTCATTGTATGAATGTTTTTAAATGAATGAATTGTATTTTATTCAACAGTTTCTTTTTTAATACAGTCTGATAACCGTTTTAAAAGATTAAAAAAATATATCCATTAGTGTTCTCTTTCATAACATTAGTACATTATTTTTAATCTTCAAATGAATATAAACAACATTAACCTTATTTTGACATAACATTAAATCGTTTTAAATTGTTTGATTGCAGCTTTATTTTAAAACATTAAAAAATGGCTGATGATGAAGAAGAGAAAGAATACCGGTGGGAGACTGGTTATGAAAAAACATGGTATTAATCTTTTTCAATTTAATTGTTGTTATTATTGAGTTAAGTAAAGTAATATTACATAAATTATTTGTCATCTAGGGAAGCAATTAAAGAAGATGACCATGGATTGTTGGAAGCATCTGTTGCAGATATTATTCATAATGCTAAAAGAAAGCGTCAGATGAATAGAAAGATTGGTGCCAGATTAGGAATGATGAGACATCTTTATATAATTTTGGATGCTTCTGAATCAATGTCAATTCAAGATTTTAAACCAACACGTTTTTTGTGTTCTTTAAAAGTAATTTTACATACATATGTAACATAATCCCTGTGTTGTCATATATTACACATGACTATTGATTTTAAGCTTTTAGAAGATTTTGTGGATGAATTTTTTTATCAAAATCCTATAAGTCAGCTGGGAATAATTATTACAAGAAATAAAAGAGCAGAAAAAGTGAGCGAATTAGTTGGAAATTCCAAGAAACATATTAAGGTATATTCTTGTAAGATATGACAAAGACTTGGATAGATTTTCTAAGTAAAATTTTGGATAAATTTCCAGGAAATACAAAACATGCAACAGATTACACCAGCAGGTGAACCCTCACTGCAAAATTCTTTAGAATTAGCTTTAAAATCTTTACGCCTTCTGCCATCACATGCTAGCAAAGAAATACTTGTAATCATAGGAGCCCTTACCACTTGTGATCCAGGAGATATTAATGAAACTATACAAGTATGTAGTGTAAAGCACATTGTAATAGTTGTGCTGAAACTCTGCAATAACTGGTTTATGATTTCAGAGCATGAAAACAGATTGTGTAAGATGCAGTGTGATTGGGTTAGCTGCTGAATTATATATTTGTAAAAGAATGGCAACAGCAACTGGTGGAGAACATGGAGTTGCATTAGATGATAAACATTACAAGGAACAGTTGAATATGCACATAGATCCACCGCCAGCTGCGACTAGACTAGATGCTGCTCTTGTAAAAATGGGCTTTCCTCATCATGCATTGCATTCTTCTGTAAACGATTCTGCTATGGCAGTATGTATGTGGTAAGGAATCTATAAGTTACCGGGTAACCGGACTCAGGATCGGTTGATGTGTCCCGCAACGTTGATGATAGAGCCCCCGACAACGCTTGATATGATAATAATAAGAAATGTTTTTTACAGCCATGCCGAAAATTCTGAAGAATCTGTTAAACTTATTAGTACAGGGTATTTGTGCCCGCAGTGTCTCAGTAAACATTGCGAACTTCCTGTTGAGTGTAGAGCATGTGGGCTAACTTTGGTATCTGCTCCGCATCTAGCTCGATCCTATCATTACTTGTTTCCTGTTGAACCTTTCGACGAAATCGTATACGATGGAACTCGTTCGCTTTGTTACGGTTGTCAGAAAAACTTTTCACAGATAGATAAAAAGGTGTGTGTAATTAGTAACACTAGTATGAGACTAATATTTATATCGCTTTATTTGTTTTCAGGTATACGTTTGCAATAAATGTAGCCAAACATTTTGCTTAGATTGCGAGATATTCATTCACGAATCTTTACATACATGTCCAGGATGTGCTACAAATCCAGATACATATCAAAGATCAACGGATAGATCGTAATTTATTAAATGTATGTAAAATAAAATTCATAATTTTAGCTATTTTGAATTAAGTGCTTTAATGAAAGAATACCGTAAATTAAAACCAATTTCATACGCTAACAATTTTTATAACGCGAAACTAATCTGCATTTTATTTATGGAAAGTATGAAGGAACGAATGCATGAAAAGATAATCATAATTATAACTTGTACTCCTTCAGTTTCTTGTTTACAATAACCGTGACCTGGTAATAATTTTTACATAGGAAATAAGAATAAATAGAGATTAAAGAAACGTGAAATGTGACTCGTTCAAGTAAATTTATTTTATTTTTCTTGTTTAATAACTTAATGAATTCTTCTATTAATAGATTCTATGTTTTGATAATAATCGTGTCGGACAGAAGTTCGTGTAAATCGAAGCGAAAGGAAAGCAAACGATTAACACTTGTTTGTTTACATCCGAATGATACACAGGCTTATTTCCTCCAGGCAAGGAACCCGAGAGAAGCTTACCGAGCGGTTAACGCAGACTGTTTTAAAGTTATGGTGGGAGGTGATTGAAGTTTATTAGCTAGCGGACAGGTGGAAGCGAGCATCGTGATATTAGAGCACATTATTAGTTTGCGATCGTCCACCGACGCGACCGGTTCCACGGTGTCAACCTACTTCCAATTTAAATACGTATGCCAGTCCTGACTGAACAGAAAAGTGACTTTGCATGTGAGACATTTTCCGAACACCTGGTTTCCTTTCTAATACACATCTTCGAAATAAGGTAAGAACATTTTATACGCGACATACATATTATTTCTGCAACAATAAATATCTAACATCAAGTTCTTCCTTCTTTAAGGTGATTGTTTTTTAATAATTCTGTACACCTGGACTAACTCTTATCTATTTTGACAAATATTCATTTCCACCGCGTCTACCTTGATGTTGTAGTTAAAAACTAATTTTTATCTTTATTCGTTGTTTTTAAACTTTATGCGACGGTAATGACTCTGCTTATACGCGTGTACACGCTTCATCTGCACTGTACACTTCACAAATATATCTACTAGTAAATGAGAGGATTAATAGTGAAGATAGAAGTACAAGGTTGTTAGCTGTTCTTACAATATTCCTTGAAAATGAAAGTAAGTCAGTTGATGATTAATTCCTGTATAGTCGTAAAATGCAATTTGTTAAGAGATACTAGCGGAGCATACAGAGTACCAGAAATTATAAAATTTTTAGCAATAGTAACTTGGAAAAAAACAGAGGAGCTTAATTACTATTTACAGTTAAATTCAAATTATCATGATATTATCTTTTATTTAATTAATTATATTTATCATGTATAAATTATCATATCTCAAAAATTAATTAAAGAACCGCTTAAACGTTGACATTAATTGTTAAGGGTAATTGATACCGTGAGACGATTAAACCAATTCAGATAACGTCCCGCATCGGTAACAAATTTGTTTCATAAATCATATGATGTCTCAATAGTAAACAACTTTTTTAATGCATCTCTACGTATTTGATAGATTTATGACTTACAAATTTTTTTTTTTTTTTTTTTTTAGATTGTCATTCAAATTTTAATCTCACGCTCACCGTTTTATGTAAAAGAAAAAAACGATACTGAGGAATTTTGAGATTATCTGTGACATGCAGTGTCCACAGATACAAGTTTCATGATACAATAATTCCTGATACAAAACAATATTTCACAAAGAATATGGTCCTATGTAAGATATGCAAAGGTGGTCAAACTTAACTAGCATAGAAAAAAGGAAATAACGATACGAAGTTGACCCACATTAGGTGTAATATTAACAGAAAATTAAATTCAATTACTTAAGGTATAATTAATTTTGATTACATTTGCATATTTCAATGAAATATTTAAAGTTCAAGCGTGACGCTCTTCAAATCCATTCGTGATTTTCTTTTTCCATTTTAATTATACCGCACGAAGAGCGAAAGAATTCCTTTCTCTTTCGTTAGCGCTTTCAATCCTCGTAGCAATCGGAGTGGTTGCACGCGTAACATTCGATACTCCGGCTAAGGATAAGTGTATCTTAAAAAAGGCGTTTTTCTTCAAGAATCAGTATTGCGACATCGCATAGCCACTTTTCCTTAATGTCACACGATTGTCGGTTGTTCGCGGAAAAAGTGGATCTCCCTCGTTTATTATGACACCAGTTACCCGAGCCGTGAATTACGGTCGTTTTTCATGTTTACAATCACTTGTACCTCTATTTTCATACTTCTCTTTCTCTCTTTTTGTTTTAGTGTATCGACCGTCACAAAAGTGAAAATATTCTTGTTCCTGCTTTGAAACACGAATGTTGTCAGACACGTTACAATTTCAAGGATCGCAGTATACATTATGTATGTTCCGCACTATGAAGGACAAAATTGTTGTTCAGATCAATTTATACCTGATCGATCTATCAACGCACACCTGCTAATCGATTCTGTTGTTATTTAAATATTACACTTTTATCGTTTGGTCGTTTGAGAGCAATCTCCTGTTACATTTGTTGAGGGAGGATTAACACGTTAAACGCCACGTTAGACTTTCCGTTCGGACCCCGCCGGTCCTCAAGGATCGGCCTCCCAAAAAACGAATGGGTTCTTATTTTGTTTCCTCTCTTAAGTTATGATAATAAGACTTAGAGAATGGCTAACATTAAGATGAACCCCATCGGTCCCTTAATTAATATTGCTAATATTAATATTACTTCCTTAATAGAAATATTTACTACAGACTTCTGGAACAGTCTAATATTTCATAGAGACGTTTAACGGAAACGGTTCGTCGAGCAATGGTAACATGGAGAGACGGTACACACGATTGGAACTCGTTAATCCAGATTTCAGTTCAACTCCAATAATTTTCATCTAAATTCAAAAATCGAATCAAAGATTCTATCTCGTTGCCATATCCCAAACAACGACGTCTTCGTGCCGATTTCACGAAGTTAATCCGAAACCCGTTAATTCGGACTTTCCTTTGACCTCAAATCTCTCTTCCTCTTCTGTTCGAAAATTCACAACATCTACCTGTTTATCTGTTCAAGACGAGATACGACGTTTCTATTGACTCGGTCTACTTTACACTCTGAAGATTATCATTTTATTCATGTGTATCTCCTTAGGGCAAACTCGATCAATCAGTGTTACGTAGGATATCTGTCACTCGAGAGTTCTAAAGAAATGATATACATTCTTAGATAGGATTCTTACACACAGACATTTTTTATTATCTTAGCTATTCTCTTCTTTTCACTTCCGCTTTATTGGGTTTCAAATCCCACACATACCTGCCCTATGGGGGTCATGTGTATTTACTAGGTCAGATGTGGCCCACTAATTTACTCATTGCCATTCTAAAATACTTGCACATATTGATTTAATAGTCTACCCAAAAATTCATCCCTCATCCCTAACACGTTGCAAAAAAATGATTAATCGTTGCTGGAAGGAAGTGACATCAATTTTGGGGATTGGTGAAACCCGCAATTGGCCCACGTACATATCGTAAATAAAATATGAAGATTATATTGAGGTGTCATTCGAGGGGATCATGCAATGGGGACACAGTATCACGGTGCCTCGCCTTAATTGGCCTGTAACCTTGTCACGTTGTCCAACACCGACGATATATACGTTTTGTTTGGCTCCCCTTTGCTCCAATGTCACACGGCATCCGAAAATTTCAGCCGAGTCGCACAAACGAAAGGTTTTACAATTCTTGAAAGTTATAAAGGTCACTGGTAATTGGTACCAGGAAATTCAAGAAAATTTTCAAGTAGTATATTAAAACCGTACTTACTTCCCAAGGTAACAAATTAGAATAATTACAATTAATTTTCAGTAGTATCACTATCCTGACATTTAATTTATTCTTCAGATACGAGATTACCTGGTCAAATACACACGTGGATGTTACAGGAACAAACATTGAGAAAGACGATTTCACTTTCTTCCTCCGACTATTTGCAATTTCGATAAAAGAATTTCTTGCCAGGAAGAGCGACGACCAAGATAGCAGAATCAGCTAGACGCATATTCCTTTTCATTTTGATCATCTACCAGCGAGCGTGTCGTTAAGTGTGTAATTACAGGATATTCCTGTAATTACCGTAATTATCGTAGAATTCTATTGAGATGCGTTCCACGTAGAACTGTAAATACGTAACCGCACCGGTGTTCCCTGTTTCTTTAAATCACCGATCACGATCATTCTTAAAGGGATCAAGGTGATTCGCTAAGAAGGTGAATGATCGAGGAACCTTGATGATACTTGTTCAGATAATACTGTAAAAAAAATACGAATTGTATAGATATCCACGTGTCTTGATTCACAGTACTTTGTTTTAATCATCTGTGACACCGGTGTGGTTTAAAATTTGCAAAACTATGACCTATATTTTTTTATATTAAGCCCCGGTTTGGAATATTCCAAAACCTTTCCGAAAAAAGATTAATCGGGAAATCTTGGTGACTGGTTTAATACGGAATTCTCGGTACCCAACCAGTCGTAGTTGATTAGCAGCATTCATCCGAGCCGCTCAAAATTATGCTAATAAAAAGATTTGCGTGTTAACGCATCCCCTGTGATGCAGTAACGCATTTTAAATAGATTTTCACAAAAAATGACCTGAAATTTCACGATTCGTTGTGCGTCCGCGTGAAAAAACATTATTGTTAATGTAAATTTGCAAATCAAGCAAATTCTTGTTTGAGAATTTTGAGACACGCTCGCTTATTTATGGTGACAGGTATTAATGGGTAAAAATGTTGCAGTCTGTGTTGCAATTACAAGAAATTCTGTTGACCTTTCTATCCAGTAATACCCAGTAGAAGTTGTCTCGAAAGGAAAAGTCATTTTTGCTTCTAGTAGTTTTGAAGTTGTTCATACAGTAGCTGCAAATTGTTTGTTAAAATAATTCATCTTCCAAGAAGAGAAAATTCGTGTCTTATTGTAACTCGATGTTAATTCAATATTCAGTAACTGTTCATTTACAAACATTTGTTAAAAGGTAAATTTATCGAAACAAAAATTTGAATATTTGCTGGTAATTTGTCGTCGCTCTAATAATTTTGAATAACTGTTAAAGACATACAGTCTGTATTTTTCCTGGTGTCTTGATCTTCCATATATCTGTGATACTAACATTATTGATGTTAATCAGAAACACATGTATTCCACATTTATGTACATAAACAAAAGATATTCTTGTTGAAATGACTCGTTGTCTTTCTCAACTGTACTCTGATCATTGTCATCGCATAATCGAAAAATATTTTTATTGAATTTCGTATTGATGAAATAATACTGTTATCGTGTTGAACGCTTATCGACGCGCAGAACTTTGCACTATACAGTCTATTATCATCGATCACTTTGCAAAATTTTCATCGTTCCACGTGCTTATTGTACTCTGAACAGAAAATGGTTTAAGCATATGTAAAATTCCAAGAATTATGAATTGTAAATTTCTGAAATGTTTTGAAATGTTTTCCAGACATACGTGATTGAAAGCGAAGAAGAGGACTCGGGATGGCGAACCGTTTGTGGAAGGCGCTGTCCCGAAGACGCGTCGACGACAGCCAGGACAGCAAGGGTGAATTGGCTCGGGTTCTAGGCCTTTTTGATCTGACGGCCCTAGGCGTGGGCTCTACACTCGGTATTGGAGTCTACGTCCTCGCTGGTAGCATAGCCCAATCGACGGCTGGCCCAGCTGTCTGTATCTCTTTCCTTATCGCTGCCATCGCTTCCGCGTTTGCGGGTAAATTAATCATCCAGACTTACTAAATATATATATATATATATATATATGAATGTTTTGGTTAAAATTAGACTTTAAGCTTCATAGCTTAAAAGATAACAATGCAAATATGCTGCCAGTCATCATCTGAGAGTTAAGAAACAGAAACTAACATCTGACTGTTTAAATTTCAGGGATGTGCTACGCAGAATTCGCTTCCAGAGTTCCAAAGGCAGGTTCGGCATACGTCTACAGTTACGTCACAGTAGGAGAATTCATCGCCTTCGTTATAGGATGGAATTTAATTTTGGAATATATAATAGGTGTGCGAAAGGTTCTTCCTTTCTTTGCTGTATGCAGAAAAACTCAGTCAAAGAAAATAAATGTCGTACTTGTAATTGTTGATCAGGTACTGCCAGCGTCGCTCGAGGACTTAGTAATTACTTGGACGCATTGATAGGAAAGGTGATAAGCGAGACTCTAGTGTCCGCAATGCCCATTCGCGTTTCGTTTCTGTCAGAGTATCCAGACTTCTTCGCGTTTGGAGTAGTGATGCTTCTAGTGATCTTACTGAGCATAGGAGTGAAAGAATCTTCCATGTTGAATAACATATTCACTGTGATCAATTTGGCTACGATTTTGATTATCATAGTTGCAGGTTCCATTAAAGGTGAAAATATTTCACTATTGTTTGTACAGAAATCGATCTGGAACAGTGAATGGCTTGGAGATTTTAATCAGCTAATCGAAATTCCTTGAAACTTTTAGCTGACCCAGCGAATTGGAGGATACGGGTAGAGGATATAGATGAAACAGTTAGAAACCCAGGATCAGGTGGATTCATGCCGTTTGGAATAACTGGAGTAATGATGGGAGCGGCAAAATGTTTCTATGGTTTCGTAGGGTTCGATGCGGTTGCAACCACCGGTGAAGAAGCTAAAAATCCTCAACGCAACATACCCATAGCTATTGTTGTGTCATTGGTCATTATCCTGGCCGCTTATTTTAGTATTTCTACTGTATTAACTATGATGTGGCCTTATTACGATCAGGTACAATCAAACAGTTCCAATTTCTCAGAATCTTCTGATATACTGCTGAGGATTAAAGAACATTTTATGCATTTTAGGATCCTGATGCCCCATTTCCTTACGTGTTCGATAAAATTGGATGGCCCACCATTAAATGGATCGTTAATATTGGTGCTGTATTCGCGTTATGCACAAGTTTACTTGGTTCAATGTTTCCCTTACCGCGAGTACTTTACGCTATGGGCAGTGATGGAGTGATCTTTAAACGTCTTGCGAATGTACATTCAAAAACAATGACCCCTATTTTTGGAACCGTGATTTCTGGTTTATTAACGGGAACCATGACTCTTATATTTGATCTTCACCAGTTAATTGAAATGATGTCCATTGGCACGTTATTAGCATACACAATAGTGGCAATATCCGTTTTAATATTGAGGTAACAGCAACAACCGCAAATTATTTATTTAAATGTATAATATGTTTATTATATTCTAATGATTAGATATCAAGGGAAAGGTTGTGCATCGAATACCTATTCTATAGCAGCAACAAATAGTTACAAATTAAAGCCAATCGACATCTTAAAACAAATATTCAATTTACGCAATCAAAAGGAGGTAACCGAGAGTTCGTACAAAGTTGCCAAATATGGTATTATAATGTTATGTAAGTTTGAACAAAGATTATTACTTATTCAAGAGAAATTTTAACATGATTACATATATATATGTATATATATATTTATTGTTATTATTATAGGTATTTTCATATTTCTTACTGCACTTTGCATAAATTACGGGGGTACGGAATTATTCAGCAGTAACGTAGTAGCGTCTGTGATACTAGTTATACTTATAATAATAGTGTTATTAAATCTAGCAGCTGTTGCCAGGCAGCCTACACAAGATATTGATGCAGCATTTAAGGTATATATTTTAAAAATTGATCGCAAAAGATAAGACATGCACATTCGAATTATGTTTACCCTTAAATAGGTACCATTAGTGCCAGTTCTTCCATGCTGTAGTATTTTTATAAATCTATATTTGATGTTGCAATTAGATGTTTTTACTTGGATTAGATTTGCTGTTTGGATGTTTATTGGTACGTATGTTTAATGTATTAATAATAGTTAGAAGAAGAAAACGATTAACATAATCTATTATTGTTCAAATTTTTATAGGTCTTAGCATTTATTTCTTTTATGGTATATCTCATAGTGAACAAGGAAAAAGAGATAAAATTGAAGCTGAAATGATGAAACGAAAATACGCGGATCAAGTTAGAATCGTTACTAAATTTTAATAATGATCTTATAATATGTGATATTTTTTATATTAACGTACAGAAACCTGCTTAGTAAGGTCCTAGGTATTATAACATGTGATTACCGTTACAATTTTTAATTATAAACCATTATTCTATACTCTATTAAGAGATATACAGAAAGTTAAGGAAAGAATAACTTCTGACTGTGTAAAGTAAGTATATTGTACATACAGAATTTTATTTCAAAAAACGGATAGTTCTTATTGTGAAATTTTTAAATGCCAGTAAATATTAGACGTTTTGAATAAATAAGTATATGCGTGTGTATGCTGTTGCAGATGCTAAAATGCATTATAAATACTCTCACAATATCATTTTATAAAACAGTGTAATGTATTGTACAGTATGTAAGATTATATGAACATATTATGTTCTTTTTTTCTTTTAATTTATATGTTAAAATATGTTGATGTAATGTACATATTGCTTAACAGATTTTATTACGATTATTTGTGCTAATGAAATACAGCGTTTTATATTTATTTCTGTGTTTATTTATAAAAATCAGCCAAAATTATTTTCCTCAAAAGAATACAATTCTAAAATATGATATAAACGAAAATGCTTGTGATAAAACATATAAAACCCTTTTAAAATACATTTACATTAGGTGATAAACTTAAAATGATCACGTCAGAGGCATTAAATAAAGTTAATTAATACACAAACGTTCAATTAGCACTGAGAAAAATCATACGGTATTTGTTTTAATAAGAATAACGTACAGCATCGAGCATGGTAGACTTTCCCGAGTTTTCGGGATTAACATCCTGTCCATATAGGTATTTTTAAACTTTATAAGTTATATACTTATTGTTACTAGGAAGGCCTACTGTGCTTGATACTGTAGATTGATCGTTGTTAACTTTTTTTTAAACATCTATAACATTCATTTTTAAGCAACCTGTTTAAGTACATACTTTTCAATAAGCTTTTTATGAAATGAAACGTTTAATACATAACAGGAATTGAAATAAAAATTTATATACGATTTTTCACTTCATTACAATTTTAAGTCCAAAAATTTGCATTGCCAGTTCCACTTTTACTATTTTATATGAATAAAAACAGTATATAACTACACAAGGCATCTTGTATAATTAAGTCATAGTTTTTTTTTCTTTAATATATAACTATTCAAAAATAAAATCAATATTTTTCATATCTTCATACTATTGTGCTATTATAAATTATTTAAGAATTATATAAATACATATATTAAAAATGTTCTGACAATATTTTAATACAAAATTTTATGGTAAAACTATAGGAATGGAATTAATATATTGTTTAATCACTTTTAATAGTAAATTGAATTAGTTGCAAAAGCTAAGCCATGTACATATACATACACATATGTGTATATGTACTTCATTTATGTGACAAAGTTGTTGACCAAATGAAACTTCTAGAGTGTTATATTCTCTAGTAACGTAATAATACTTTGAGTATCCAAATTCAAGGATTTTCATTTATTTCAAAATGAAGTATTTATTTTGCTTTATTTACAAGACCACCGACACTTATGTACTGCCAATTCGCCTGTTGAATATAACAGTAACTTTAGAATCATCTCTAATAATACTTTCTTAATACTTATTAAATTATAACTTACCCCTATACCGGTCACCCAACCAGTTCCTGCTGGATTTTTTTCAGTAATACCAATTCTACGACACAGTATACCGGCTCCTGAAACTGCCCATACTTGACCCTCTTTTCTTGCAACACTGACGTGCCGAAAACCTTGTTTCGCGTTTATAACAGACATATCTAGAATAGAGAAAAAAGAATGTGAAGAAAAATAGCCAGAAAGACGGACAAAGTTAAGTACAAAAAATAAAATAGGATAAAAAAAAATCGATAAGTTCGCTAAATTCTAATTGTACACTCCTAAATTATACCTATGCAATAAGGATCAGATAGTATATTTAAAGAAACGGATGTACTGTCGATATCAACGTTTCCCAACGCGGAACGTTTTTTAAGAGGAAATCTGCAGAGGTTTCCAAGAAATACAGCCTTTGAAGATTGTATCACATTTTTTTCTGGAATTTTTGTAGAAAAAATTGAGTAAGAATTTGCAAAACACATACATATCTAACTATGCACACTTTATAAACTGACTATAAAAAAAAAATGTATTATTAATAAAACATTTAACAAAAATCAATCAAGGAATTCTAAGATCAATGCTGGAATCTATAAGGTTGGGAAACGCTGGTCTATATAATGTATAAAATTAAAAAATACCTATATGAATAGGATCGTTTGGCATCGCAGGAAGAGTCTGCCAATGTGTTCCTTCCGGGAAAACATTTAGTTGGACTTCCCGACGTACAGATAATCTACCAGTTGTATCTAATGCCCACACCACATCTTTTCCAACAGAAATTTGTTTTAAGTGAGCACCCGAGGGTGGTTCAACGTTTTGCCATTGTATGCCTAAACAATGGAACGATAATTGATAAGCACACAGATTCAATAAGTGTAAGAATGTTACGTCTTATTGTATTGTTTATACCTGCAGGTTTTACAGATGTAATGCCGAGCCTCCAATAAGAAGAGCCGTTCTTTCCGACAGCCCAAACTTGACCGCCAGGTCCACATGAAATACCTACTAAAGCTTGATCACTGGGTATGTGTTCCCAAGAAACGCCCTAGAAATTAATATTACTTTCAGCATATTATAAATGAAATATTTAAATCGGGAACACTAAAAATTTTCTATTCATACCATTGGACACGATTCCGAAACGCCTCTCCTAAATAAAGCTTCGCCGTTAGAAGCTACCGCCCAAATGTATATAGGAGCATCCGTGCTAGGTTCGTCTGTTGCCTAATATACATAATACAATTGATTTATATTTACCGTCTACCGAAAACGTATATTACTGTGTTAAACAGCTCTTACATATAAGGAAACGTCGGTCAATTTTGTGTTTCCTAATTCTTGCCAAGGACCACTAGCTGTTAATTGGCACCTTCGAAACCATCTTCTCCTTCTAACGTAATCGGTAAATTGTTTTTTACCGTGATACTGGGAAGGAAAATCGGTAGCATATTGCCAACCGTCTCTGTCAACACCTCCAGGGGTGTGGAAATCTACTATCCAATCTGACACCTATTATAAAGATAAATATTTAAGTACAATAACATTTTATCGTCTTCTTACAATGTACGCTTACCCAATGCCAATGCATTGATAACAGTTTAGTGTGCTCTCGAGTACGTTTATGACGTCCGGTTGCGTCGCTCCACATGTAACGATCTGTTGGAAGACCATGAGAAGTATATCCAGTTACCGGATTCCAACGCTGATTTTCGTATACGTAATAATTATGAGTATCTACCATAGTGTTTATTCCCGTATTACTATCTAATCCTGTTAATAACAATACATAGTATAAATGTTATAGACGTTTTGATGAATTTATCAATTTGATAGATTTTGAAAAATACTTTACCTTTTAGGGATAAACTACCCCAACCACCAGTATACACCCATGCAGTACTATCATACCCTATGCCCCATGTTACACCGGAGGAACAAGTTTCAACTTTTTTCAAATGGCCACCCATTTGTCTCCAGAACATCGTAATTGGATCAATGATTACCTAAATAAAACTGATATTATAATAAAATTGATATTAGTTCATTGACAATAATACCGTTGCATACCGATGTTGATTTATAAAGAACACTGCATAATGTCATCAGTCCTTTGATTCGAAAATGTGTAATACTTTGCGGTGATATTCTATGACTATAAAGAGTAAATTCTGTATCGTCAATCAAAATTCTATATCCCCGTGGTTCGCAAACGATTTTTAACGTAAAATCCGAACCAGCTCTCAACGGGCTATCTCCGTTTCTTTCTTCATCGCCCCAATGTCCATTTTGATACGTGTTTCGTACAATTATATTTTCCTTAAGTCTTGGATTAAAATGTAACGCAACATCGTGGCTTTCCATTACAGATTTTTGCTTTACAAATGTTGTTGTATAGCAGACAAGATTGAATGATAATCTGATGATTAGAAAAATGGCCATATAAAGAATATGATGATACATGTATAATTTTATTTTATATTATCTGTCACCTGTCAGCATCATCGTGAATGCAAACTGTAACTTCTAAGGAACTGCCATAGCCAAAACCATTTTGTAATATACATTCAAAAGGTAAATCCTTTCCTGCAACGTCCAATTCTTGCACGTAAACGCCGTTACTATACTGATTTTCCTAAAATAATTTAGCGATATACATATAAGTACTAATACAAAATGTATCGTCTAACATACTTATAAAAAATACCTTAACTTACATCAACAACTGCAGGATCGTATACGTACACATCTCCTAATGCAGTAGTAGCCCAAATTGAATTAGGTCCTGGCTTTCCATAAACATTGTTCATTTGGCAAGAAACTAAAGATCCACAAAAACGTTAATGGTACAATAATAAATATACATATTTGCATATATACCTGAAGTTAAATGCGATAACCAGTCTTCCATTTCAGTGTCGCTAGAAAACTGCAATCTAAGTACTTTAGAACGAGATAATCGAGGAGTGTGAATCGCAATCCGTGGATTACCTGGTTCACTACAACATACCACACACATAATTTCAGACACAGGAAACTGCATCTGAAAAAAATATTTAAAGTTAACAAATAACCTTACGAAGTTTCCGTTCCATTTGATTCACTTATGAGCTTACGATCGTTGTTGCTCCATCTGAATTCAAAATAGTTAGAGTTCCAGAATCCAAGGATCCGCTATCGCTACTTATCCATTCTAACTCGATAACACAATCTTCGTAAGTAGTACTGCCTTTAACTTTACATTTTGCATCGCTATTTTTTATCCAGGATGATCTGTGATAAATAATTATAAATAAGGTATTTTTGGTTTATTAATATTTATATATTTTCAAAAACTTACTTTTCAACAACTTTTTCATATATCAATGGATCAAATTCTATTTCCTGTAATCTTTTCTTCAATTCTTCTAAAATATATATTCTCCAGGGTTCTGCTATATCACCATGACTTGTACCATTAGTATCTGCAATCCTGTAATTTTAATGTACGTGTAGGTATAAACTCTGTACATCGTTGTAAAATAATGAAATGTACCATTTCGGAGGATTGGCTGGATCAACGAAACATGCTCCTGCTTCTACTTTATACCAAGAAGCGTCACATTCGGCCCAGTACATTGCACCGGAACTTTCATCCTCTCCGTAGACACCAGAATCACTAGTTAAGTCAGGATCAAATATACTTCCATCTGTTTCTGGATGCGCTTCTACACCTACCATAGAGCCAACCGAGTGAACAGGACTCCATGCAGCTGGATTTATCTACGTTATTTTAAAGTTTAACTTCAATTCTAGTAAGAAAAATCTATTTAATTAAGTTTCCTAGTTTTAACATACCTTGATAGTACTACCCATTCCTTTTCCAGAAACTACTATAGATTCGCCAGTTTTAGTCAATGATTCATTTGATATAGTTATGTTTGCTACGCTAGCTTCACTTAAATCGGCCATATCTAATGAATTTGCAGATCTAAAATTGTATTCATCAGTAAATAATTATTAATATCGCATAATGATAATGTACATAAATTAGTTACAAGTTTACTTTTTTTCCCCTTCATTTAGGTATATATCTTGGAATGATGTTTGCTGTGGATTTTTAGTCGAGGTACCGTCATTTGTACGCTGCCATAATTTTAAGGATGTTGGCGTTGGTGCAGAACGAGACTGCTCTTCCCACTCTCTAATTAACGTAGTACCTTCGCTGGTACTATGTGGTCGATTCTATAAATTAAAAGTTTTGCTTTACGTTATTAACAGGAATAAATAAATCAATTAATTGAGTGAAAATTTTTATGAAATAGGTACCAACGATCCCCAACTTTGATGTCGCTGTTGTTGAGGAGTACCACACATACTATGTCTATTACTTGATAAACTGGCGTTACTACTTGCTCGACTAAGCTGAAGGGGTGCGTTTATTATTCTCCATTTTTTACCTGTTAATTCCGACCGTGTTATACCAGTACGATAATATAAACCTCGATCTTCGTGACCGATGGCCCAAACCTATTAAATATTAAATAAATGAATATTTACACATTAAGAAACAATATCGCTTTTTATAGTAAATTACCTGATCATTCGGAGCAACTGATACTAATGACATCTTACTTATCATTTCTACCCATCCAGTGCCAGTAGCCATTTGTTCACAAACTCCACTCATTTCACCTTTAATGCCTTTTCTAAACCACACACCTCCATCTTGAGTTACAGCCCACACAGCATCTGTTCCTACGCTAACTTGTATTAATTTTAAGTCTTTTTGAGGGGAATCAATTTCTGCCCAGTCTTCTCCTACAAAAGTAAGGTGATACAGAAATACTGCTTACAATACTGATACTATAATTTTATAATAATTTTATACCCATTGGATTTTCTCTAGTAACGCCTGTGCGCACGAGTGCTTTACCGATCATCAACACAGCCCACACAAGACCAGTTGTTCCAACACTGATTTGGCATACTTCGTAACCACTAGCTAATTTTATAGCACTCCACCTTTGCCCTTCAGGACAAGTTGTACTTGTACCAACACGAAACATTACCTAGTTAATAAGATTACATTGTAAAATAACTGATAACATATTTAATACAGCAATGCATTTTTAAAAGATTATACCCTTCCATGGGCAGTTACTGCCCAAACTGCTAGGCTTCCAGAACTACTTCCAGGTACTTGATTTCCACCCACAGATATATCAATGAATGGTTCCTGAAAAGGTATTCCAACACTTGAATCAAGAAGCTACAGGGAAGTATGTACAAATATTTATTTAGCAATGTTATCATTCATAAATTTAGAAATGTCACCTTGGTTGCATCTTTATGAAGAGGTGCAATAGCACACCATGAATTCATGGCACTATATCTTCTATACCGTACCCACTTTCTTCTTCTAACACAGGATTTCCATTGTTTTTTTGTGGAATATGTAGCTGGAAAATCAACTGCGTATGTCCATCCCTACCAAAATATCAGATTCTCTGTGATCATAAGGCTTTGTTTCGATGTTGACAACTGACAACAAATCTACATATAAACAGAAAGTCATAAGAGATACAACAACAAAAGAAGAAAGTATATAAAAAAAATAAGAAGAACAAAACTTATTGTGTCTTGATTCTAAACATTATAACATAAAAACTAAAAAAATACAACAGAACAATTAATAAAATTCAAAATAAAAGTTACATTAACAATATAAACAGGTACACTATACATATATAAATGCATCACTTGTGATGATTTAATAAATTTAATCATATTTACATCATGATCCAGTGGTTGGCCATCTAATGTAGTTTCTATTTGCCAATCACCTTCCCACTGCCATGCCATGGATGGTAATTTTACTTTATCTCTACTACGGTCAACTGTACCATCTTGATTAGAAAAATTATACCTATCTGTAGGTAATAATCTACCACAAAATCCCTCTAAAGGAAGCCAACGCTGTAAGATTAAAATATTAGAATAATGGTACAAAATAAAATAAAATAACAAACAGTATGATTCATACATACTTCATTTTCATATATTTCTTCTTTGATTCTTATAGGTACATCTAAACCATGCACATGTACATATACCTGACGATCTCCACCTATAGCCCACATAAAATGTGGTACTGCAGATAACTGCTTAAATTCAAGACCCAAGTACATGAACTCTCTCCACATGTTTCCAGTTGTAGACAATCCAAATACACGCCCTTCATTATTTATAGCATACAAGTGTGAACTTGGCATTTTAATGTCTTAACAAATTGTGTTACAGTTTACCTATAAAAACAATGATAGGATTGTTCAGTTTCCAACAGACAACAGTGAATATAATCTTTTTACAACAGTGACTTCATACAATTCTGATAATGAAATTTCACCTACCACTTTCCTTCTATATATAGTATGATAGACTGATTATCTTTCTTGCAATGTAAGTAATATTAGATAACACACATTGTTTTCTCTGGGTAAATGTTTTGATAATTGTGGAAAAATTAATTTATACTAAGTTACTTATGCATCGTGTTTTACGTAGTCAATATTATGCATGTTACAATATAAGTTATAGAGTACGAATCAATACGTTATGCTTGCTCGAAATAAAAATTAAAACGTATAAATTGTCAGTGTTAAGATTAAAAGCATGCTCTTTAAATGACTCAGAATTGTCATTTATTGCTGCAACTGAATATAGGCAGTGTCTACACATCCAAGAAAACTGAAAATACCTTTATTCTCGAGAGAATATAATTTTGGGATTCTCAGACACCCTAGGCGAGGTAAAGTCTGCATGAGCAGAGTTGGCATGATAGTCGTGCCCGTTTTGCAAAAAGACGCAATTGTGATTCCCTTTGATTCTATTTTCTTAGAAATCAGTCAAAATCAGCGCAAACCTGCAAATTATCAAAATAATTGTTTGACAAGTTTGCATCGACTAATCTGTATTTTAAAAAGACCGCCATAAATTTATTAAATTCGATCCTAGCGCCATCTGTACGAAAAACGGCTGAAACTACTCAACGCTTTACCGACAGGATATCGGGGGAGGCACTAGCGCCATCTATCCGAAAGTAGCGGAAACTATTCTGCAAGTAGTTTCAGCCGTTTTCGTACAGATGGCGCTGGGATCGAATTTAATAAATGTATGGCGGTCTTTTTAAAATACAGGTTAGTCGATACAAACTTGTCAAACAATTATTTTGATAATTTGCCGGTTTGCGCTGACGTAGGATACAGCAAATGGCACATATAATTGCATTTATTATTTTATACGTATAAGTAAATAATCTTGTTTCAAAAATTTCAGATTGTTTGAAATTAAAGATTTAAATTTGCTGAACTGATGTGAACACTCTCTAAGAAATCGTTCAGTTGCACGTGCGACTAACATGAGACCAGAATATATAGGTTAGAATAAGATAATTAGAATTTGTAGATTTTAATTAAGTTTTTTGTCTATTTGACTGTAATTACATTAGATTATTGTAAACAAAATGGTGGTATTCACTTGTAATAATTGTGGTGAAACGTTACAAAAACCAAAGGTAGCAAAGCATTACGAATTTCATTGCCGTAGGACACCCTTCGTATCATGTGTTGATTGTTTTAAAGATTTTCGGTAAGTATTAATAAAAGTAACTGGGAAGTAATATATTCACGTACTAAAATATATCATTAATTACTGTAAGAGGTGAGGAATACGTAGCACACACGAAATGTGTAACTGAAGCTGAACGATATGGAGGAAAGGACTATGTTCCAAAACCTGGAGCAAACAAAGGTGAACGAAAACAACAAGAATGGATTAATCTAGTAAATAATATGTTAAATAGCGAAGCAGATTTTACAAGCGCCGAACGAAACTTTTTAAACGTTTTGGCAAAGTATGATAACATTCCCCGAAAGAAGGCTAAATTTTTGAACTTTGTAAAAAATATTATGGGAAATAGAACAAATGCAGCAATAATTGATAGTGTGTGGGATAAAATGCAAACAGCTTATCAGAATGATATGCAAAAAACAACAAAACAAAATGGTAAATGTAATTTATTATTTTATTCCTGTTTACAATGGCTGCTTTTAAAATACTTTATATTGGATATTTAAATAGGTAAGGTCACTGAGAAAGTAGATGACAAGAAAGATCAGGATATACACCAGGAGAATAATGTCATTGAAAATCAAAACAATGAAAATATTTGCAAAGAAAATCAAGCTAATGGTCAATCAAATCAGAGTAATGGATTACATGATAATGACAATACTGCTACTAGTATTAAGAAGAAAAAATCAAAGAAAAGAAAAGTATCTGAAACAATGCAAGAACAAACAGAAGAGCCAATATCTAAGAAGAAAGCAAAAAATAATCTTACAGAAGAAACAGAGGAAAATAAAAATGGATTACTTTCTGAACCACCAGTTACTCAGTGTAATAAGGGAATTGAAAATTCAACCTTCAACTGGAAGAATACTATTTTAGATATAGTAAAAAGTAAAGAAGAAATTTCCTTAAGAAAATTACAGAAGAAGGTGATTTCACAATACATGAAATTTTGTTCAGATGCAGTAACACAAGAAAAGGCATCTAGCAAGTTTAATAAAAAACTAAAGAAAGTGTCAGAAGTAGTAATTTCTGATGAAAAAGTAAGACTAGCATAATAGTATTAGTAAATATAATTACTATTATCATAAAGTAATGATTACATTTAAGTACAAGTTTTAGAAACTAAATTTATTGTTTTCTTTTTCAACGAGATGAATCATAAAAATTGTTTACAATATCACAGAATTTACCTAAGATTAATAATTTATCACTGAATAAATATGAAATACAAAACACCTCAGCAGTTATATAAGGTTTAAACTTGATTTACAAAACATTTTCCCTAGTAAATTTGTATTAAGGATAAAATTTTTTATAAGATTTGTGAATAAATGTTTTAAAACTATTTGCTTTAAGGAATTGTGTTTTGGTACCCATTCTTTAAAGGAAGGATTTTTTGGTATTTTAATAGGAAGAATAACTTGAAACACATAAATGAAAGTTAATACTTTAACTTGAAATTGGTTGTCATATTAAATATTCGAAAATTTATCCAAGTACCAAGCATGGTTATTCATAGTAGCTAAAAGACCCCATGTAAGTATTTTGGAATCATTGGGACCAAAACTGATCGATTGTTGGTCAAATAATTGTGTAATTGTACCACCAAGAGCAGTGAGAATTGCAGTGCCTGCACAAATATCCCACTTCTTTATTGCTGTCATGTGAACATATGCAGTTGCATTTTTACTCACAACTTCTAAAAATTTGTAACCTAAATACACATAATAAATTCATTAATTTATAATAATGCACATTGACTTTTGAAAAATATTAAATCGGCAATGTTACCTGCACCAGCTGCAGAAACAATTTGAACATCTTTACCAAATGCAATTTTGGTAACATTATGAACTTGACCAGCATGTGACTGAGATACAATTAATATTGGTGGTCTATTCTCTTCTCCCTATTTTTAAAAACGCTATTTAATAGATCAAATCAAATGATTTCTTTATATTTATTACCTTTGGAAGTACTTGCAGATTTTTTGAAATTCCATGATTAGTCCATGTCCAAAACAAACTAGAATTTTGCTTTGCTTCAAATGGTTTGTATATAACACCTATTACAGGTTTGCCTTTGACAGCAACACAAACCATAGTTGTAACATATTGCAACAAATTTTCTAAAAAGAGGAAAGATTAACAAACAGTACATGAAAATACAGAAGAATAATAACTTTGCTTAATAAATGCACCTGTAAACTCTTTTGTTGCATCAAGGGGATCGATCCAAACTGTGATATCATTTGAATTTACAATCTCATCCTTAATATTATAATCTCTTAAGCTATTAACCGAGTCTTTCATATTTGAAACTGTTACTTTATCACAATCTTTTGATGCTTCCTCTGATATTACTGTTATATCAGGAAAAGCTTCCAACAAAGAGTGATACATTGCACAATGAGATCTATAATCTGCTTCTGTTACTGGATCATTTATACCTGTTAAATTAAAAAAGGAGAGCATAGAATTATTTGTAAGTATGCATACTGTATGATTGTTTATTCATCATTGTTGCAATTATCATAAACTGAATTACCTTCTTTTGTTTTTCCTTTGCTTTGTATTTCAAATTTCACTTGATCATGAACTGCTATAACTTCAGAAGCACCAAGTTCAGCTGCCTTTATAGCAGCAGCAAGAAGTAATTTTAAAGAAACATTTTTCTCATGGTCACTCGAATATGTGGTTCGATTTGTATATAAATATAATACACTTAATAATAATACGATTCCGCAGAAAATTGTTCTTCTCATACGTACGCTCATTCTGATATGCATAGCAAAACACCTTCCAGAATTATTTTTAAGTATATTTATCACTTTGATTTATTTTACAAACTAAGGTATTTTAATTCATACGTGGCCATTTTTAATGTATTTAAATTTTCCAATATTGAATCTTCGCGCTCTATACACGAAATTGATATTGAATATGAATTATATGTTTCTTTTAATTTTACACAGCTTAATAATTTATTACATGATTTGTACATAAAGACAGGCTTCATGTAGTTATTCCTTAAATAGTTTTAATTTTAATTTTTGTTAAAATCATGCAACACATTAATATATTTCAAGCAAAGCTTTCAGATAGATTGCTCTATTTGTATTAGGTTAGGTACCACGAGTCGAATGCGTATAAAAATTGACTTACTTCCATTGATATAATAATTGAATTAATTAACGTAAAAATAAATTTATAGCAATCATATTTAATTAAATAATTTACTTCGAATTGTATTTTACATTTAAATATAAATTACAACAAAATTATGTTACCTCAATGTTTTTTTTACAAAGTTAAATTCTCATTTCTAAGAATGCAAAAAGCAATATAACAATCATTTTTATTACAGTTCTATACAAGAACAAATTTTATTGATCGGTAATATTACATGTCAATAATTGCAATAACATTGTGTATAACTTTATCTCAAAAACCAGTTAAACAACATTGTTATTGCAATTAAGATAATTATACAGAATTAGATCAAAGCATTATAGTATACCTAAATTATACATATTTATGTTTATATTTAATTCGGATTATAAAATATAATATTCATTGCAAAGAACTGCTTACCTTTTGCTAAAATTAATATAATGAAAGGAGAATATTAAGTAAATGAGATAACAAGTGAGACAACATTGTAGATTTTTAAAGGTATGCTATTAATAGTGATTACTGAAATATATTAATTTGATACCATTGTACAGTGCACTTTCTACACAAATAATAAAACACTTTCATTGCACATTAATATAATATGTGCACTTCTTTTTCCATTGTTTTCTCATTTTGTAATTTCTTTCTTCTGTTCAACTGTGGGATAACATGTACTATTTTTAGTAACCTCGTAATAATTTATAACTGGATTATTTGATTCACACATTTTACATCACTTCTTTATTGCAATAATAAGTAATAGCCTTTGCTTTTTCTCTAACTTATGCACCTAATATTTTAAATACGTGATGAAGTTATTTTAGCAATTTCATCTATGAAATTTTAATAATTACTTTAAAACACAAAAAATGTCATTCCACTTGGTCCAGCAATAACTGCACATTGACAAGTTGTTAACGATTTTAGCAGTTGCTGTTACACACTGTCATCTGTTCAAACACAACAGAGAATGCTACATAATTTGCTTTTCAAAAGAATATTTATTAAATAATTTAAGAATATCATTTCTTATAAAAGAAACATATAACAATAAGTATTTAATTGTATTAGCCATACATATAATGCTCTACTTACCATGATACCACCACTTTGTTTTTTTGGGATTTTTATTACATGTTCTCACATAAAATAAATTGTCAGGTGGCCTCTTCTGAAAAATAATAGTTTTTTAAATACTTAATTAGTATTAAGAAGACAAAACCATCTTTCTAACCTTTTCTTTACAACTGCTTAACATTGATACAATACTTAAACAAACACTTTGCACGCTTAAAGCTGGAGACCAATCATCAGTTAGAATGGATAAGCATATATGACCATTGCTATACACATGAGGATGCACTGGTATATTTCCACCTATGAAAGTTACTTCTGGCGAATCAAATGGATATTTAGAACTAAATTTGAATTGCAGTTGAAATCGTTCCCCTTCATACAAAGTGCCTTTTGCACCTTCCATGTGAACAATCCATTGTGTTAAATTTTGACCAGCAAGATCTTCATCTACATGTACGCCTGGTGGTGGTTCACGTATTAAAGACATTAATTCTTTCTGTAATCTCCGCTGAAACAATGTTCCAAAACTTTTATTGTTTGATACAGTTTTTATATTGTTTTATTTAAGGTAGAATTTCGCAGGATTATGTAAATGGTATTTATTCAATCTGTTATTTATACAAACACATTACTATTATTAAAATATGATTTAATATTATATTTTCTTTTACAACAATAATATCAATAATTAAAAATAAAAACTGTATATAAATGTACAAATTAGGGGTAAGTTTTCGTAACGTGAAATGTAATCGATGAGACTTCGCTTGGATCGTTGCCATCAATTCAAACATTACAAAAATATCACGAAAATAGCCAAAATTTTCGTACAGTTAAAAGGAAACGCGTCTTATTTGACGCAAAACGTCATCCAAATTTTGACGAATGACACGCAAAGCAATTCTTATTTCGAGGAGTAGACAACATTTTTCTAATGTTATGAAACCCGCTAAACATTAAACGCTTTGATCAAATATTATATGACATTAAAATACAATGATACAGGGAAATAGGTGTACATTACAGAAACTTCAATATTAACTTACCTTCGACGGAGACATTGCCGCCATTGTCGTTATATCGCTTTCCATTGAAAAACATAACCGCTGTTCATTGCAACTTACATGGATTACTTGCTCTGTTCATTCTTCACCTCAAGGACGTAAAATTATTTTAACGATAGTGTTTTGCATTTTCTTCAAATTTTGATTAGTTCGATTTTATACAAAAGAAAAGAGTAGCGTACACTTACAAGGCGTTGTTGTAGAGAAAACTTTGTGTAAATCAGTCAAACTTGACAGCCATGCTTAGATATACTGGGGCAAATATACAATAGACGATTGTTACTATTTTATAATACATATATACACCTTATTTCTACATATTACAGCTATAATTTTAATAAATTGAAAGCTATAAATGATACGTAAGAGCGCAATTAATTCGTAATTCTCAGTAACTAAAACTTTTTCAACTTGTTTCTATTGCAATTTTGAGAACATTACTTACTGGTTATTACTTTTTAAATAACCAATTGAAAAATCGATCACATTGCAGTTACACATTTCGTTTATCCGGTGCAACCCTTAAAAAATGACTAAGAATAGTGGAATTATAAGTTGTGTCTGAAATTACTATACACGTGAAATAAATACAGCATTTATAATAAATATTTTCAACAACTAACATTTTGTAATACGCTAATGAACTTCATACATTGATTACACCCTATAATGTGGTATTTTTGAAAAATCAGTTAAATGATTTTATGCAGTACATATATATATTTAAAAAAATATATATGAAAAGATAAAGTTGAATAAGTATTACTATGTTATTATGGTTATCAATTAAATATTATCACAAACAAAATCTTTCCATTAAAGGGTGCATTTCTTTTCAGTGCCAATGTAACTAAAAGATAAATTATTCATGACTTCAGCAGAACATTTTATTAGTTTAATTACTGTGGCAAGTGCTAAAAAATTAGCTACTGGACTTGTCCTTTGCTTCATTCTATACCATGGATTGATGCATCTTATTTATGGTAACAAACATATTGTTTAACTTTCTTAAATAAAAATATTCATTGTTTAATTAATCATTATTTCTTCAGGTAGTGATTCTTGTAAATGGTTATTAACCGAAGGAAGATACAAAGGAGACAAAGAATGGCAACCCTATGGATGTATGATGCACTATTATACACAAACGTAAGAATTTCAATGTTATAATAAACAGTGTTATATATAAATTATTTCCTATTACTATTATTTACAGAGACAGCCGGAGATGCTTGAGATATCTAGCTTTCATGGGCCACCGTAATCATTTTGTATTTACTGGAGATGCCAGAATCAGGCAGTTGTATAAATCTTTCATATCTCAATTTATAGTTGATGGAAAAACATCTGATTTAACAGAATTACTAGATAATTCTGATTTACATTTTAATGATGCCCAGCTCAGGTTAAATGTACAATTTTTGTGGAGACCTCAATTGGATAATGCCATGATAGAGGATCTAAGAAGCTGGATGGTAACTCATACTTTGAACATACTTTGGATATTCATAGTTAAAAATTCCATGTGGATATTAATGATTATGTTCTTTTTAGAAAAATGATGCACCTAGCTTGATTATTGCAGGCTGTGCAGCAATGACAATTCTTGCAAACAACAATAGCGATGCTCAACTATATTCTGAATATACAATGGGATTAGTGAGACTTGTACAGCCAGTAGACTTTTTGTCTAAAAAGAATACAAAGTATTTGTGGATGCTGCAGGATCCTGTGTTAAAAGAAAGGCTTCCAACTCAATTATCAGGCATAGATAATAGACAGATCAATTTATGTAATAAAGCAGCAGTAAAAGTAAGAGTTCATTCATATATACTTCAATGATCATTCCAAGAGATAATGGATTTATATATTTATCATACACAGATATTGTCTCACAGTGAGGCTCATATATGGGAAAGCAGTAAACTTGTTGGTACAGGTGTCTTAGAACAAAGTCCAGATGGATACTTGGCTAGTCCTCTATCTTTGAGGCACAAAGTTCAATTATTATTGAACACTTATTGCAATGATCATATGAATTTTGATGATGGTAGTTGTTGTAGTTATCCAGAACCAGCAACAACGTTGCAGTTACTAAGTTTATCCGCACTTGCTCTGTGGTAATTGTTTATATATTACCGTATTACATTTTAAACATATAGTAAATAATAGTTCATTACAGTATAGTGATCGGTGGTGGAATATGGATATATCGAAAATTTTGTTACTATCGAACTGAAATATCTTACTTACGTGTTACCACTGTCGAAGTGGAAAATACAGAAGAAGCAAATACTTCCGAAATTACACAGATTGAACAGCCCGAAGCACAAGACTTTTATACTTTAATAACATCATTGGCCCTTTTATCTATCATTCTGGCTTACTTTTATCTGTGCGATAGGTACCTTAAAATATTTTCTACTATTTAATATATTATTAATCGTTATATGTATATATCTACAATTTTTATATTGTATTCAGAACAAATTTCTTCATGAAGGAAAATAAATACTATAGCGAATTTAGTTTCTGGTTACCACTTGGATATATATTGGCTCTTGGATTATTTTTTACCGAAGATAGAGAAAGGGGACCAAGGGCTTTAAATCGGGAACAAACGGACGAGTGGAGAGGGTTAATGCAGGCTGTTGTATTAATCTATCATGTTACCGGAGCCAAGAATGTTTTGCCTATTTATATGTACTTAAGGTTAATTAACTCCGCTTATTTATTCCTTTCCGGATATGGACATTTTTGTTACTTCTGGCAAACGGGTGATGTTTCCTTAGTAAGATTTGCTAGAGTAAGTATTTAGAAAAATACCAAAATACCATGTACTCTGTTGTACTAATATATGTATTCATTTTATTTTTCAGGTGATGTTTAGGTTAAATTTTTTAACAGTATCCCTGTGTCTTTGTATGAATAGACCGTATCAATTTTATCATTTTGTTCCATTGGTCTCATTCTGGTTTTTAGTCATCTACTTCTTAGCATGGATACCTCCAAGAATATATTCTGGTAGTTTGAATGAATATGGACCAAGAGCTTTACTCTACCTTGCTTTAAAACTTCTAGGTCTTATATGGATGATAACGATATTATACATGTCAGAGGTATGTATAAATCATCTAATATGTATAGAATTTTTTAATTGTAACAAAAATAAGCAATAGGTAGTCCTATAATAGGTTTTCTTTGAAAAAGTATTCGTAACAAGACCCTGGAAAGCATTATTCGTTACAACCGATGATGATATACGTGAATGGTGGTCACGATGGAGAGTAGACAGATACAGCGTTGCTTGGGGCGTAACTTTTGGAGCAGGCCTTGTAGCTTTACAAAGGATAGATCACATTCCTGGAACTGCATTATCTTCTGTATTGGCATTAATTTCTTTGACCGCTTACACTACTTTTACCATATTGTGTCACTCGGTATCTGAGTGTGAAGAAATTCACTCATACGTCGCTTTTATACCGGTAATAATCTATAATTTATCATTTATTTTCTTTTTTTATAATTAAACTTAGTTTTTTATTACAGATTATAGGATACATAGCGCTAAGAAATGCATCATTAGCATTGCGCGGTAAACATTCAGCACTCTTAGCTGGTTTAGGTCGAATCAGTTTAGAAACTCTAGTCGCACAGGGTCATATTTGGTTGGCAGCAGATTCTCATGGTGTACTAGTATTACTGCCTAGATTTCCAGTATTGAATCTATTAGTCACGTCATTCATTTTTATATGTGCAAGCCATGAAGTAAGTGTCCGAATGTTTCAGTTTTTACCTTAACAAATTGTTAATTCTATATAATAATGTTTTACTTATTTTGGTAGATACATAGATTAACCCGGGTATTAGCACCATATGCAGTACCAAATGATTGGAGATTAGTGGCTCGTAATTTGTTATTATTTATTGCAGTCCTTGTACCTATTGGTATTCATGATGGAATGTTTTAAAGTACATATTCTTATATGATAAGATGGACATTTTTTTCTATAAAAGTGTAAATATTATGTGTAACAGATACACAAAGGCTTGTAACATTTTTCACAAGTTTTGTGAAACTATTCTTTCTTCTATCAGTCATTTTTACAGTGAGGAAAATAAATAAATAATTTGAAAGAAAAGATTTACTTTAGTTATTTGCAATATATTTATATATTTAACTATTTATACCAGATAAATAGAACAATGAGAATTTAACAAACATAATAGGAATTGTTTTAAAATTGATGACTATATTTTTTTTAAATAGAGGTCAATGTATATAATTTTTTGAATTGTACATTAGATTATCATGTTTCACATGGCTAGTATAAACATCATAACCAAGAGATATAGTGTTATCATAAAGAACTCTATATCTTGTAGGTAAGAAACAGAAATTAAAAATTTGAGCTGGTGGCCAAACAATCCATTCTGCTACATATAATTTATATGCTTTATTAATAATTTCAGCTTTTAATTCAGCCCAACTACTATTTTCTAAAATGCCTAGTGTTAAAAAAAACATACTTATACAAAGTGGAGAACAGACTAATTGATCAATAACAACCTTTTTTAAAACAATATCAATTGTACGACCTGGTAATCTAGCATCTAAATATCTGTACCAATAATGACATACTATACCAATGGACATTCCAGAAATGGCCATATTTTTTGTTCTATTCGAACTCCACTTATCCCATTCATTCTATGATAAAAATTAACCACTATAAAAACCTTTAATCTAAATCGAGGATTAAGAACGATTAATTCAACTGATTACCTTTAATATTTCATAATGCTGTTCTAATACATCTCCAGTTGCAGAGAGGGAAATAGATATTGCTACATTTGTATACAACAAATATTTTGATGAAAATAGTAGTTCCTTGACTGTGGATATCCTGTTAATTACTGAACTAATGTTTCTCGTAATGTTCATTATCTAAAAAGAAAGTTATTATTCATAATAAATGTGATTTTAAGGTTACGTGAAACTTCAAGATAAAATATAAAAAAAATTTAGATGAAGCATGTCAAACTTACAGATAGTAACAAGTGTTTATTAAAACATTAAATATTTTTATACAGAAATATGTACTTGTAAATAGTACATTAAAGAATCACGTCTTATATACTTGTAAATAAATACATTCAATCAAATTATTTGGTTAAATGACTGTATATTGAACTTGGTTAAAGGTTAATTTTATAAATGAGGTAGAAAGCTAAAGTAAAATGCATATGCATATTTGCATTTACAAACTGTAAAAAGTTTCATTATTCGTTTAACAATCTAGGTTAAAGTTTATTTAGTAGATTCTTTACAATATTTTATTTATGATGATTTCTTGATTAGTTACTGAATATTGTTGGATATTCTCCTAACAGTTATGTTATTTTAATCAATGTTTACATAGTTGCTGAAAGTTTTATTTACAAACATTTTGTTTAACACATTTTAATCATATTATACATGAATTATACTATAGTTATAATTTAATTTAATGATACAATTTAAATTACGCGCGTTAGCTTCCGTGAGATAGCATCCGTTTATCCTGGCTTGGCGCCCAAACTGATAAAAAGGCGGGATCCTTCATGACATTATCAACGAACGTAGATCGTCAGGGCAATTAGAAATCCGTAAATAATATTGGTTTTTCGAAAATTTTAACGGACTTCTATAGCACACATATATATTCGTATATAAAAAATGTCTCAACCGTTAGTTACGTCGTATTTTAATACGCGTAAGCGACCAGCAACCGACGATTTACGAAACAAAGCAAAGGTTCTGCTTCTGGATCGGGAGGACTCAAAATCTGTGAGTAATCAAAGTGAAAATCAAGTAAATAAGGATAGTTCTGAATTATCCGGATCATTGACTCCAATTCAAGAAGAACAAGCAATGGGAACAAGTCCAAAAGTTATACTCGCATCAGGAAAGGAGCCAAAAGGTAATCGCTCTGTAAAGTCAAATTCAGCTGTTCGAAATATTCAGTTTGATTCTCCTAAAACAAATGCTCAAAAGGCACTTAAAAACAATGCTAGAACACGAGTCACCCGTTCACGACAATTATCTGGCCAAGAGGGGCAAACAGATATTCGAGAAAGCTTTCAGAAGGTTACAGAAGATGCAGATGCGAAGAAGGTACTTTTTGAGAAAAAAGGTGCTTTAAGTCCAAGAAAGAAATGTCCAGAAACACCGAAGAAAAACTCTTCTTCTATTGAAACCACGGTCACCTCTGTTTTCAATGATCAAATTCCACCTAATTGTACAACACCCAAAAAAAGTTCAGCTATGGATAAATTGGCAAAGCAAGAGTTGTCTTTAAATGAAATCAAAAACAGAATCAATAAATCATCTAGACTTATGGAACTGAAAGCATCTATAGCACGTTTTAAGAACTGTGAACAGAAATTAGAGAAATTGCAAAAACAAAATGAGATTAAGAAACCTCAGATACAGAAGTTTGAGAAGATTCAACTTGAAATTCCAGTTAGGTAAGATATTTGTAGCTAGAAAATTTCTGGTTTCTTTAAACTGTTTATATTATTTTTCACAGTCCACAGAAGGCATATAAATCACCAAGCAAAACCATCTTAAGTCCAATGAAGAATAAAGAACTCTTAAATGCCAGTCCTCAAAAACGAATTTTATTTGAGCCTAAGGAAACGACTGCGAGCGTTGTAAATGGTAGTCCAACCAAAGCACCAGCTTATCAACAATATTTATCGCTTGTCGAAAGCGGTACTCCAGCTTTGCCATTGCCATATAAATATCGCTTTTTAGCAGAAGCATTTAGATGTGTAGACACGGTATTTTCTTAACTTTTTCATTTATTATCAAGTTGATATACAAGTAATTGTTCTATTATAACATTTAATTGTTTTTATAGGTTTCTGCGATTTTATTCAATCGCAAAGAGACAATAACATTCAAAAAGTTAAAACCTGCTGTTCAAGAGTTACTTCGTAAAAATTTTACATTAGAACATTTGGCACAAATCAAAACTATTTTCCCAGATGCATATGTTTATAATCAAGAAAAATATCGTACATTTGGTTCTACGTCTAAACAAGATAAATACGAACTAGTTCTTATACCAGTTGTTGAAGAAAATAATGGAAGAAATACTCCAGATCCAGATAATGTATTAAAAACTGCATCTGAAGCTAGTATGGGACCACAAGTATTACTGCACAGAAGAAGGAAGTTTTATAATATTTTACTCGGTATTGATATTTTGTTTCAAAAAAAGTATAATTGAAATATTTTTTTAAATTCCATAATCATTTTAATCTTTTACTTACCTTTCAATTGTAGATAGAGTGAAGGACGAACATGAGAAATTTTTACTTAGCTTGGAAACACCAATGCGCATACCAAAAGAAAAAATTGTGCGTTGGCACCCGGAATTTGATGTGGAAAGTTGTAATCCAATTGAAGTAGCTGATTTGCCGGAACCGCCCAATGTAGAAAAAATGACAACTGCAAAAGATGTTCTCGGTAAAGAGATCATCATAAATTTATTAATTAATTTTCAGTGTTTTCCGAGTTATTAAATGACCTTAATTAATTATTGTAGATAAAGCAAAATCGCTATTTAATTGTGGTACTCGTATGGAGAAAGCTTTACAACGATTAGCAGAAGCAAAAATGACTTCAAAGACACTTTCTCCAGAAAAAAATAATGATGATGTTGTGATAAAGACTGAAAATGGTGTGAACGCTGTTGATATTCCTGTTGTAGACACACCACCTGCTACACCCACTGTACAAAGTAATAATATCAGTTCAGCATTGAAAGGTATACCAAAGGCTTTACTTGAAAAGGTAAATATCTTGACGTAAGAATTGATTTTTACTACTTTCGTTCAACTGTTCAGGATGTGAAATTCAATTATTTTTTAGGTCCGGGCTAAACAAGCTGCTAAAGCGCTTGAAGCAATGACGCGTACGCCGAATGCTGAAAAAGAAGCTGTGATGTATTCAAGATTACCTGAATTGGTTAAACTGTTACGTAATATCTTTGTAGCCGAAAAAAAGGGAATTTTACCTTTAGAATTTGTAACTACGAAATTGGAAAATTCTTCTAGAGCAAAATTAACTATCGCTGAATTGGAGGAGCATATACGTTTGCTGTGTAAGCTATTACCCACGTGGACTAGTATACATCATGTTCGAAAAGTGGATTATTTAAAGTTACAAAAGGAAATAGATCTCGGGAAAGTAATTAAAAGACTCGAAGTTATGGCCAATAGCAAAGTAACGTCCACATGATATTTATTATAAAATGATCATTTTCAGTTTATGATTTACACATAGATTATTATACATATTATTATTTCTCTTACCTTTTGCAATATTTTGCTACAATTTACAATTATGTAATAATTATGTTACGCTTTCAATGAAATGCAATGCATAGATTTAGTTTTGATCAAAAATAAGGTGGGGAATTGAACTTCATATATTGTTTTCTATAAAAATTGAATATATTTGGTACTACATGAATTGGTTTAGTTGTCAAAGAGACTCGGTTAATAGAGGATTTTTTTTTTTATAAAAGATCCGTATTATGTAATAATAATACAATTTTTCAATCAATAAATACACAATCTTGTGCATCTTATATCTTATAAATCTAATACATTAAGAATGATTCAATTTTGATCTTGAACGCTTATCATTTTGATAATATTTTAATATGTTTTGCTTATAGAAAATGTGAAATAATAAACAGATAAAATGAGAAGTTCCTGTTCAAATTTAAAAAATGAGTGATTGAAAGAATGACATCTACATGAAAAGTTTTGATACATAGTTATAACTTGTAAGTATAGAGGGCATTTGATTATTTCCTTTATATCCTATTCATGGTATGGTAGGTCGCTAAGATTGTTGCTTTTAATTCTTAACCTATATTCATCAAGCAATTAATACATACGTTACAGAAGCATATTATTAATACAGATTGAACGAGATCCATCCAAAATCATGTTTCTAACGAATATATTGTTAAAAAAGGCTAAATCCAAGTGAGTACATCTAGTGATGTAAAAGTTAGGTTAACTCATTTTACCTTAATGCTTTTGTTTGTTTATAGACGTGTTTTGGTATCAATAAAAAGTGTAGCAACTGGTCATATGCGTAATCAAATACGAGAAAGAACAGCTGACAAAATAGAAACAGTGTTTTTTGATCCTTGGGGTAAGTTTCTATTATAATTTAAATATAAATTTTTACTTTATTTACAATAACATCAAATTTTTACATTTTCAGTCCAAGCAATGTCGGTATACAAAGAAGTCAGGAAAATTAAAAGTATATAATTTAGTATACAATGCATTCGTAAATAAAATGATTAATATAACAATTATAAAATAAATATGTAAATTTCATTTATGAAATTAAGAATTATAGTAGCTGGGCTATTGTTTCATCCAGTTTGCGATTGAATGTTTAAAAGGAACAGAACGTCGCATCTGTAAATTTGAAACAAAGGAACCGAACATTTTGTGAAAAACAATGAGATACCATCGTACAATGGTTTTGAATAGACCACACAGATATCAGAAGTTCTGCTCGAGTTATGCGTCTATATAGTTGTGTGTATCGAAAGAAAAGTGTAGAGGGGTGTAGAAAGAGAAAACAGAGAACCACGAAATCGAGATTGGGGTAGGTTTCCTTTGATCCTTAACAAGGAACGCAAAGTTGTATTATTTCCACCTGAATTTCAAACGGTTTGAAATTTACGAGGCGTGAAACGTGGCTCTATTCTCTTTCTCTCTTTCTCGTAACCCTTCTATATACATCGTTCTCTTTTACCCTTCTCTTTCTCATTCTTTGCTCCTTTTTGGCAGTACGGGAGCAAGTCGGCATCGTTTACTGATGTTGCCAATTCAATTTCTTCTGGCGAACCATTGTCGTGGGTAGAAGGAGGGTTGTAGTTGGAAAAAAAGGGGTTCCCCTTTCCAACCGAATCGTCTCTATTTTCACGACAGTGCGTATGACAACTGCTGACATCTAGGCATCTTTTAAGTTCATTCTACGAAGAAAAACTTTGTCGTTCGTAGTGCGGCGTTTTATTATTACTATAAAGATATCTATAAAAATGTAGGATGAGGCAATTCAAAATTTTTAACGCGTTTTAATTCCATTTAAATGTTTTTTTTTTTTTAGAGGTATGTAATTTGTTAACCGGTAATTAAAGTGCACTATATATCGGTCATCTTTATGAAAACGCCAGACCTTGTGAGGAGAAATTTAATTGTACGCGGGGTTGAGAACGTAAAATCGCGAAACAAATGAACCTTCGACGAAGCGTATTTTTTTCCTGGCACAATGAGTTTCGAAGTGGTGAGCAACAGCGAAATTGTTAAAACGTTCGTTGTTTATAGTCGACCCGGCGGAACAGCCGGTAAAGGAGGAAACAGTACGCAACGAAGAGAGCGAGGTAGAGTGATAGGGAGCGAGCGTGGGCGGGAAAAAGAAACGATGTGAAAAGCAAAAACAGAAACGAAAGAGAAGGAGAGAGAGAGAGAGAGAGAGAGTGAAAAAAAGAGGCACGTCTGAGCCTTGGCGCGTTTCAGTTGCCTCGCGTTCGAGGGCGTTTTTCGCCCGCGAGTTGTTCTTTGCTTATTACAGTGTGTGCACTGGGCTCGAGGCTTGCTTAAAGTGGTTTGCTGCTAATTAACTGCGTTATTTTTACAACTCTCTTGCTCCCATCTACCACCCACGTCTCCTTCCACCCTTTTTCCTCTTTCCTTCCCCCAACTGTTCTCTCACATTTGCAATGGGGTTCAATAATTCTGCGGTCGCAACGCCCTCTCTCTTCCTCTCGCTTTCTACTTCTTTCCATCATTTTCTTCTTACTTTTTTTACTTACTTAGGTACTTTAGACGGTTTAGTATCTATTATGAATACATATTTCTTTTTTTATATCTTTTTGATTTTACATTATCTCATTTTTCTTTTTCAGTGATTCCTGATTGCTAAAACTTGAACTAGTTTAAAAAGAAGCTTCTTTCCACATACCATCTACTTTGGTACATGGATTTTTATTTTATGAACTTTTGCATTGGTATGAGTGATTACGAAGAAGGATGTTTGAGAATTTTAAAGTATGTTATTTGAAATGATTTCCAAACACTTTAACATAGTTTCTCTATGTTATCTAGGAGAAGGTATTATCATAATTTATTCAACACACAGTAGATTCGTTCTTAATACTGCGCTTGCGGACTTTCTCGTTCTGTAAAATTAAAACCAGTCTCTGACAATATTTTGCATAAAAAATAACTTTAATACCTTGATATCAGGTTTGCGAAACGGCTATTGGTTGCCGATGGAACCGGAGGTAGAGAAGCCGAAGATCGTTGTATAGGTATCTCTCTGTCGGTAGCCGTAGCACCCTTCTTTTCTGCGCCACGAAAAGGCACTTGAAATAAATTGAAAATGGCTGGTATCGCTCTGCTCTCGGATAAGTGATACCTACATCACCTACACGCACATCGGTCACCGCAGACATCCATGGTATTTTTTCTTTCACATGCACAATACAGACATTCAAATAGAAAACCCGAATCTTTAACAAAAGGATAATCAATTAAAACCGTGTTAAAACGTTATATCAATTAGGTAGCTGGTTGCAGGAGGAAAATTGAAATCTGAATGAAAAGGAAGGGTGGCGTTCTTCACGGTAATCGAAATCCTATGGAGAATTTAACGAATTCAATTTACCCGCCATGGATGACACACTACAAGTATGCAATCACCCTTTTTTTTTTGTTTTTTTCCCCCAATGGGAATATTGGAATTTTGTTCACTCGGATTTGAACCATATGGTAATTGTAAAACACACACGTTAATTGGAAGACACCCGATGAAATTTCAAATGTTTTAATCCCACTGTAGGGGACTATGGACACGCAGAACTTTTGTAACACCTGAAGATAACGGTACTGTTAGGTAAAATCATGTTATTGTATGAAAAGAAGGAAGCGTTCAAATTTCCAACTGATCGCTGGTGGAGAACGTGTTAATTTGTTGGACATATCCAATCATCGAAACTAATGTCTAAAACGGTATCTTTTTTCCCCCCGTTCGACAGGATGAAGCAGGAATTGGAATATCATCGATGGCTTTCTATTAGGACAGATGGTCTGTCTCGTTATTCGATGAAATCGAGCTCGTCGAAAATTTATGCACTCCCTGGTACTCCTCGCGGTAAAATCATTTCCAAAATGCACGCATTGACCCTGTGGACCGGGTTAATTTTCGGGGCGCACACGCGTGTCACCGTGTGCGCATTCACGCGAGTATAAATCCGCGTACACACGCGTACACACGTGGAGGCGTGCGAAAACGTGGGTGCGCGCGAGACAGGACACGCACAGGGAAAGCATGTGAGAAGGCACACGAACAGGAAGGTGTATTGAATCGACGAGTATCATGCAGTTGACAGCTAGAGCTAATTGAATCTTGACTCTATCTATCTGTCGACCCGAGCTGAGACCCAAACGCCGCCGCCGACGCCGCCGCCGCTGCTGCTGCGAATTGCATTTCCGTTCGACAGAATCGTTCGCGCTCGAGAATTCTATCTTCTCCCCGTCCGCCTTTAATCCTCTTCGTTTTTGTAATATAGAATTACACGGAAATTCAGCGACTCTGAAACTGCAAGAGGCTAACATCTTTTATTTTCTTCTACCCTTGTGCACTGATCGAGTATGATTACAATTTGTTACAAAGGCAGGAAACTTTAATATTATTTTAAAAATAATAAGTAATTCTTGGAAGGCTAAGAGAATTCTTTCTGTTGCAGCCTTGAATATTATGAAACCTTGAAGAATGCTTTGCTATAAAAAGATTCCTGTATAAAGGAAGGAATATTATTCATTTGGAGAGAAGTTTGGAACGGAGTAAAATGATGATTTTTAATGGACTGTTTTTTTTATCACTGTTTCATCATTTTGTTTACGCAAAAAGTTGTGAGATGTACCATTCCTTTTTCCCCTGTTTATTTCAACAAGAAACACGATACAAAATGTTATAGAGAGCTCATGAAAGAACGACGGTGTGTGTACGATGGTTCGAAGGGAATCTCTTTTATTAGGAACGGAAATTTCTTTTCAGCGTAAATTGAATGGAAGATTTCCGTGCAGCAGGGCATTCAATTACGTGGTGGATCAATGGGAGCTCTCAATGAAATTTTAATTGGAAAAGAGCAAGATGTACAGGGCGAGAGATGCAACAGAATGTTCCTTGATCAAAGGTGCAATAGACGTTTCGAGCACATCGTTTGCAACATTATTTTCGATCTCAAGTTTCTCGCGATTTAACTCAATTAAAAAGGTAAAGAGAAGAAATTGAACATTTTTCTTCAGACTCGAGTAAACGTTTAACCGCATTAATTTTCTTTAACTTTATTAAAGTCTATTTGTAAAGAAAAGGAAGACCTTTATAAATTTCATATTTTCAGGTAAAGGAAGGAGTAGACTTTAATAGAATAATCAGTGTTGACTGCTAGGAGAGTTACCTATTTAATTTAAGACATATGGAAACTTTAATTGTAAGACTAAATTAGACCCAGCCATGGTAAACGCGTTAACCATTGCAATATTCTTGTAAACAGAAGAAGTGAAAGAAGCGAGATAGAAAGAGCGAGGAAAACGTAGAATGGGGATTGGTATCACCGTCTAGGATTCTATAATCCGTACGATCTTTATCGTTAAATTCTGTACCCGTGGACCGATGCCTCGATTGCGCAATCAAGATGGCATCGAGAAAGGCATCTCTCGCCTTCGACTCAAACTACCAACAAGTATTTCAATATCCGCTCCAATATATTCCCATCGACCCTATAAACGTGTGTGCAGTTATATTGGATTCCCTTCCTCCTGCTTCTGCTTCGCTCTTTCCGTCTCCTTCGCGCACGTCCCGTCCCGTCGGTTTTTCCGTTCTCCCTTCCTTCGGGGTAGGTGAAACGAGCTCAACCAATCGGCTGGTGACGTGCACACAGGACCGAGTCCCGTTTCTACGGGACGTGTGTGCATATCCACCCCGAAGGAAACCGCATTTAAACGTGTTTGGTAACCCTGTAAAAGATTCTTCGTCCCCGCGTTCTTCACCGCGAAGAATGGGAACCTTCGGGTTATTCCTGGGCGGCGAGGGACGTGACGGGAGAGCTATAAGCGAGACGATGATCCTTTTAATTTCCTCCTTATTGAAGATACCGCTGTTCTCAATGAAAATTATTACATCATTTGTACCGAAGTCTTTGTAATTTTTCTTACAAATTCGGGGTTGACGAATGGTACCAATTTTTAATTAACGTTAGAATGTATAATCGTAAAACTTGGAATCTTCTATCTAAGATCTAATATATAAAACAAGCATCCGGGATTACACCGTTTTAATAACGGTCCCAAAACGCGACAAAAGCGGTGTACGCGGTAGAATGATTCTGGATAATAATCTAGGTAGATTCTCTTGGGATTAATTAACCGTTTAAGATTGTAGATGATAAAGAGATACGGTGTACGGTCAACACAGAGGAAATTTATCAGAGAGCTTCTATCCACAAGCACCTGGGCACACATTAAAATCAACCTCCCCCTTCGCGATCATCCTTTCATATTTTTCTCTCTATTCTCTTTGTTGTCTCGTAATCTATACACACGAACCGTCGCTTATTATACTAATATGTCCATGGTGATCGCGGCGCATCACCGTCAAAAGGGGTTTCCTCGTTCGAATCTAATTGTTCGCCCGGTTACCGTCCAAAGAAACCAAGTGATACGGTCTGGGACTGGTTTTTCACCTATGCTCCAGGATCAAACGGATACCCCTCTTCTTATCCGTGAATCTGTCCTCCATGGTCCGCTGACTTTTTGCCCACCGAACATCGTGGATGTACCCGGAGTACGTATCGGAAAGCGGGATGGCTCTTGGCTTGGAAAAGGAATGAAAATTGTAAATAGGACGAGCCGGTGAATCTGTTAGTTCAACCACTGCGGGTAAAAGACTTTTTTTCAAATAGAGTTTCAGGATCAAACTGCTTCAGAGTTTTTCGGTTCTGCTCGAGTTTAACGTTGTCGAGTGGATTCTTTCCTCTTTTTAAACGATGCTGAAATTTGGGATAAAGGATTAGATTAAGGATCTGAAATTGATCATACGTTTAAAGTATAATTTTTAACTTTTAGACTTTTAGACTAACAATGTGAAGTGGAAAAGAGCAAAACAGGCTTGACAAAAGAGAAGATGGAAGATACTCTTGCAAGCATCGAATGGCTAAGTAAAACCTGGAGGATGGATGTAAGAAAAGAAAAATGGTAACGGATAATTGAAAAATAGAAGAAGTGCCCGGAGCGTGGCTTTACGCGATCCATGGTTATCGAGCAAGAATGGACGCGTTGTACTGGATCAACCGCACAATGAGTCGATTCGATGAAAGGGTTTTGCAATGGTACCCACGTTTATAACCGGGTGTATATCTGCAGGGGATACAGGTACGTTTAGGCAAGGCTCCTTTTTATAAGTGCCATTATAAGTGCCATTTGAGCATGCCTACACCCGCTTTGTCCGCGAATTTCAAACTATTCATTGTCCTCTCGTTATTGTTTGAAAGGACACGGGGATGACAAGCCCACTGTTAAAAAGCATCCCTCGACCTCTCCTTCGGGGGTACATTACGTCGTATGGTAACCGTTGAATCTTTTTTCTTAGTTTAAATTTTAATACGTACATAGAAAAATGGTAGGATAGTTTTGAAAATACCACTGATAAATTTGAAACACTATACAAAACTAATTCCATATATTTCTTTTTCTAGGAAACAGTGGGTCATCAGGATGTTCCCGTGCTTTCTCTATCAATCAGCCTGTCTCAATGGCGACACATTGTGTAATTCAAAATGAATGCAAGGGCCAGGCCCATTGGGGTATAATTGTTTCACGACAGGTCCTGGCATCAACGTTCAAGAAACTCAGGCTCAGCTTGCTTTTCCAAATCGAACAATGGAGTATGCGCGTGTATAGAAACGGATATCTCGTTACACCGTAATCGAGGAATAATCGATCGCAAAGTTGTAGCACAAGGCAAATTGCTGGGCGTGGTGAGAACGATCCAGGAAACTCGAGAGGGCAAAAGACAAGGGCTGCGTGGCAGAACGAGGAAATCCGAGATTTTTCTTCCTTTCCTCTCGCCCGTGAACCCCTCTACCCGTCGACGAGGGGGGTCAGTCCTTTATTTTTCGTGGTCATGTAAAAAAGCTTTTTATTCACGGACCCGTGTTCACCCTCGATTGAACGACGCGCGTGTACCGGGGACCAAACAGAGATTTCTCTTTCATGGATCTTTGAACCGGGTTAATTAGGGGACTTTGACGAAGGTTGTAGCGGTTTATCGATGCGCCAAAAGAGAGGAAAGTCTTTAAGGAATCGAATCAAGTTGTAACCACTGGTAAGCTGTACCCTAATTTTTCATTTATTCTAACCACGACGAACCCATACCGCATTGATTAATAGTCAGCCTAAATAATTGTGGAATTATTTTCATCCCCAGGTGGTTCAAGGTACTCAGACGCGACACGAGGAGTTTTATTATTTTTTATTTTTTTCCACCGATCGTCAACAGCATTCCTTTTTTTGGCACAAGGAAGAAGAAGGGGAGAGACGTAGTAGAGTATGATGACAGCGGAAAGACACGACCACCATAGAGAGAATGTCGATTTCGTGTTTTAACGAACGCGAGGAAGACACGCGGAATGGACGTTGTCGATATCGTTTTCACGAACGACACGTACGTATAAGTTACGATGATGTGAGGGGCAGATCCATTAGACTATGCAATTGTCCACGTATTGCATTGTCAGCCACCATGGAGATTTCTATTCAGAAATCGCGGAAGTCCCCGGATGCATTGACGAGAGGTAGAGAATGATCGAGGACCGGGCTCTTGTTGCGAGAAGGAAAGAGAGAACGGGATAGAGAGACGGCTAGACGTGATCGACAAGGATACTGGTTACTCGTACTTCTCATTTTTTCTCCCTAATTGTCGTGCGTGATATCCGTGTCCACCGGGGGATCGATCCTTCCAACCGTAGACGCGTGTCACTCTGTCACTTTCTGAAGCCGATCTTAACTCTTTTATTTTTCTTCTCGATCAACATTTATATTTTGCAACTTTCTAATCGATCTACAATCGTTTTAGATCATAATCGAAGGTGTAGAAATCGTTAGTTCGTTTCTTCCAGGATGCCGATCCGCTGCACCATTAATAACGTCGTGACAAAAGGGTGTTCGAAGATTCAACCGATCATGCAACGAAGATTTAGTGGCCTGTACGAAAGGGTATAAAGAAGAATCGGAATGAAGTTGTTCGGTGGTCCTCTCTCGGGTACGCGTGGGCGGTGCTTCGTGGCCCCTATCTTTCTTTCGCCAACAAAAACGTCGCAAGACCCTCGACATTTTGCGTATTCCGCGTACTTCACCGCGTCTCCTCGAGAGCGTAAGGAGAACAGAGAAGATAGAAAAAGATATCATGAATCATAGAGGAAGAGACAGAGAGAGAGAGAGAGAGAGAGAGATGAAATATAAGGGAGAGAGACTCGGGATCGTTCTGTCGTAGTAGTTGGACGCGAAGGAGGTACGCGGAGATGGTCCGGGCAGTTAGGGGCATTATATACCTAACAGGAAGAGAGACAAAGCGAACAAAACACTGTCGGGGCGTCGCTCCGCAAACACAGCGCCTCTTGGTAGATGAAGAGAGAAGAAAAGTGAGAGCGAAGAACTAAAACTTGGAACAAAAGTCCTCACTTTTGTTCCCTCGAAAGTTTTTCGAATTATGGCCGTGGCGGAGAGAACAGACCAAGGTAAAAGGAGGACGAAGCCGAGAGTAGAGGACCTTCTGTGATTTATATCTCGCCAAGGTTTCGGAATTATTAAACTTTCCAGGGCACCCGGAAAGGTAAAAGGTGCTGGTGGTGGTGAGGGAAAGATGGCCACGACGGAGGAGTTTCCGCGAGAGAGCTTGTACTGTAATTAAGCCGTTTTCTAATGAAGATTGATCGGTCAATTAGCACCGTACCTCCTACCCCGTGTACTTTCCATTATTTAGAGCGTTGCGATCTACTTACTTATCCTGTTGTTTTCAGATGATTTCGCGCTGACGACTCGACGGCGCTGATAATTTCCACACTGACGTCTTCGACGCTGCCACCTTGACGCGATCACCTCTGGTCGTAGAATCCCCAGCTAGACGGGAAACGTTTGAATGGTCAGTAACGGTGGTCAAGCCGTAAAACATTTCGATTATCCATTAACAAGCAATTAAATCTCTGGTAACAAGGTTCAATTCAGGCGCGGTTTGAGTTATCCCTGGAAGAGATTAAAAGCTGCCACTTGTGAGTCTGAGTGAAACCACCCTTTTACGTTTCTCCTTCTCTCTTCCGTAGTTTCACCCTATCCAGTTAGCCCCGTCTCTGTTCTTGCTCCACCCCTCGACCGTCGTGGCCACAATAGAGAGTGGGAAGCCTCTTTCTATGGATCACACAATGGATATAGTATATCAAACAAATTCGACCCCGCGAAATTATTGGCCACGGTAATCCCACGTTACCGACCCCCATGGACCATAGTTCTCCCATCGGCACCGGCACGTGACCCATACCAGGACACAAGGGGGTTGGAAACCACCGGTGAAAACTCAGCCATGAAATGCGGAGATGTAACGTCAAACCCCTTTCACCATTAATATCCTTTCGACTCTCTATCTTCTTGTTTCTTACTTTCTATTTCTCTTACCCTTTAATTTTCAATTTGCCTAGATAAAAATACTAATATTTCATAGACAAATTGGATCATCCACCTATGCCAAAAAGTAGCTATAAAATTTTTTTTAAATAAACTCTAGCTGTATCTTAAGATTCTTTTTTTCTTATTAGATACACTTAAGATTGTTATCCAACGTTAAGAACAAATAAATAATTAGAATATTGAATTTAATTTCAGGTAGGTTGAATTTAAATATACCGGAATTTGATCGGATCATAACGGCAGTGGATATGAATCGCATCCTGATTTATGGCAAAGTACATAACAAAGATTTCGATGGCAAATCCAGAGGCGACACGTCCTTCATTCTGACAGGATTGAAAGCCGTAAAAATCCTTGTCGGACGAAAGGGTAGCCCGATCTAGGTACGCATGCGTTTGACAGAGTAGATATATTTCGATCATGGATTTTCGATAGGCTGCAAGGATTAGGGGCTACCCTTCGGCTAGTGCGTTTTGTTCGAAACAATGCTCGACTTAACTGATTGGCCGGTGCCCTGCTACCGTCCGCGTTCGATGAATAACAGAGTGACGATGTGAAGTACGTACACTGGATTACCATAATAATCTCGGTTAACGAGTATTGTCTGGTTAATTGAAAAGTCATAGCTCGCCCGGCTGTCCTTTGTTCCAAATGAAATTCTTCCTCTCCACAAATGAAATTCCACGTTATTGAATATTCTTTCTTTTTCACAGGCTTCTACGTGTTTGCACCATGAACGGTAACACTGGATGACAATAATTGCTGCAAAAATTATTGCATCCTAATGTTTCAACCCTTTGAATAGCGGTGTCACAATTTGCTGATGGTAATACTTAACAATAACATTAGAAAAATTTAATTTTCTAAAAATCTGTTCATTCCAGATTTCACTTGAGATTTCCTAATGTGAAACATTGATCGTTCAGCTGAATCCAAAGAGTACACTGATGTTTTATGTTTCAGTATCAAAATGGAAATAGAATATGGTGAACCGTTAGAAAATCGAAGAAAGAGAGAAAGAATGGTGGGCGTAACTGGCGATAATTTGCATGGAAATTTTTATCGGCACCACCGAAGAGGCAATATCCGGCAGACGCGTTTAAGATCCGAGACCGGATAATAATAGCCAGCAGAAATGGCATCGTAATGCTGGGAATGGGTGACACAAGTAGGTACCTAAGGTTGCCTATATACGCGTTAATATTTTCTACGTAGCTATCGGGCTCGGTAATGCAGAACGGGGTGGTGAAAACCGTCGGGAACGTACCCACCCATATCGTGCTACGGCCACGCTGAGGAAGAAAAAAAATGACACCTAAGCCACCCTTGCTTGCGCCTCCTTAAATTATATATAGTCTTTCTTTCGTCCTTGCTCGCTTGTTCTTTATCGTCGTCTTATGTTAATATTACTTCTATTTCTTGCAGGAACCGCTTGCCATCGGTACACATCCCCTCGCGCTCTTTTTTGGGGTGCTTAGTATTTTTAAATTTCTGTTATGGAAATTGAGGAGGTGTATTTGTAGCGAAAAGGTGTGGATGCTGAAGACTCGACGCTGAGGTATACGATCCTTATAACTCGCTAACATCTCAATATTGACTCCATTAACCAAGTCTTTTCCAAATTACAGCCTAGGAAATCGTGAGGACCCAAAGCTCGCTTCTCAAGGACGTATCCCCTCTACGATAAAGATCCAGATCTCTGAATCCGCGTATCAAGAGCCAAAGGATCGACGCTGAAACACTCGACGGAGCATTATAGAGGTATGTATCAGGGATCGGTTGTTCGATGGACTGGAAGGCTACGGTGCGCTTCGAAAAATGCCGTCTTAAACTCCGCCAGAGAAAGGCTGCAAGTACCTACTCGTGTACGGGCGGTGAACGCTTACACTTCCTATTACTGTGACCGAATAACCAGCTCTGTGGTTGCCTTCTGGTATCCTGCTGAGTCCTTTTTTTTCCTATCAAAAGAGAGAGAAAAAAGGAGAAAAAGAAGAAGAAGAAGAAGAAGAAAATTGAATCGTAGAGAAGAAGGAGGAGAAAATGGAGCATGTGTGTAGATGTACGTATAGATGAGGGATCGCGTGTGCCCCGTGGCGTACACCCCGCCGACATGCCTCGTCGTTTTCGACGAGGCCATCGAAAACAATCGGTACAATAGCTCCTCGAGCGTTCTTATTTATTATACTTACATGGCACACTGTACGCTACGTAACGCGAATGAATGGAACACTGTGGTTTAGACGAGACGTGCGAGCGCGTGTGCATTTCGCTTGCCCCGAAAAGCGTGTGCGTAAAAGAACGCACGCGATTTTTGTTCACGGGGACAAGGGCGGATAGAGATGAGGGGCGTCGAGAAAGAAAAGGTTAAAGAAAGAGTTGTTTTATTGGAACGTTCAATTGATATTAAACGACATTTAATAGTACTCCGCCTTTTAACCCTTTCTAATGGTTCTCTAATTATTTAATTATTTATAATAATTTTGTTTAGAATGCAAATAGATTGTATTCAGTGTTCCTTTGAATCATTCAAGCGGTGTGCAGTAGAAGTGTATACGAGAGTTAATCCTGAATTTACGTATTTCCTTGTGAAAACCCGAGGCTGTGTATAGGGATGCGTACACGCGCACTCCTAATGCCACTTATGCGGGTTTCATTGTGCAACGATCTCTTGTTGCCTGTAGATCGCAACGAACAAAGATCCTTCACAGAATATATCGTCGTTCCTTTATACTGGACAATGACGGATCAACAAGTAATAAGAAAAAAAAAAAATAAAAAAGGGAACTATTTTAAATCATACACGAGTGTACTTGCAGTCTATACGCCATCCAGTTCTTTACCCATAATAAGTATTATAATTAAATTATTATTGTCCATTGAAAATGATGATCGTCTGCCATTTGTCATGTGGATGAAATCGAAAAATTCCACGATCGAAGTAAAATGAATTATTGCAAACGCAACAATAGCAACAATAAGCACGCTCCAACGAAATGGAAGTGACGGAGAGTTGAGAGAATCTGTATCCACTCGAGCGACACTCGATACGGCGCGTCCGATTTCATTGCGTTAATAAAACGTCATTTTTCCTGGTGGTGTTTCGAAAAAGAATCGGAAAACGGGAATAGTCCCGTCGAAACTGGACGGCGATCACCTGGCGGTTCCGAAAATGAACGGTGGAAAATGATTCGGCGGTTGGTAGCGGTGCTCCACGAGTGGTTTCGCGTATCGCGCTAGCCTGTTGTAATGGACGAGTTCCAGCGGAGATGTATATTGCCAAAGTACTTATGGCAGTACGTTTATGGCATACGGGGCTGTACAGAGCCTGGCAGCGGACGACATGAAATCCAGTCGAGCACCCTCCATCCACGTCACGTCCGCGACTGATTAACATTAACTTCGTGGAAAAAATTGTACCAAATGGCAGCCATAGCTGGCAGCGGCCACAGTTTTCCACGGTCCCGAGATTTTTCTCTAGAATCTTTTTAGTATTTAACATTTTCGATCGTAAATGATCTGAAATCGTTCTCTGGTTCTAATGTATAGTATTTAAAGGGAATGTCGGCGAGGCTGCGTATATCAATCGAGGATTACTTTCGAACGTGCGACTAATTTAATTTTTAAACTCCCCTTCTCGCGATCTCCTTCGCGACCCTCGACCCATTGTCAATTGCAGGTCGACACCTTTGCCCCGTCGCGTGCGCCTAATCGCTTTAGAATTAACTGCACCCCTGCGAGCTTTTGTAGGGACCTTCGCTATCGGGGATAAGAGAAGCTCACGGTCTACGGGACCGGACTGGTTCGTATAGTTTCTTTTTAATTTGATGATCGAACACACGCTGCGACATGCAACAGTGTCCTGCCAAGCTGGAATTCAGATGCGATCTCACGTTTCCAATTTAGCTTATTGAAATAATTGTGAAGGGAGAAATTGATGGGTGGATCTTTTCATTAAATTTTTCAAGTTGCCGAATTTTCACATTTCCAAAGCATAGAAATAATTAGATCAATCAAAGACGCGAGAGCTTCGATGCAAAAATGTCTGCCGATTAAAATACTAGGTCGAAGCCGCGTTAGCACTTGCAAACGGGTTGCCCCGGAAATTATTCAAGCCGCAGCAACCGACTCGATTATAGAAGACAATTTTAATATCGTCGAATAATGGAGGGTGGTCGATAAGAGAGAAAGAGAGATAGAGATTAAGAAATCGACGAAGAGGGTGGCCTGAAAACACGGCTGACTTTAAGGTCACCGTAAGAACTGGTACGATAAGGGTGGATCGTGATCCCTGCGATCTGGCTACGTGGCGAGCATATGAAACGGTATTCAATATCCTTTAACCCTGAAGGAGAAAGGTAGGCATGGATAGATGGAATGGGTATCCTCATTGTCACCGCGAAACTATTCCGCACGAATTTCAGATTACGTGGCTTGTAAAAAGGACAATGGATCAGGACTTCGTGTCTTGGAATACATAAGATATTAGAGTAGAATTGCAGTGTGTTAGCAAGTTCCAAATTATAATTGTAGGATTCTTGAAATTAGGGTGCTTTGAATTTTTGGCTATCCCAAAATTTTCGCGTTTCATGATTAGGATGTTCCAAAATTTGGATATTACCAAATTTGTGTAGTTCAAAATTCAAATATTTCCAACTTCGGAAGTTTCAAAATTAAGATATTACTAAATTTGGATATTCGAATCAAGCTCACCGTCTTATAATTAAGACGTACCTCCACGTCTGTAACACCTTAATTACCCACTACCTGTAAATTAATCCCCTTCTTCAAGATACAAATTCCCCTGAACTTCAGTGCACATATTCTCGTACAAGATTCCAACTTGTCCTCTCGAAGAGAATCTTCTGGACATTTTATTCTCTGGAAGTGTACACCGGTGAAGAGTAGGAACGTTACAGGTACTTCTTTCGCGGTTCAGGATTGCATTTAAGTTCGACGTCCACTTTGTACGTACACACACGGTTGGTCGTGAAGAAAAGGAGGACGTGAAGTAGAAGAGGTTCGTCGAACGTTGTTTAAAGGAGAATAGGGTCAACACGGTGTATAAATGATCACCGTGGACTGTTACCGAGACGTGGGAGGCTGAAGAAAAAAGAAGCTGACGGAACGGACGATCCTTGTTATTGTAGCCATAATGGATGGGCAAACAGAAGGACACGATTGAAACCGTGGCAGGTAAAACCGTAGGCCATGATGAGTGCACACACACATACGAACCGACTGGTACCTGCGTAAAAGCCGTGTCACGAGTCAAACATTACGTAAGAAGATCTAACGCGTTATACGAGCCGAGGTAACTGACCATTTAGGTGAAGTTTGAAGAAGATTCTGTGATTCTTGGATTTCTATGAAACTCGATAGTTCCCGTTGCATTAAACACTAGGACTTGGTCAAACTAACGGATTTTACATTTCTTAGTTTTAGTTTAATGCTTTGGAAACTTGAAACTTGGAACGCTTCCACATCCATCATTTTCAATTTCTACATTTTGAACTACCCTTCTAAAATCTAGAAGGTTATATTTGATCGAACCCTAAGCATCGTGAAGCGTTCGTCGTTTCACTCGACAATTACTTTGCTTGATCCTCCATCCAGTCGTAATCCGTACGTGCGCGTATTTCACTGTTCCAAGCTCGGTGGTTCGGCTCGACAAGGCCGTGCCGCCATCAAATTCATTCTATCACTCGGGCATATTTCATTAATTACTTTCACTTTGCGTCAATGGCATTTCCATTTCAATGATCCTCGTCACCCGACTCACCCTTGCTTTCGGCACCGTTTCCACCGCGAACACCGTCGGGCCAACCCCCCTCGCGAATATTCCCTTCCGAAGGAATCCATTCCTTTCTTCCAACACTGAATTACTTTCCCTCTTGTACGCGGTTACCAATTGTGATTTATTGAAAATTTTCAATTTGTTGAAAATCAACCGCAAACGCAATTTGTATCGAGATGGTATAAAAAGAAATGAAGAAATAATTATTCCCGCGAAGAAGACCGTATAACGGTGAAGAGAGAAAGAAAGGAGGTGACTGAGGGAGACAGAGAATTTTAATAGATTTAATTAATATTTCATTTGCATGCTATTTCTCACTCTCCCCAACTTTCCACCCTATTCTCTATGTAACCGTGCGACTGTGTTCGCGTATTAAATCAGACGCAATTTCTACCAACGCGTAGAGGGAAAAGATAGAACATACGAATGGTAGTGAGAGCAGCAAGGTAATCCGTATATACGTAGAGAAATTCGTGCATGTACACGTACATTTCTGAATGCAGTCTGATACAGAAAGAAAGAGAGAGACAGGGTTATAGCGAGAATGCGGGGGTGACACGGTCCTCTCTGTATTTCAATTTAGCAGGTCCATTGTTAGATACTAATATTATTCAGTTGGGAATTGTTTCGTGACACCCCTCAGGAGTATGATTTGCACGAACGCCTGGTGTCCGTTGCCTCCATCAACGTGGTTCGGTCTATTACTCTGTTTCTCTCTCGATTCTGTCTCACTTACACATACACCATTTCTCCATCGTTCTCTCGCCTTCTATATCAACCCCGTTCCTGCTACTGCTTCCCATTCTCGGTACCGTTTCATCCTGGCTCTCGTCTGCCCGACCACCCCACTTCATAACCCGAGCAAGATAATAAAGTATTGCCCAATGAAATACCTCGATATATACCGGCGGAAATAGAGGCGAAACGGTTCAACAAAGAAACGGCCGCGTTTCCCGACGATATTCTCGCCCCGAGAATTCAACGAAAGGTTACCCTAGTACCCCCCTCTTCGCTTTTCTTCGTCTGCTTTTAATAGTAAAAGTTATCGGTTGGAATTTTAAATTTTCATATTTGGGAATTTGAGGATTTCCTAGTTTTCAAATTTCGGATATTAGAGATTTCTAAATATTCCAATGGTGAAAATCCCCCCAAAGTTATCGGTTGGAATTTGACATTTGGAAATTTGGAGAATTTTAAATTTTCATATTTGGGAACTTAGAGATTTCTAAATTTTCCAATGGTGAAAATCTCCCTCCGACCAAAAAATCCCCCCAAAAATGGTAAAACGGTACCCGGTTACGAATGTCCCCTCGTTTAACGAAGCACACACGCGTCCCACAGTCGTTTCGCTGCCGTGAAGAAGCCGTATCGAATCTCCCCGAAAAGAAAGCAAACATACCACTTGTTTGCCAACGTTCGGCAACACTATATACTCTTCTGTGATCCGTGACGGGTATCTAAGGATCTGGTCCCGATCGGAAGGTGCACTTGTACTCTTGGTAGTGGTACGAGCAAATACGTGGGTGCACACGTGTACACGGTCGATACAGGTAGAGAGGGTGAAGCATGGCGTTCCCAGCCACGAAAAAGTAGGGAGAACCGGGGAGAGTGCAAATATTGATGGAAGTCGAAAAAATGTTAAAAGCCATCCCGGCAGGTACCTTCGTTGTGTTTCGGGTAGCCAGCGCCGCTTTTCCGCGGATCGAGCTTTTAAGTATTCGACAAATATCGATGTGTTTCCATTGATTTTTGATTTTCAGACTCCACTGATAACCTCTTTTGTCCCGATCGTCGCTCCAAACGCAAACGTTTTTCCATATGAATCCCCAATTCTTTTTTTTTTCATTTTCCCCGTTATTATAACTGCATACCTTTCAATTTTGACGAAAAGAAATTTGTTAAATAAAATCGAATTTAAATTACTAGTCCAGCCGAGACTAATTAGCGTCCCTGGTGAAATACACAAATCTATCAACAACCAACATCAGTAAATACTGATTTACAGAACAGACTGAGGTAAATAAAATCACTTTCGCGACTGCGATACTGGAATAATTACGAGAAAGGAGGTGAGGGTGGTACGCGTGCAGCAGCGTCGGCCTACGGTACACGGTATCGATGAAATACCGATAATCGATTGCCCTCTACAAGGCATATATCCGATAGGTCGATGCCTGAACACGCGCCTAGCGTTATATAGCCGAGCAATTTGTACCCCGGCTGTGGTGCACGCCGGTGCATTATAATGCCGCCGCGGCGCGGCCCGCTTATTATTTACGAGCCGTGAGCTGGCTGGCTCCAGGGGTGGCAATATATCGACACCCCGTGGAGTTTCCTCCTTTGGCTACTGGTTACCATTCATAATGGAGCATAATGGTCCCCCTCCGTTCTTCGTTGCCCTCCAAGCCAACCCCGGAGCTTTAATCCGCAGTCAGAGTGCAACAACCCCCTACTGCCTGTATACGCGGTAGCGTATGTTCTCCCTTCCCCCCGACCCACCCTTCCCACCCCCTCGCATCCGATCCTACGTTTCTCCTACGATGTGGAATTTTAAGCCGAAGACTTGGAAAATGATTTCGAAAGGGATTCAGCGTGTTTTCGAGACGAGAAAGATACCACAGGGTCGGGGGTTGATTCAATTGGACATTTTGGGTCTTTGATGGGAAGAAGGGTGTAATTGTTTCTTTTTATATTTAATTTAATAATCAGAGTAGTGATAATTTCACTTAATTAATGTAATTATTTTAACCAACTTCAATTACAATCATTTTCCAAGATTTTTTTAATTAACAAATTCGATGGTATTTATGCAAATCGCGCGAGCGTGTTAACCTAGCTGAATTTCAAAGCGAATGCTCAGAAACGGGGAGCAAGCAACGAGGAAAAGATTTTTCGGTGTTGTTTCGCGTACGGTATTGTACGAATTTAGGAGGATCGATTAATTGCCGCGCAGGTAGTGTTGTTTTTTATTTTTCCGTAGGACCAGTCGGGGGTGGAAACGCGGTGTTGGTTTTCGCGTGAAAGCAGAAATTAGAAAAAAAAAGAAAAATATAAATCGCGTAAAATACCGGGACTCGGGGAAAGTGAATTCCTAGCGTTCCTCGATACGCTCTTTTTTTTTTTTTATTTTTATTTTTTATTTCACCTGGACTATCGTGATCGTTTATTATCCGGTAGTTTCCTTTCGCGAATACCGTTTATTGCAAACTGGCATGAATGTTTTATAATCAATGAAATTATAATTGTGGCGTGTTTTATTTACGTCATTAATGGGAAATACAATTATTAATAGACTTTTTTGAAATATTATATATTAAATAGTATGATGAATTATATATTTCATAGAAAATGTTACTTGAGAAATTAAAAAAAAAAACAAATACAAGAAAGGTATTAATTTATTTTTCAATTATTTGATGAACTGATTCTAAAAATAGTCACTCAACTGAACATCTGTGAACTATGTGAAAAGTATGCACACAATATTACAAAAAATTTGCATCACGCGAAATATGCAAAATAAAAAATGTTTTGAAAACCATCCGACAATTGAAATTTATATTTATTTAATTTTCAAGAGGAGGTAATGTGTTAAAAAAAAGACAGGAAGAAGAAGTAGTTAAAAATGTAGATAGGAGGGTAGTTTGAGTCGATAGTAGATCGCAAATCGACTGTTAAATCAATTAACCGCGTAGTCGGGGTCTATTCGCAGTAAATCGACTGCTCGAGATCCCGGCAGATCTGATCGAGCATGAAACCGATCCAATTTCAAAGATCCTATGACCCACGTTTGCCCTTCATGGGCCTCCCTTATCCTTCTGCACCTGCGAACTGTATCCGACATCTGATACCTTTTCTCCATCTTCCATCTCTTTCCATATAATTATCAACCAACTGGAAGTTGTCCTACTCTCTACCATAATGTTCCCATTCGACCCTACGTTATTCCCCTGCCATCATGAATTATCCTCGATTCATGGAAAGATATCGATTGCAAAGGAAAAATCATGCTGTCCTTTCTATGGGAAACTTCTTCGAGAATGAAAGAAATTATAGCGAAAGGGATGGGACAAGTGTTTTCGAGGAAGATTTTCAGTAAATACCTGGAAAATATTTGAGATACTGTTTCTTTCGGAAATATTTTTCTATTATTTCTCATAGAATTATTATTAACATAATTTAAAATTCAATTTTTAATTTAAGTATCTTCAATAGGCAAGTTATTTGAAAAAGAAAAACCATGATAACTAAAATTTCTTTTAAACGATATTAAATATCAATTCAAATTTTCCCGCGTAAGTGTTTATGCGCGGGCGGTGGTCCGGAGGCCTATATATAGGGGACCCCTTTCGCTACGTTGTCATTCTCGCGGGGGATGCCCGTAGGGCAGGACGTTAATTAAAGAAAAGCGATGTTATTTGACGAACGCGTTAATTAAACAAAACATAGATATATGAAAGGCAACGAATGGAGTATCAATATCTTATTTATTATTTCATATTCCGTCTATACATTTCTTTGAATAACATATGGTAACTACAAAGAACGACGCATCCGGTCGTCGACGAATCTACACATCTTAGAGCCGTTATACTTACAGGCAAACACTTATGTATAATCGTTATACGAACACGTATCCAGAATTATTCCGTAGACACGTGTATTCTTTACAGTTTCTTGTAAATTTCTAATCCGACATGACAGTTTCTTTTGATTAATTTACTTTTGGGTGATTAGCTAAAGCGATTCACGTATATTTACAAATCCATGGGTTCACTTAATCAAACGATACATTATTTTTCTTACCTACACACATACTTCTTGATTACCAGTCGCTTTATCTACACACGTATAAAGATATATCGTTGCAACGAAGATCGCGATTCATTTTTCTTCACTTTGTAACCAGTTTGAAGTGAATGTTCAGTAGAATACTGGCCAAGTTTGTCGGGAACGTTTGAAATCAATTAAGGATTGCTGATAGTACTCCTTTAATAGTTTCGGAGCAATGGAATTTATTATTATTATAGTGTATACTTCTGTCGAACCAAATTAGATCACCGAGCACAGTTATTTTAAGTTCAGATTCGTTTAATAGAAACCTCGAATCGTCACTTGAAAAATACATTTCACAACTTAGAGGCACCCTGAATATTAAGTTCACCAGAGATCATTGAGTCCCAACACTTGTTATCTCACATTAGGAGGACCTCCAGTCAATCTTCTTGCATCACTTCCAAATGGAAACTTAAAATCATCCAGGCTACGTATCTGGAGATTCGTTTGGCTATTTATAGTCAACAATTTGATTATTTAAAGAGATCAATATCCTTAACCATGTCCCATTTCCCAATGGAAATTTTGATTCATTCTAATTGTAATATCTGAATGGCAATTTTTCAGAATCCTTTCAAGTCACGCGAGGAGGACCCATCGCACCCACAGCTCTTGGTGATCTTCAGCTTCTTCATCTTGGGGATCAGCGAATACTCGCACATCCTTGAACTCGGTCCACGGTTAGCATAAGCAGACCGATCGTCCTGGTGAAGGATCATTCGACCGGCCATATTCTCGATCCAAGTCCCTCGGCTATTGCAGGTAAGACCAGCTGGCCTGCCCGTCGTCCGGTCACTCGGAGTAGCTGGTTTTGTCGCTGGCGTCGTCGGGACTGGCCTCCCGATAGGCGTCCCCGGTTCCATTCGCGTGCAGATTCTGATTGGGTGGTTTGATGACCGTAGGCAGGTAACCGGTGCCGGCGTAAGGAGCTGCGAGGAACCTGTGTCTCGTCGAAGGGATGGGAGTGGTGCAGTAGGCAGCACGGGTCGCGTATGCCGACACCGAAGCGGACGCCGCGGCTGCCGACGCCAACGCGCCTGCCAATGGAGAGAAGGCTGACTTCGGTTGAAGGCTATCCTCGCAGACCAACACCTCCATGGCGGATACTACGTCGCCTGTGACACAGACAGGTTGCGTTTCTTTCTCTGCCGTCCACACAGGGCTGCTGTTTTCGGGGTCGGTTCTACCGGGAGCTTTGGTTAACCCATTTGCGTCAGAAGCGGATATACCCGTTTACAATTGATGGATTTATCATTTTTGTTAATTAGTAATGTAGGGATATTATTTTCATACCTAATGATGCAAATGGGTTAAGACGACCATATGATCTCAGGTGCCTTCTCATATGTATTTTATTCTTATTTCTATTCCCTTCTGATGAATTAATGACAAACTTAGATTTTTATTGTATACAAGAAGACAGCTTAAGATAATACTATAGATATTTAAATTAAACTATGAGAATCAAAGTATTTAAAAATTTCAAAATAAGTAGCAATGAATTCTTATTGAAAATTGAAGCTGCATCTACTTAGAATCTCTCAGAAACCATTTAACGTCCCCTAAAATATTTCTTTTCTTTTAAATTCTGCCCGATTGTAACTCGAGAAGGAAGGTACGAAACGAATTCAGGGTAGTGAAACATCGTAGGGCCACGTGTCCATGGTAGAATCTCAAAAGGGACTGGCCAAAGGGTACGTGAAATTCTATTCGCGAATATCAAATTGCAGGGCCTACCTTTGCATCGATGCAGCAGAGCTTCCACGTCCGCTCGACGTCTTCCTGGAAACACTCGCAACAACACGTCTACCGGAGATCTTTGCTGTTGTTGCTGTTGTTGTTGTTGCTGCTGCTGCTGCTGCTGTAATTGCAGCCCACACGTCTGTTGGATGTTTTGCATCTGCATCTGCATTTGAATCTCACGAGGTTCGGGCATGTGGTGGTGGTGCTGATGCTGGTACAGGGCTGGAGAACAGTACAAGGAACTTGCCGCTGGACCGTACAGAGGTGCATAGGGAGGAAAATGCACCGCCGTCGCTGCAGCCTGAAAAGGTAATGTCATTTTTATGATTATTAAACGGTGGAGGGTTTATTGAAATTTTGGAGCGATTGATTTCGAATGGTTCGAATCACAAGCGTTCAATTCTCAAAAATATTAATCGCTACGCTTAGAATTTGGATTGCTCCGAATTACAACCCTTAAGATCTCGAACGGCCGATTTGAAATGAAAAACTTACCGCGAGCGAAGGTAACGGAGGACTGGGTCTAGGCTGCACCAGATCGACCGGTTGAAGGGTCTGTTGCGTCTGTTGAGGACTTCCACTTTTGCGGAGACTGAGATTCTCTGGCGCCGGCGTGTCCTCTCTTTGTGGAGTCAAAGCCGGAGTCAGGGGCGGTGTATGCGTCGGACTCTGAGAACCTGGTTCCGGACTTCCTTCCTCAGAATCGTTCAGACTATTGGACCGCTTCCTCGGCCCTTCGTTTTCCGTCATTCCAGCTGATGTCGGAACTGTTGTAACGCAATGAAAATTAAAAAATCCGAGAATTTGCAACGTTCACTTTAATTAGATGGATATTCTTACCCAATGGACGGTCAGCAAGAAGTTCTCCACCAGAGTCGGAGTCACGGTCGTCTTCGTTACCGGTGTCGCTCGTGGAAAGCATTGTTCCCGTAGTGCTCTCAGAGATTCTCGACCTCTTTGTGCCTGGAACAAAACAGGGCGTATCGTTCGCTTAGCAAAAGAAAAAGCGCGTATTAATACGCACAATACCTATGAAATTCTCCAACGAACAAACACTTTACATTGTTCTACGACGCATGCCGAATTGACTCTTACGGATCCTTGACACCCTTGAAAAAACGTTGTGCATCTTTTATTGTAACCCCACTGCGTATTTACCACCCGCTGACATTACCTCTTTCAACCCTTTCAACGAATCGCTATGGTACCCGTGTAACTTTCTTCTAACGATTAACGAACCAAAAATTAAAAATGGAGAAATTAGAAAATTAAGAAAATTGGAAACGAGAAATTAGAAAATTTCTCTATAAATAAATCAGTGGCCAAAGCGAACCGTGAAAGGTTCAGTCTCGGAGGAGATGGAAAAGGAAAAGGAGAAGCAGGGCAACACGGCGAAGTAACAGCTAACAGCAATTAACTTAAACAGCGGAACACTTGATATAGTTGCTCAGGGAGAGCTACAACCCTCTCGGAGAGCCACTCGAAACAACCTTGTTATCGAAAGCGTGCGCGTCAAGAATTAATCCGCGGAACAGGAAGGGGAAAGAGCTGGGTAAGAAAAGGCTTTCCGGGGGTGGATTCAACGAAACGCCAGACTGAAAGCTACATTTACCTTGCCCTTATATATATATATATACATACACAGTGTTCAAAAACATCAGGGTCAATTTTCAAGAAGCAAGCACCTCTTTGCTCTAGTTAGAATTTAAGTTTTATAAAAAAATTCAGTCCAAATCTATCCCTGATTTAAATAACGATTAAGACATTCCTGTCAATCTTTTTGTAAAATATTATAACTTTATTGAAATTTGTCTTCGACCACCCTGTGTATAGGCATCTCTCTTTCTCTCGCTAATAAACGGCCGGTTAAACTTTTTAACGAGCGGTCAGCCGCAGTAGACTTTCTTGAACGGGCAACGCACCCTTCTAGCATCGGGGATTCTTTCACGCATTGACGAGAACTCAATGGTCCTGCACGTGCATACGCCTCCGCACGTTGTAACGGCACTCTTCAACCCGCTATTACTTTCAAACCGACAGCGTTGTGGCCACGATTGTGTAGTACGTGGCCTCTCGCAATTATTTCTAACAACCTCGAGAACCTCGGACCGCCACTTCTTCCTTTCCAACCCTCTTTCTCTTTTATAGAGAACGAAAAGAAAGAGGAGATCCCTTAAACGTTTAGGGAATCTCTCAGCGGACGTTACTGTACGATTCTCAACGATTATTTATCGTGCCTTCACGAAATTTCACTGTGTAAACGTGTTATTTGTTTAAGAAAAATATTATTGAAATTCTTAGTTTCTCTCAGAAAGATATTCTCTTAGAATATCCATTAAACTCACGTTCAATTTGAATCTCGAGTGTTTGAAGAGTAATCACGAATAAGATACAGAAGAAGAACGAAAACCGTGTATTTCGTAATTGAACGAATGTTTAGAAAGCGGTTTAAACAAGCTTCTTCGACGAAAGTTAAATGTCGCCAAGTCGCTTTGAAAATTTCGAAATTATAGGATTTCAGGGAACTTCGAAGTACTACGAGTTTCGATGATATTTGTCCATCGATTTTACTCTCGAACAAGAAATAACTAACTTGTTGATTTATTTTTGGATAAGCCAAGAAAGTAATATACCTCGTCGATAATAATTTCCAATAACTTCTTACGTTAACGAGCTCGGTAACGACGCTCGTTGCAAGAAATAAGCGAGTTTTCCGTTTCGTTTGAACCCAATCGTCCCCGTGGAAATATTATACAAGTTTCGAGCGGATTTTAACTAACCAAGTAAGAAGAATTTCAATCTTTCGATAAGGTCAGTCGTGATCGAGACCTAAGAAACGGTGCTTTCAACTATAAAATTAGAAATAAAAAACCTTAAATATCGAAAGGGTAATAATTAAAGTATCTTTAGGAAATGAAAATGAAATGAAATCTAAAATTAAATTTTAATTGCCTCCAATTCTCGTCAACACTGGAACTGTGTACATACACACGAGTAAATTGACTTACAGTAGAATACTTATAAGTGGAGAAACATCTCCGTCCAAGAACAAGGACAGCTTTCGTATATTTTTAGAATTGTCTAATGACGAAAGAAGAGTTTATTTAGCTTCTATCTATTTTCTAAAAATATACACAGTCGAAGGAATGAAATACGAAAATAAATATGTAAGAAGGCTTAATCATTCTACATCGGACAAAATGTTAAATTTCTCCTCTGACATTCCTATGATAAATTCCTCTGCTCTTGACAATATCAATGGCTATCAACGGTGTCGGTATAAAAGAATGTAATATCGCGTGTCTGGAATTAATGTAGCCGTTCCTTATACAGAAAATTCCCGTCGCTGCTCTGTCACGCAAAAGAATTCTCCCTATGTGTCGAACCACCTCAGTTATTAACCCTCGTGCCGCGATATTGCGTGCCTATTAACCAGCATTTAAGTATTACGGCGATAAAACAGAGTGTCAAGGATTTTTGCGAATGGTAGCAAAGAATTTGGCAACCGGAACTTTGTAGCCCGGCAACCGTGCCGATAATCCACAGGTGAGAAAAAAGAAAGGGCGTGAAAACGGAGACCATTGTGATAGGTCACACCCAGAAACGCGACTACGCAATGTGACACAAAGAAATAAAAAAAGAAGTGAAAAAGAAAGAAAAAAAGGGAACACAGTATCACGAGCCGGAATCTTTTTACATTCTTTAGCCCTGTATCGAGAGAACGGTACTTGTCTTGTATTTCGAGAAGGGTGCGTGCGATTTATTATAATCTCGTCTGTCGTGTACACACCGGTGAAATGTCTAACTTCTACTAGATCACGAAGGTGTAACGTGTCATTTGCTATGTGTACGTGAGCTTTGAGACAGGACCGAGGAAGTTAATAAAACTCGTTTCGAGCTGGCGGGGTGTCTATCCCCTTTTGTAACGCTAGAGGATTTATTACGAATTCGAACATGAATGGAATCTCTCGTTTAACGCGAAATACTTCGGATCCTTTGATAAATCCGCTGAAAATTATAAGAGAAAAGAAAGATTTGGGGATTTCGAATACCGAGTACCGTGCGTCGCCGACTTTACGGAAGGATTCTTGGTATCTATAGTGAAGATACGATAGTTAACAAATAGGCAAAGATTTTTAAATCACCATTGCGTCATTTTCTAAGTCTCAAAGTCCACAGTCTAAGTACCGTGCGTCGCCGACTCTCCGGACAGTCGATACCCAAAAATTCCCAAGTCCTCAGTTTCATTTCCCCAGTTTTACTACCGAAAAATTATTGATCCAATTGATTAGAATTTCAAGGTCTAAATAAGAATACGTCCCCGTAATCTACGTACCGCAAACGATCGTCCATGTCCACCGGTAGATTCTTATATGAAAAGCGATTAATTAGGGGTGGTTCGCGTACAAGTCTCTTGACCGATGACAAGACGCACTCGAAGCAGATACACATAGGGCTGGGTACGGTGTGCACACGGCTCGGTTGTTGTAGGTCTACGCCCTAAACCCGCGCCACGTCGTATCACCGTACGGTGGAGACAGACGCGGACAATGGAATCATGCGGGGACAATGCCGAATAATTTAGAATCGCATATAGATATCGGGAGCTTCCGGCCTACGGCGGCGGTGCATAATAGAGAATAGGAGTAATAGGACACAGGCTGCAGAGCAACTGTGGAGGACACGAAACATCCCTATAAATTAGGCTTAGCCAACGACACCGTTCCTCGATACAACCTCTTCTTATTCGATTACCTTTCACGTGTAGTTCAAACTAGAACCAGACTGAAAAATTGATTCTTAGAGGGCGGATGGTTTCTTAAAAGAAAAAGTGTTATAACAAGCCCCCTCTAGATAATTCCCTGCATTTAGGACTCTGAAGGTGAACACTTTTGAGAAAGTTACAAAATACTAATAATCTTTTATTTTTAACCAATGGGTTTCAAATATTTTTAGACTGATTTTCATATTAACACTGATCACAGTAGAAATATCCATGTATAGTCAGACACACTGATATCCATCATTAATAATGTTGAAGACTAATTTTATTAACTTAATATTTCAGTATATTAATTTAAATTAGTAGTACAATTTCCTGATGTTCATTGTTTGCCTTATTTCTTCAGTTGTTGCCAAATTAAGTAGTATAAGTCAACGATATCTCAGCCCGTTCCTTATTTTATACACTCAGAACCTTCCAACCTTTGTGTAATAATCTCCACGCTCTTCTTTTTCAAATAGATAATATATTTAAGTGTAGAAGTGTGCAGAAGATGACCGTAAATCGAATCTTCACACAAAATTCGTGAGTCACGTGAGAAAAAAGAGACTGACACAGCGTTATTCGATGAAAAAAGGGGTTGTAGGGAAGAACGACGGAATTCTCGCAATAAATAACCCTTCGAGGCGTTACAGTTATCACCAGCAGCGTCGGTTACAACCCTACGTTACCCCGTACAACCCCACCGACCACGAACCTTTGCTCTCTGCACCCTTAGCTAATACCGGCCTCGTAGAAAGCACCCACTATGAATTATCATTTCCTATTGTTCGGAGGATCGTTATATAACCGGCTGTTGGCGACTTTTAGCTTCATCCTGAACAAAAAAATTCTAAGCTTAACTTGGAAAAAATAAAATAACATGGGAGCACAGTACAAAATTCGAAATTAAATCATTTTACTTTTTTTTCTCGATTTTTCTCTAAAATAACGAACGAGAAATGTGTTAAATAAAAATTGCTATACTTTCGATTTTTTTCAAGATCCATTTTGCAACAGATAATCCTTTACGATTAAAAAGTATAAACGCCTGTTGGTCCCATTTAAATCGTGGATCAATTCAGTCGTATAAACGGGATGATTCGCGGTGAAATTCACCGATCGGATATCATTCATCTCCCGTTTCTTTCTCGATCAGTTTCGCAAACATTCCAGAGCCGATCGCCGTGAGATTAATTAACGGTACGCGACGCCGCGTGAAAACCGGCCGCGCCGCGGTGCTCGGCGTCGAAGCGGGAAATATTCCAGTTACGAGAGCCCCGGAAATCGGGATCGTTGCGAAGAACGACGGTCGACGGCAGCGTTGAAAGGACTCTCATTATCACGTATCGATACGCCCGGAAAATAGCAGCGGCCAGCGATCCGCTTCGACGCGAAAAATGACGCAGAAAATCGTCGAAGCCGTTGTTCAACTCGAGGGCCGAGAAGAAAAGCAAGTATTGAGAGCGTGAGGAAAGCGAAGACAAAAAATGAAAGAACAAGGAACAGGGTGGGAATCGAAGGGAGAACAGAGCGTGATCGGAGCGGAAGAAAGTGGTGACTCGGGGATGCGGGGACAGGAACAAAAGGGTAAAGAAGAACGCTTGAATATACTGAAAAACCTGGGGAAAATGAAGTGTTTTTTGAAGAATAAGAGGGCCCCGATGATGGGAAAGAATGATGTTTATATTTATTCCTATTGTTGCTAAGGGTAGTTTTTAGAACGTCAAAAGTCTGACCTAATTTCATGACAGAAAAGTATTACAAAATTACCATATAAACCCTTCATAAATATCCTAAACACAAAATTGCTATATCTCATAAAAGGAACCACCCCCTATACCCGAATAAAGAACCGGAAACATATCTAAATCAGGATCACCGATATCTACAAAAAGAAAAAACAGAAAAATCAACCTTAAAAAGAGGGTGTAAAACGAGAGACGAGAAGGTAGAAGACGTCGAAGAAGAAGGAAGGTCCTCGAGGCAGTAGCGCCAAGAGCAACAGCGAGCAACAGCCCGATCAGTCATTAAATCGTCGCGATTCCCTTTTGTTTCCAGCTCGGGGATGTGTGGGCGTCAGTTTATTCGTCCGTGTGTTCGATGAAAGGGGTGAAAATCGTGCAGAGAGAGAGACGTATGTATATACGTCCCTGAATTCGATGGGTATAGGGTGGTTAAAGAGCTACCGCGAGTAAAAGAGACAGAGAAACAGCGAGAGTTTTAGGGTGGGAGACAAGAAAAAAACAGATGAAGAGGGGAAAGGGAAAACGGTGGAGAGCGATCGGGCGTAACGTTTTTAATTGTTTCGCGCCCAGCCGCCTTTTGTTTCGGCGTTTATGCCTCGTAAACGGTTGCTGAACGCCAACAGGACCCGGAGGAGGGTACCATTCGACCTCTGACTCTTTTCACTTCCTCCTTAACCGAGGGAGGGGGCGGCTCTTCCGCCATCACGCTCCACGATTTCCTGGAAAACCGAGACGACGATTCTCACGCTTCCTGCACTTCTCTTCTGCTTGCTGAATTTCTTATTTCGCTCGCTCACGCGTTTTCCAAACATGTTTATTTTTTGTTTTGTTTGGTATTCATGGCTTGTCTATCACCGACTGTAACTACTAGGATTATAGAAAATACTACCATTTAGGGAGAAACTTGAGATTTCATGACAGAAAAGTATTGCAAAATGGCACTTATGATACGTCGATTTAAAGCTTGAAATCTGATGAATATTATCACTTAAGCCCCCACTTGTAACTATAACTTCAGATGCAATTTTATCAGAGAAAAGTATGACGAAATACCACTTATAGTATATCAAATTAAAACTTGATGTTTACTAAAAATAAGTGAAATTCGTCGGGAAAGTAGATCTTTGCATCGCGGCTTGGAACGGTTTCACGGAAGCCGTCGGCTCGTCGAAGAGAAAAGAGGCGAGAGAGGGTAGCAAAGAAGCGAGTCAGAAAACGGAATCCAAGTGTTTCGTATTCATTCTCGATGGTTTTTCTCAAACTACCGCCTTCCGTTGGATCGCTTTTCCCTCTTCAATTTAAAAAAAAAAAAAAAACGTTAGTCGGAAGTCTGAGCAACCCCCTTTCACCGTACCACGAAATAGAAGAAAAGAAGCGAGGGTTAATCAAACGTATACTTTACCGCTAAAAGGCTTCTTCTTTCTTCCGTTACAGAAGAACAGTTACACGAGACGTGCTTTTTAATTAAGAAGAAAGGTATCGTTTATCGCGAACTTCTTTTTTATTTTTGCTTTAGACCGCAAGGGTGGTATTGAAATCTTAATTTAATTTTAATATCGTAAAATATTGAAAAGTTCGGAAATTTTTCATTGAAAATATTTGAAATTTAAAGATTCATAGGATTTCCAGGATCGTTCACGATCACGAGCGAGCAAATGTTCGCGACGGATAGCAGAAGTTTTGTTCAAACACACTTAGAAACGTGCTTCCACGGCGGCGCGGCGTTGCACGTGTACGTGCATTCGCTGGACCGGCTACACCTATGCAAATAAGTATATAACCGAGCTAAGCTCTCCTGTTATACCCAGGATGTCTTGTGTCCAGCGAGCTCGTGCTGACTCTTTGCAAACAATGTTACCAGGCACGTCCGCGGGGACATAAGTAGCCGGACCATCAGGATTTCACCTCGTCACAAATGAGTTTCAATAGTCAAGTCTCGTTTTTCTTCATAAATATCCTTCGAAATATAAAAGGAACCTCGCCTCGGAAGGAGGGAACAGTATTTTCTATTGAAATCTCGAAACCACCCCTAAGAATAAAGAGATCTAATCGGATTCGTTTAACCTTTTCCCTTGTTTTTGCTACAGATACTCCGAGATGTTCTTTGACCAACGAACCGAATAAGCAGAGACTCGAAAAAGTTTCTTCAACGCCAGGAAGATCCTTCACCACCGACTGTTCTACACGGTGTGATATGATCGAGCGAGAAGGGAGAAGAAGAAGAACAAGCGTACAGCCTTAGGCGAGGTGTGCACGGTCGAGTGAAATAATTTCCTGGTGTCCTTAACAGCGACGAAAGAGGAAGAACGGAAGCTAACTGGTCTTTCACAAAGTTTCTTGGACACTCGAAGAAGCTTCTACTGTGAGAAACTGGCGGCGGATAATGGTCTCCGCGAGTAGACGAAGGAGAACCGAGTGATCCTTCCGGATAAAGGGTGTACCTTGTATGCGTGTACCGACCCTCTTACAAAGCGTATCCTCCCTCTTCGAGGGAATCCACTGGAAAGAGCAAATCTCCTTTTACCGAGTAATGATTGCGACAGGTCTTTGATACTGACTCTTGGGTGTTATCCAAATTGACCCAGAAGTTGTAAAATTTATTTCATTCAAAATTGTCAAAGTTTTTGTTATAGAAAATCTTCAGTGCTTTATTTTAAATTTAAGAAAATATATTTTTGTGATACTAGGTCACAATGGAGCTGGCCCTTTCCAAGGATTAAAATACATAGAACACCGTATCATTGAGAGTTTGTGGATGTAAAAGGAGGGGGTGAAGAGTGCATCAACCCTCTCTCTTAGCAGGAAGAATAGGAGTCCGAGGAAGCAACGAAGCAACTAAGCAACCAGTCGAGAATCCCTCGCGGTGGGTAGGCAGTGGCCCGAGAAATTCAATTACGGCTAAACTTCTCCAGTGAAGACGCGGCTCGTCTGTACACTACTGTAAGCACTCTGTTTCGAAGATCGAACCGAGGAGACATCCCCTGTGTACTCGCGACCCTCCACTTTTCAACGGGTGGCGCAGGGGGGAAGAAGAGAAGGCGTAGGTGTAATTGAAACCGAGCGAAATCGAAGTTTCAATCCCCTGGCCCTGGCTGAGAATGCTGCCTCCTTGCACAAACCTCTTCGACGAGAAAAGAATCGCGAGAAGTGATTTCTGTCCGATCCAAACCTGTCGCTAAACGTTCGATTCGCTATTACTACCACCAATTATTTTCTTCATTTTTACGTGTTTCAGACGTGTAGCTATTCGACTGATTGTTAAGGATGGATAATTGGATAATTAAGAAAGTCTGTAGAGGATGATTCAATCACTGAAGCCACAATAAAATCATAGCACAGATATTTGGAAGAAATAGGTAAATCTACCTCAATTCTACAATACTTAGAGGTAAGTTCCCAAAGTGTATATAAGAAGATTGCTCTTGATAAGTAAAATGGAACAGGTATAGCAGTGAAAGGGCAACATATTTTCCACTGAATTCTGTAAAAACTGGCATAGGAGCAACAAAAGTGTGACACGCGACCAAGAGTAGAATAAGCGAGAAACACGCATGCGTTGTAGCACGCTTGAGTTGCGTACGAGTGGCCATTAGGAACGTGCGTGAACGTACAAGGCTAAATAGGGCAAGTGGCCAGGGACCATAATGTTAAGTAAATAATGGCCAAACTCCTGGTCCCTTATTATACCACTCAAAGCAAAAGTCGTACTCGTTAGTGGCGGCTTTATAATTCTCTCCAACCCTTCGCTTCCTTTCTAGGCTTCTTTCCTCTCCTCGCTGGCTCATTCTCACCCTCCGTTAAGTGTACACGCGTGTGCTGTTCACTTCCGCAAGAACCGAGTGCACGCACTCGCTTCCTATACTGGAGGACTGGTTACCACTTGCCGATTTCAACCACGACCCACCTGTTTCGTGGAGATCCTTGAAGAAATGGAGATTCTTCGATGCAACCGTTGCGAGTCTAGGAATTTCCTATCTTGGTGGTTCTTGAAGACGTCGAAGAGAATTCTTGGAACAACCCTTACAACTAAATACGAAGAAGGCCAGAAGAAACAACTCCACCCCCAAGAATATTACACAATTCCTTCAACTCCAGAAACGAAAATGGATATTCTACAGATACCGGGCAAGGACTTGTGCAAGGATCGTTTCACAATTAACAATTCCAAGTGACGACTCCGCTTACCCGCAATTCCACCAACGATAGGATCCTGTTTCTCGATCTTTGGCTGCCGGTATTCATCCTGGGGCAACCTCTTCCGTTGCAGAAGACTGCAATCAGGTTGCTGATGTTGGAGTTGCGTTTGAATGTGTGCTGCCGCGGCGGCGGCTGCGGCTGCCGCCGCCGCTGGAATTGCCAGGCCGGTCGGACTCGTTACGTGGGCCGGGTGCGGGGGCGGGCTACCAGCTGGCGTGGTTGTACTCGCTGCACCAGGCAGAACGGGGGCGGTGGTGCAGCTGCCTGTATTGTACTGCAGTTGCAGCCCTAACTCTCGTGCTTCGCTCTCCTCTTGGGCCTGCTGCCTTCGTAACGCGACCTGCGAACGTGCAATTGCCGACATTTTTACACTTATTGTTTTTTAATTAGAATTTCATGTATTAACCCCGTCGGCAGGTATAGGGGAAGGAGGTTCCAATGGAATTCGCAGCGAATTTATTAATATCAAAGAGTCCTTATGCAAATCTAGGCAAAATGAACTTTGATTATTTAAGAAATCAATTTGTCACTTATTTTACTAATTACCTAACTCGCTTTGAAACAAACACTGGTCTCGTGTAAGCTAAGGCGTAACTAATAGTAACCCTCAAACATTGGGGTGACCGAGTGGATCCTCCTTCTCCTACATTGTCTTTTCACTAGGAAATTCACAGTATAATTAGCAATTCTTTAATATCTAAAGATTTTAACAAACACGAAGGACCAATTTCAGTGATCGTATTGAGGTGATCCGACAAGAGGGTGCAAGGCTCGGAAACAGAATCTGAAGAAGGTTTAGCGTTACGATCCTTCATCGATCAAATTACCAAGTGTTTTATTCCTTGGTGAAATATAGAGGGTCACTTGAGAATGGCTAAATCTGTGCAACACAATGTCCCTATAGAAAATGAATCTTTACACTATGATGGTTCTTGATAGCACTCGAGTTAAAGTACATGTAAAACGAGGAAATGAGAAAGTCACATGTTTCGAAAGACCCTCTGGCTAATTTGAATCATTTTACACTTCCGTGATCCGTTTCACGAAGCCCGTGGGAAAGGAAACAACACCCTTTGCCGGTGGGTAAATGCTTTCATCGCGGTTTTACTGTGAAACTACCCTTATGGAAATTGTCCGTTAATATTAATACAATTTTCAATATTTTTCAGGCTGTTAATCGAATAACTTGCCAAGTATCATGCCACTGATAATATCACACTGCCGTTACGATTTCTGACTAAATGGAACGTCGTTTGAAATTAACTTCAAGTAGGTCAACTGAAATAACGTTACCTGGGCAGCCATGACCCGTTGCCTCTCGGCGATCAGTGTACATTTCGCGCACACACAGTCCCGCCAACGGCAGTACCGTTTGTGACCCTTCAAAGCGGATACGACCCCGTGGTTCCTGCATCTCGCGCACTTCGGTGTCCTTTGGTATCTCTCAGCACTGGCACGAAGGAAGAACGCGGCTGGTAGCACGTGATGTTGCTGTTGTTGCTGTTGGTGTTGCATCAATTGACCGACGTCAACACCAAGACCGACACCCCGCGGCAACGACATCGTTAACCGATCCGAAGGAAACCAGAACACTAGAGAAAACTCTTGCAGAATGGACGAACGAAACCGTGTCACGGATCAATGTACATCGTTACCGAACGCACTGAACAGATCCTCGATGGATTTCGATCACCGTCGATGATTCTTTCCAGCCAAGCATGAAGCCCGATATTCACTGACACGCGTCCCTCTCATTTCTCTACACCTCCGTTAACCCTTCGAATTCAGCCACTGTTAACATCAATGTCCGATCGGCACTGTTTCCCAAACGAATAGCCACCACGTCAGCCTCTTCTTACTTCAACCGAAGAAATCACATTTAACGCTGTGGTGTTCGGTAGAGAAACTCTCGAACCGGCACACGGTTAAGCCAGCGAACGAGCAAGAGAGAGGCTTGATAAAGTAATAAGGATCGAGGGATGGCCGTATCAGGGGGTTGATTAAAAAGAGAAGGACTGTGCTAGACTCTCGCGCACGCGCCCACACTCCCGGTTAAGGTTCACCAGCAGAGCAGAGAGAAGAGCCGACCGCACCAGCACCGTTCGTACGGGTGTCGGGGTACGAAATGCGGAATCGCCCCGACCTCCTATCGCAGCAGCTCTCTCTCGCTCCTCGGCATTGTCAACAATTGCAGCATCCCGGGGTGAGTCGATTCAGGTAGCACCGGAGAGACAGAGAACCGGTGGCGCGCGGTAGTGGTGTGTCGACAGCCAAAGAGGGAGCCGAAGGCGGACGGATAAGGAAAGGAGGGAGGTGAATTCGGAGGGGGTGTAGAAGGGAGCCTAGGTTGCGGGAATATATATATACACGTCAGGCCAGAGAGAGAATGAAACAGGGAGCAAATGGAGAAGTGCGGAGGAAAAATGTGGAAAAGTGAACAGAGCCAGAGGATGGGTAAGAAAAGAAACGAGTTTTAATGAAAGGGGATGGATAGAGGGAGAAAGTGATACGCCAGACGGAGATAAGTGTACGATGAAAAATGATAGAGAAACGATAAGAGAGAGAGAGAGAGAGTGAGAGAGGATAGATGATATTTCTACGGGGAGGGATAGGGCAGAAACTAACAGCCCCTCCACAGTTGCACGAAATAAAACACTGTGCCACAGTGTTCCACCCCGGGGCTTCGGCCAAACGGCGCGGCGCGCTTAGGCACGGCCACGCCCGCGCACCTATCCCATTGGCCGAACCCGCTGTTCCACCAAGATGTTAAGAGTTTATATCTGCTTGGGGTGAAAGGGGGACATACCTAACCGCGTACCCACCTACCTACTCACCCTCGATAAACTAAATGCGTATAGAAAAGCCCGACGCGCGTATCAGACGTGTGTATTTTTCCTCCTCTATTCCTCTCCACCTCCTTTACTACGCCCGAAACGGACAAACACATTACTCTTTTATTTAGAAAAACCCGTTTCCAACGTTCAACGCACAATACCACCGATGCTCAGACGTTTTACTACTCTATGCTCCGCCTTTTGTTTCGACTGGCACTGTGTTTTTAACCCATGCACGCCTTCTTCGTCCCCTTCGGAACGAAGAACGTGTCCCTTCTTTTCTCTCTTCTCCTTCTTCCATCGACACCGCTCACGCTTCCTCGCGGTTCGTTCTCTTTCCTTCTTCGTTTCGTTTCTTTTTTTTTTTTCCTTTCTTTTTTTATTATTATTTTTCGGATCCATCGAGTTCGCTTTCTGTAAACCACACGGGCACACCGTCAACGACGAGCCTTTCTTGAATCATATTCTACAATGAGCTTTCAATGGGGGGGAAGCCCTATTGTCGTCTCCACAAATGGCGACCGATTTCATAGTGATCTAATGTACAGATGTTATTTACCCCGCAATGAGAACGGAATAAAAGGCATTCTATGTATTAAACCGTTCTATGATTTTGGATCATGTGTATATATATATATATATACCTACTCTTTACAAGGGCACAATGCACAAGGTACGGACCATTGCTCGTCACATGGTACTTCTTTCCTTTAACCAGACGAATTAAAGTAACCATATCTGGTTATTTGGAACCGGTATTTTGATTTAAATATATCCTTCCTACCTATTGTTAAATACCGTCAAATTGCAGGTAATCCGATATGAATAATTGCAACTGTTATTCATTTTTTCAGGATGAAAGAGTCTAATGCAAAATGAAGGGGATCCTTGACCAATCACAGAATCACCCTTCACACCCGAGTACATTAAATAACAATGAAATTTGCGATCTTTCGTTGAATTGCACGTTTGAACGCGTATGATCGATTAATCTGCCAACGGGCGTCATTAGTAAAATTCAATGACGGTTTGAGCAACATTAAAAAGCTTCTGTGAAACGGGTTAGCCGTCGATATACCAGTGTACGCCCGACACGGACCATTTTTTTACTCTGGCATATCAAGCACTCAAAAGCGAACGTACACGCCGATGGATAAATCAATAAACCAATAGCTATGGTAATGCACACCTGCTTTCAAAGTATCAGCCAACCCCTCTACACATTTCCCTTTACGCGTTTTCCTATCATCGTGATCTCCACTCCTTTTTTCAATTATTACATTATTACAAATTTACACGAAAGGAAATAAACAAATGTTACAATAATTTCAGGATGGTCGAATGGAAAATCGTAATCTGGGAAATAACGAATGATACAATAGCGTTCGAGCCTCTTCAGAACGTTTCCTTTAAAACGTTAAGCTTCTCCCACGATTCTTAACATCCTCGCCTTCGGATGTTTCCACAAGTATCTGATTGATCAACGGTAGCAGGTACACTTGCACATTGAATCTCCCCTAGGGCTGTTTGCGTTTAGGGAGCAGAGATCAAGATCAAAATCGCGTCTGTATCGAGTTACAATGTTTGCCAACATCTACGATCGGCAACACCAAGGAAACAGCTGATCGAATCGCTTCTGATCGGATAACAGAGATTAGGATACAGGTAGTTACTACAGGTAACAGATGATATTTGGGGGTGGAGTCGCCTGTTTGCTGATACTTATTTTAATTACATTAAAAATTTAGGGAAAATAAATCGATCAAAATTTTAATTTTTATAATATTTCAATAGATTTTAATCCTGAATTTTGAAATACCTCAATAATCTTGATCTAATTTTTCTTATTTTTAGAACAATGTTGTGCCATCAATTGACTCAATCAGGAATTGTCTATGTATTCAGAGAAGTTCCGAAAAATGGTGTCGAATCGGAGCCGCCATATAGATGGATGCATTTGCAGGTATGTGTAAGTTAGGGTGGTATTCAACGCAAGCATCGTCGCGGTCTCGCCGCGATCTACCGCGCCGATGAAATACCGTATGACTTTTTGACGTGCTTTTAACAGATTGAATTGAAAATGGCTTCCACCGGTCCCAATATATTCGCGAGGCCACAGATCCATAGCCTGGAAACGAACGGACAGACGTGAGAGACGAGATATATAATCTTTTTCTCTCACTTTCACACCTCACCGCAACTTTTTCCCTCTTTCTCTCCTCACCCTCTCTCGGGGATCCTTGGCGAAACGGTCGCCGGTTTAACCACCCCTTCTACTCCCTCGCTGAACGTCCACCTCTATTTCTCTCCCTTCAATTTTTGCACATTCGCTGACGCGGCACATTGCAAGCTGCGCCAAGCGGAAACGACGACCAAGAACAGCACCGGTCACTCGATCCACCGAGGGTGCAGGTCCGCGTAAAAATAATGTCCCGGCTCATTTTTTAAAAGCTACCACCCAACCGCACCGGCTGCGAGAGAGCCGAGGTGGAAAAAAAAAAAAAGAAAAAAAAAATAAAAAATCGTGACGGACGTAGATATAGGTAGGTCGATATCACGGGGTGCAATAGCACAGGCCCGACCCAACGCCGGATGAAACGGTCAAAGCTAAAAAGCTCTCTCCATCCGAAACCGGCTATATATTATCTACAACCCTTCAAACACAGAACCCACCGAGATCCATACATAACCCATATGCGTACACTCTTCTACACGTACCGTTTCTCTGCCACAGGAATTTCCTGCGTGTGCTGACCGGACCTGGACTTAAGTCACCGTCTGATTACTAAGGGCTCGGACCATGGACTCGACGTGCCATTAAACAGAACCGCCACTTGCTTCTTAATAAAGTTCCATCATAGAATCTTTGATGTTTAAGTTGCAATAAATCAAGATTTTATGCTTCGTTTCCATTCTGAACGAATTTAAGTTCCTCTTCTATACTCAATAATTACAAAATTAGTAATATTTCAATTGTAATTAGTGTCTGTTTTTTTTAGGGTAGGTAATGAAACGTGAAGAGGAAATAAAGATACATTTTGGCAGAACCACGCGAATGGAGGTGTATAGTTGAAGAGGGTGAAATGGGCGTGGTTAGCAACCCTTGGTGAGACAGTGTCGACCAATGCCCGTACCCTTGGCCGATATCGCAACTGTTGCAAACGCAAGCGCCGTCAGGGTTGTTCCTGTGAACCTCTGGTGATAGGTTGATGTGCAAGGCTGTTTAATGTAACGGGCGCAGACTCGACTTAGGGGACACTGTTCCAAAAGGTTACGCCTCGCATTCACATTGGTTATGCATCAACCCGTTCCTCCTCAAGCATTTGCAACCCCTACTTTTCTTAATCGTTAAATTGGGTATCGTATGCAAAAATAAAATAAAATAATTTACTTTCTTCATTTATTATTTATTATTTCCTAATTTAAATTAATGTAATATAGTTGGTACAATGATGTCGTTATCTACGTCACAGACTTCCGGTTTCGAGGGATGGTCGTTTTGGAACATAAGCAGCGACGGCTCCTTTGAATATTTCTTCAAAACGTACATCATGGTGTCGATAATTTGCGTGGGACTGGAGTAAAAGTATTTGTGCTCTTTGTCGGCGTCCCTGTGTTTGTTGTAGGCTTCCTCGATAAAACCGCCGTCAGCTGTGTAGAACAATATCCTAGGAACGTATTTTCCATCGGGTTGGAATTTTTTCTCGGTCAGAAACGGTTGACCCTCAAACTCCACTTTTACCATCACGAACCTGTGATTCAATGAGTTACTCGATAACTGGTCTTTATTGAAAGTGACATTATCCTTTTTGATTCACGTTAATTGCCACCATTTAGTTTGCAAAACAACCCCTTCAATTATGCATGATTAAATAATTAATAATAATGAGAAATCTTAACTTTAATATTGTATTAATAATCTAAGATACCAATTAGGAAGTTTAAATTGATGGGTTAATCAATTGCGTGCTTATTAATTAATATTTTAAGATAATATGAGAAACAAGTGTTTACCGATCACTGATATCCATTAATCGAACACATTTGGCAAATTTTTCCTTTAATCTTTGACAAGCAGGACAAAATTCTTTATGAATCATTAAAAATACAGGCTTCTTAAGAGTCTTCGCCTCGTTAAAGCCATTTGAAAAGGATTTCCACTTGAATAATTGATCGAAGCCAGCATCGGAATTCGTGTCTTTCACGGTAAGGATATTGTTCGCGACAATGTCGTTTGCTAAGTTAATAAAATTTAAAGAACTGAGGTATTTGATGCATTGAATCATAACTTCGAAAGAAAATGTCTCATCTAATTCTGTCAGACGATGTAAACAAAAGAATTGATGCCGATCGTTTTATATTTCGAATTTTTCATTAGAATATTTGCGAAATAAAAGTATTCCCTAATTCAACAATTCTGTCATTATTATAACACTTTATGACTTCCTTTGATTCTATTTTATTAGAAATTTGTCAAAATCAGCATAAATCGGCAAATTGTTTTACAAGTTCGTACTCACATAAATTGTTTTCAAATTCGATGCAAGTACTATCTATTCGTAAACGGCGGAAACTATTTCCGGCAGGATGGGGCTCCCAGTGCCCCGCGCGGTTCTGAAAAGGCGACGGTGGCGCCATCTATCGGGAAACCGCGGAAACTATTCGTCAAGTAGTTTCAGCGACCTCTTAATAGATGGCGCTAGAGTTCCCTCTTCTGGAGGTCGGTAAGTCGTTGGATACTTTCAGCCGAAAGGCGACACTGTCGCCATCTATCGGGAAACCTCGGAAACTATTCGGCGAGTAGTTTCAGCGACTTCTTAATAGATGGCGCTAGAGTGTCCTCTTCTGGAGTCGGTAAGTCGTTGAGTAGTTTCAGCCGTTTTTGTATAGATGGCGCTAGGATCGAATTAAAAAATTTTTTTATTGTTACATGATGTTGACGTTATAAGTAAATCGTCGTTTTGAACATGGCCTCGATGGAGAGCGCACTGAAAGACGAGGCAAGTTCAGGAGATATAACGCAAGTGCCAGTGTTTTCAGACGAAAGGATCAAAAGGATCGAAGAACAGGAAACATCAGGAGATCCGTTGCAATCTTCCTGGACATTTTGGTTGGGCAGGTAAAAGGATTGTTTTCAGCTTTTTAGTTTTACCCTTTCAATGTCTGCAGCAGTTTTGTTTTTTTTATCTTACTCGTTCGTGAAACGTCACAGAATATACGAGTTATGTTTTTCCGTTGATGTCAGCAAATTATTTTAAACTGCGGAGCAGTTAACATTTACACGTTTATCGTTATTGTTGAATTAATGTAATAAAAAATGATTCTGAAAGAGTTTATAAAATTGACAGAGCTATTTCTGCTTCAACTGTTGAGGAATATAAGACAAATTTATTGAAGATCTATACTGTCAACACTGTACAAGGATTTTGGGCTGTTTTTAACAATATACCAAGCGTTAAATATATACAAGTAAGTTTGTATACCTTTGCTATATTTGTAAACATCTTATCGGTACTTGTTCATTTATTTCTGTTACAGGTGAGATGGAATTATCATTTGATGAGAGATGAAAGATATCCATTGTGGGAGGAACCTGTTAATCAACATGGTGGAACATGGAGATTAAAATGCCATAAATCAGATACTGTAAGTTCTAAATCTTATGTTACTTACAAAATCATAAGTTCCTTATGTTTTTAGGAAAAGATTTGGAAAGAAGTGGTGCTTGCAGCTATTGGAGAGCAGTTTGATGAATGTGTAGCTGAAGGTGATGAGGTTTGTGGAGTAACTGCATCTGTAAGGGACAGAGAAGATGTTGTTGATGTAATCAAAGTTTGGGTTCTTTGATTGATATATCATAAAGTATACTATTTATGAAGTTTCTTCTTATTCCCTTAGATTTGGAATACAAATGCTGCTTTAGCATCAAAAGCTACTGTCTTAGAGAAAGTTCAATCACTCCTGCCTAATGTAAACTGCACAAAATTCTATAAACGTATGTATATTGAAATTATCAAAATTCCCGCATTATTTATTATGGATTATACCATTAAATTTGAAGTTTTTTTTACAGCCCACCAATCGCATCATGCCTATGGTCGCAGTTAAAAAATTGAGAAGCTACAAAAAATCTGAAATTGTTGATAATTATTAATTAACGTTGTTTTAATACACAGTTCTAATAACGGTATATAAATTGTTGATATTGTAATTATAAATTGTGAAATACATTTTTATATTTATTAATATGCCTACTTTTTGTTAGATCTATCCATTTGATGGAATCAGAATATTTCATTAAATAAATTTCACCTGTGTAATAAATATTAAAACACGATAACTCGTGTTGAATAACGGAATACCTGTAGAATTTTTAAGTACATTCGGAAAGAAATTTGAATCCGTAACCGTATATCCATAAAACCAATTCGTTGGCCGACTAAATGGCGCCAACTTAACATTTTACTGCTTTTCAATATTCTTCATATTGACGTCAATACCCTGAAAAGTTTACTTGTATTCGAAACACCATTAAACTAGTTCTAAATCGTATTCAAATTATGTCCGGCATATATGTAAATGTTATGTAGCTTACGTTAACTATTTTCAACAAAATATGCGAATCAATTACCTATCCCTATGTGTTCCATAAAAAAAATTATATTATGCAATAAGTACTTTCTTCTCGATTAAATTTTTATGTAAATTTTGAAAAAATTTCAATGATATTAAATCATTACGTTAAAGGCTCTCGTACAGCGATATCAATCATCAGACACATATGTTTGTGTTTATATAGAAAGAATTCATGAAAATATATTAAAATTCGCATTATTTATAAAGATAACATAAAAGAAATATCTGGAAATTATACAGCAACAAAGTTTCGATTAAATAATTCTGTTCCGAGAGTTGTTGACTCGAGAAGTACAAATGTGTTGATGGCTTCGTGTTACACGACGTCCTTGCGTACAACCTTGCGAATACGCATATGGCCAAGATTGATAAGGTTACGTTAATTGTGTCAGCAATCTTAAGATGTATAAGATTAGCAATGACTGCACCTATAATTCGTCAGTCACTGTTTACAATCATTTAAAATTCGATATACACAAGAGTCTGTGTATTTAACATACAATTATATAAAATGGTATAACTATCGTCTACTTTTATACGCGTCATCTATTATGCGAATAAAATATTCATCTTTAACCAGTCTAGTCTCGTGAAAAGATGGAATTTCCTGAATTCTAAATAGGACAGCCGATAAGATTTGCGTAGGTTTCTACATATTCGATTCGGTATACCATTACACGCTTTTGAAATTCCAAAGTTTATCATCAAATTTATTGCACTCATATGCAAAACTATCCGAGACGGAACTTCATCTTCACCTACGGTCACGTACGAATGATAACAGTACAAAACACGTGGATAGAGCAGATAAAAGAGAGAAACCTGTTTAGTGGAAAACTTCCACACGATTCGTGGAATTCGTAATTTTTTTTTTTCACACGTTACGCTAACAAAGAAGAAGGAAAAAAGAAAGAAATACGGATTCGTTTCGTACGCGAAACGACAGATAAATCTTTGCTGTTATAACTTGGTGACTTGATTTCACGATAATTTATTTTACGGATATTCTTCGACAACCTTCAAAGGCCGAACAAGGAATTCTAACAAAAAAAAAAAAAAACGTGTAATTGTATCCCAACGATGAGCTTGTAGACGCCCACTACATTTTAGTTTATCCGTTAACAAATTACCATACCAAAACGTCATGCCGATCCTCGGGAATTTTTCAGTCGTTCCAAGATACTCGTTAATCAATCCTTAACAATGTTCCGTATACCGATAGGTTCTGCATTCTTAAGCGGCGCCACGATTCTCACGTCATTCCGGGCGCCAAAAATTTTACGCATAATTATCTTGTTCGCTGACACTGTTCGTTACCAATAACAAACCGTAACTCATTTAATACCGCATGCATAATCTGGATGATAATCAAAATACATTTATATGAAATTTTTTCCTGTTTATGTGACATCTGATAAATTTCATTTTGTTGCATCGTGCATTATTATAACTCCTCTCTATGAATTATTCGAGAGGTAAACATTCCTGCAAAAATGTCAAATGGCACCGATTGAATTTATAAAAGAATTTTAGTAAATGTTATAAATAATGATATCGTAGCTTCAATTATTCAAATGCTTACCATCTTGTTTCATTTATCAGTCGCGTTTTAAATGCACAGAAACGAGGAAAGATATTCAAATATAATACAACATCCTTCAATTTGTTTTGAATCAATGACGAAGCCATTATAATAGTTCCAATATGTTTGATGATCTCTATTATAAAGTATTTCAAAAATTAAGGATCCACTTGAGTATGCAGTTACGTAGATGGATTTCAAGGAAACCATAATAACGGGCAAAAATGTCACCATTGAACTACTTATACGATCAGCTTCCGATTTCGTTGCCTGCAAGCAAAATGAGTCATAACGTGGCATCATGATGACGATCAATACATTTTTGGAGATTCCAAAATTTCGGGAATTCGAAGAATCGTCACAGATAAGATTACATCTGTGCGAGCTACTCTAAAATTGAAGATTCCTTGTTTAAAATATATTTTAAAAAATTTTCAGTCATCAGAATTTGTTTGTCAGGGAAACGATGAGCATCCGGTGGTTATTGCGTCGACCGGAACGTATTCCACACCTCTCGATCTCGGATGACCGTCCAATCGTTGCGATGAAAAGAGGAAGCGATTTCCATTCCCTTTTGCGCTATACAAGTCCATTTCCTGATCATGATCGTCCTACATTCCATTCGGATGCAATTCTAAAATCCTCGCGCCGGATCGTTTACCGTTCTTCCATAAATAGATCAATATATCTAAAAAGATACAACAAAATTAATTCAAACAATTTGAATGACAAATTCATTTGATCGAGCAGAACCCATTACGATTCAACGTTTGAAATCAGAATGCAAGATGCGTTTGTGGGAACTGTTTACTGTTTCATGGTTCACCAACGAAGAAAAACGATGCTCGGCTTGACTGCACAATTTTATTGTTGGATAAACTATAAAAATAGTATTCTACGTTTTAACGGAGACAAAATATAAAGAATCTTTACACACCAGCAGTATTTTTGTTATTCGTATGATAATGCTAGAAAAAGAAAATCAATGAAAACGTTTACAATCGATGAATGCTATCAGTAGTTTGTCATCGATTAAAGATCAATCAAGACTTATCAGGAATACCCTTGGCCTGGTTAGTGTAATTTCTGCTCAGCTGATCCGTGAAATGTATAATGGAAACTTATAAATCAGAGGTGCAGAAGGTTAACGCCCGTGAGCATCCAGCCATTCCAGGTTACGGACGATTAATTGATTTGGAAAGTAGAACATACTTGCCCGTCGAATCACCATGTTCGACTTTTCTGTCATTCTATTTCAAGAAAATCACGGTAAAGTGAAACCATCGTGAGTCCTAATCAGAGAGAACGGTATATTTTAAAACAATGAAATCGATATATGTATTTTTGTTTTAAATACAGTTTTAGAAGTTCATAGTTCTAGAACCGTTGAGATAGATCTATTCTTGTACATAGGATCCGAATGACATAATAGCAGGATGACTGCATGCTGACTGTTAAATGTGCAGCGAGCCTCCAAGTAATCAAGATTACCTGGAACGGTGTGGTAACAGACACACGTATACATCGTGGACGTACAGCGAATGATACAAGGTTCCTCATTCCATTGTGTATATGCCTGTGCTGACGCGAATTCATGTGCGAAAGTCTGCGGCATTTCAATTCTCACGTTGGTCATCGTCATAGAAAAGTGCCGTCGCCTCTGTTCCGGCTTGCAATGCGTTATTGTTTTTCTACCATTATCATTAACCCATTAATACCGAAAGTTGCGGCTGCGCAACGCATTGTTCCATCCTACGATCACAATTATTTTTCTTCTTTCAAACATCTTGGCAAATATTTCTATAAAACGTATCATAAATATAAATACAGAAAAACAGTATAACAATTGTTCTGTGCTAAGAAGCATATTGGTTAACTAAAATACCGCGAAGGACGTGGTTCTCTGAAGGACAGGATTTTCTAAGGACTTGTTAGCTCAAAGTAGCCAAGAGAACCGGATGAACAAGATTGGATTCTTTCAAGGCAGATTTCGAACCAGCTTCCTCTCCTGTACGGTTGTATTACTTGTTTCCAACTGTGCATCTGAAAAATATTATGTTACTTTAATCAGATGTGTAGCTTGAATCATTAACACATTGACTGCCAGGCAAACTCTATTGAAAATTTAATTAGATATTTTTATTTTTTTTTAAATTTTATTTATCATTTTCCGAATATTTTGTTATTTCCATTAGTAAAAATATTTCTAATTAGATAAGTAACGAAATTCCTAATAATATAGATAATGGCTTACTTTGATAATTCAAGTGTCACCCAGATATGGGTGACATGGTATTCAATGTGTTAAATAGAAATACATTAATGAAGTTGTTGCTTTTAAAGATAAGGGACCTAATGAACTTACGTTTCAATGTATCGAAGTCTTGTAACATGATTAATAGGATATAAGAAATATAAAAACATATATTTTTTTTTAAATACGAGTCTGATGGACCAAGGAAATTCTGTTCGAAAAGTAGAAGGGGTGGGGGCTCGAACTGCGCAGACGTCACGCGCATAAGAACATATAATCAGGGACGCAAAGAAATCAAGCCAGTTCGCAAACAGCTTACGAACAGAGTGGACTGTATCGTTCTTACCTTCGTTCATTTGTGGCCACGTGAAGTTTCTAGCGATAATCGTGTTATTAATATTTCATTTATCAATAAATGAAATATTCAATTGATATTCAATCCTTGTAATTATATTCTCGTCGTCAGTTTGGTGTTTGTAATACAAACACTCTTGGCTCGACGACCACTGATTTTACATCAATAATATCTGTGCGATAGACCTACGTATCTAAACTAACGGTACGTGTAAAAAGAGTGTGCCTGTAAAGTAAAGTGAGGAATTAAAAATGAGCAATCTGAGAACTTACGTGCTCTTTGCTGCTATCCTAATATTGGGATGCCATACATTATGTGCCACTGCTTCCGCGATACCAATGTGGGAATTCCTTTCGCGAGATGAGAAAGTAAGTATTGTTGAGCATCTAATCGTCAAATTTAACATTTATACATAAGGTTTGTTATAGTCATTTTTATACGATACCAACGAAGCTGAAACTTTCACTTACCAAAATTGAAATTCAGTGGATTCATTAAAAATGCTCTGCTTGATGTACTGTACAGTCGAGTACAATAGCACTGACCGCGTCTCGGACGTTGACTTTTCTCATGACATTGTGCTCTTCTTCTTGCGTTACATTTGCTATCTATTTCACGTTGTTTTTATATAGAAACTGGATGATGCTGTAATACATTAACAACTACTCACTATGTTTTCAATAATAAGATAATGGTACCGCCTGAAATGTTTCAACTGATCGCCAAGTATTTCGATATTGACCTTAAACCAAGTTAACCTTTATCACCATTATATCACTAACCTTATAGCCATTATATCACTACAAAAAAACAATCTTTGATCGAAATATACTTTGAAATAATAAAATATAAATTAGTATTATTTCGGAATACTGAAATACTTACTGCCTTTTCGCAACAATTGTTTATCTTCTATTCGTTTAAACTTTCTCTTACTTCGAGAATTCGTTTGAAAATAGTACCATCGATCGACTAGTAAATCGACCATCGATCACGTTGTCGATCTATGTAGGTCACCGCCAAAGTAGTACTTACGTGTATTCTCACTTTGTCAAGATTGAAATTTACAACAATACGAAAAAAAGAAATAACAGACACTTTTTTAATAAAACAAATTCTATAATTGTGAAATTGGTCCCATAAGAGATTACTCTATCGAGTGTAAGAATCCTCCTCGATTTTGTAATCGATATACAATAAATGTTAAATTTCGATAGGGTCGATAGGCGTGTTACAGAAATGTCATTAGATATTCTAAGATCGATTATTCGCGTAATCGAGAAACCATAGATGGAGCCAAAAGTGTGTAGACATCGAATGTTTCGGTCGGTGGACAGAATTTCTCATGACGAAAAAGAAAAAAGGTGCGTATCGCAATCCAACCCGATACGTGATGTACGACAGGCTGCGACGGGAATATATATTTGTTTGTTATAACCATCGTGTCCGATATCCCGCGTGTTACACATTGCGGAGTTTCACCGGACGCGCGCAGAATGCATTTGTTCTTAACGAATGGAAAACAGCTTTCGCGATCATCGACGCATCGTAAACGGGGGAAAAAAAAAATTCATTGTCTCCCTTTTAATTTTCCTCGGACAAATTAAGTTCGACGACCTGAGCAGTGGCGGTTCGTAGCTAAAATTAGTGGGGGTGTTGCTCCAGAAAATTTTTAACCTTTGTTTTAAAAAACCGGCACTGCGGGAGCGACAATGCTCTCTCTCCCTCGCAGCCTCTCCTGCGCATGCGCACACAGTCAAACACCACGCCGCTGGAATTGTGAAGCGCATACAAAGATTTTTCTATCTTTTTCATAAATGTACAAGTATAAAGAAAGAATTAAAAAAAAAAAAAAACGCCACTGGACCCGAGTATCTTTTGTAACAAAAGAATGTTCCATTTCAGATGAGCTACTTGTTCAGAGTGTTCAGTCAACAGGTGGCCACATTCTGTGTTGACTCTTCGATGCCAGATTGTAACAAAAATTTATTGGTTTCTGGTCTTCGAAATCTGGCTAATATGGACGATAATGCTCTCGATAAATTGGATCCGTATCAACGTGATGCAAAAGAAATTAGTAAGTTTCATACCCTCTTATACCCGAGTAATTAATTTAATCTCATTTGAATGAACCCCCCATTTTCTGATTATAGTCTGGGGTGCAATGGTAAAGAATGGGTATTCAACGAGAGTCGCTCATGAACCGAATGAATCCTATTTCGCCACCGGTACCGATTCAGTAGGTATGTGATAAATTAAGAAGTTGACTATTGGTAAGGAATAACAGTTCTGGATATTGAAAATAAATTCTTTGTGTACTTGAATCATTTGTTAAACGATAGGACGATACTCTTTCAGCAGAAACATCTCCAACGATCGCATAAAGTTCATTAATGCGAGAGAAAGTTCTTATCGATAAAAAAAATGAAAGAAACTTACACGAGCGAGACTAGCAGCCTCTGTAGCGGATATTAACGGAGAAAGATACATACTAGTAGAGGCAGTTTAACGGCGATTAATCATTGCATTAACGCGTTGACTGCTGCAGTGAAAATGGACATTTCTTACGAGACGTATTAAAGCTCTAATTATTAAGAATAGAAATAATTAATTTTCAAGTTTCAAATGTCAAGCTTTTAATTTGATACTATTGAAAATAATATTTTTCTATCGTTTTCTTTTAATTATCGAAGCGCGTGTAATTTGCGATGCCGGTCACCGGTGACCCCCATGGCATTCAAGGTGTTAACCATGAAAATCGGAGCTGCCTCTGAACTCGATGGACAGCAAGAAGAAAATAACACTTGCTCGATCTACGTGACCCGAAATAGATGAAAAGAAGGCGCTGCGAGAAAGTTCCAGGCGTCCCCGTTGTATCGTGCACGTTCCAGTAGAAAACTTTTTATTTTTTTCTTCGACCAAAGTAGATCGCGTTCGATAGCAAAACGCTCGTTTTCGATACGACCGGTCTTTTTAACTGCACTTTCACCCGATCTTCCGAATAAGTCGACCGTTTACGGAAGTTTTTTTTTTCGGTAGCTTCAAAAAGAAGAAGAAGATATAAATAAATTCTTCAAGTTCTCTTGTACAATAGAGATGGTGAATTTTTATTTTCTAACAGAGCCACGAGTCATTTTACGCGACGTTTTCTTATTTGTTATTCTTGTAAATTCCTCCGCGTCCCTTAGAAGAGCCATTCAACATCTGACGGAAGTAGGAAGTAGTATCGCGACGGATTGAAAATATTAGACATCGAATTATCATAATGCGAAGGTTACGTTTGGCTAAAAAGAATCACTTCCGATCCCGTCTACGTAACACGAATGCGTTCAGAGAAGGAACGTGCTGAAAATATTTATAATCAATTCAACGATTGTGATGAAACGTGTATGTTACGTTAACGTAAATGGCTAATTATTAATGAAATTCTACCGATCAAACTTTCAAATTTCATCGGCGGTTAATTAATTATGCAGCTATATGTACATTCGTTTAGAAACAATTTTACATTTGCATCCTACAAGTTACTGGAAATATAAATTAATCGAACCTTGAAGCTGATCATATATCTATCAGAGAAGAAAATATCTTTTTTTGTTAATAAAAAATCTTTATTTTGTTACAGCTACTAGTGGGAGCGAAACAAATGGCTTAGGCGAAGAAACGATATCAGAGCATACAGGGCCCTATCTGGTGGGACCAATGGTGATTCGTGTGTATCCGGATGGTCGACCAGTTCCAGAGGATTCCATGCGCCCTTTGCCCCAGGATGAGGATATCAAAGAATTCAGACATTCTCGTGTGCCCTCAGTCGAGGAGATTGAAGCGAATAGAAACGTCTTTTATGAGAAACAATCGAAAGGAAATTCGTATCCTGTGAGAAGGAATAATCGCCAAGCGTACGAGGAGTCTCCTTGTTTTCGAAAAGATGATTCGTTATTTAAAAGACGATTGCTTCAGGAAATTGTAAAGCGTAAATTACGTTATTAGCGATAAGCAAAGGTACACCGAAGAGCGTTGACGATCTTCGCTCATCGTGATAAAGCTAAAACAGCTTCATTGCGGATAATTGTAATTTATTTTGATACTAGAACTGTTAGGAATGAGGAAAGATTCAGAGCGGTTTGTCCTGAGCGTTTTTCTTTTTGTTAAGAAAAACTAAAAGGTAGATTGTAGTTGATGGAACAAATTAGAAAACGAACCATCATATTTGTCCCATCAAATATTCAGATTTGTGCAAGACTGGTCTTTCATGATGCAGATAGAAGCAATAATTATTTGTTACACATGATAGATAAGATAAAATTAATTCTTAATATGAGTTCATTAGATAGTATCATTTTTTTATAAATTTGTACGTTAAAGCATTTGTTTATGAGTGAAGAGTGATATTTTTTAATAATTCTAATCATCAATCATTTATTAGCGATAATCTTATAAAGTTAGTGGTGGTGAGTTTAAAGACTGTTTTTGCAAACAATACTCATTTATTTTCAGAAATATTAATAATCATGTTGATCTTTGAAAATATTTAACATAGATTGTATGATGACGATTGGTCGGCAATCAAATGTCTTACTTTTGCTTTGATAATTCCAAATTAGAGTGCGTTATAAATATTTTAACAGGCGCTGATGAATATTTCATATTCATCATTTATCCACAACTTTATACACATTTATAATCGCCGACCATGAATGGTTCTAATCGTGTGCTTTCCATTCATTTCTTATTTATTTCATCATCCGTAAAATTATCATTTTTCAATAGTCTACATATTTCTGTTATATTCTTTCGCAATGATACTGTAGCTCGAAAATGGTGTTTTTTTTGTATGAAGTGTATTTCAGGGTCATATAGTACATTTCCAAACTTCCTTCTTTAAGATATACTCTCATGGTTCAAAGGAACTTACCTCGCTAAAAATTTATGTTAATTCTTATGTTGACTATTGAATTTGCGTATGAAATTCACATAAGATTAACAGAGCACATTTTCATATATTTGATAATCTTTGTGTTGACATTTTTTTCATGTTATTTCTTCAGATGATCGTTTAAACGATAAAACATTTTTCTTACGTATAAGATGTGCATTGTATGTAATAATGACTATATTGTAAAATTTATGTAATATTGTACAAATTTATGGTTTGTATGGTGCGTATTTAGTACAGTTAGAATTTCTTTAATTCTAAGTATCCATATATTTTATAAGTATGCGTATATATAGTAAATTTTCTATAAAAAATGTTGTGATGAAAAGAAAATGAAATGATTATTAACAATGTTTTTAATTTGTATACACGGTTCAAAATAAAATGTGATATTTGATATTTCATTTCTCAAATTCATTTTTAATTTTAGGTGGTAAATAACTGTTCAATTATTATTAAACATCTATTATATGTAGGAATAAGAATACGGTGATTTGAATTTAAAATTATTCCCGCTATTCTTCTCTATATGTTTCTATTTTGCCTACTGATGAAAACTGTACCCATTTTGTAAAATGGAAATGAAGCTGCAGGTAGACATGTTTTATTCTATAGTGATTTGTCTATCTAGTATCACGGTAATCGATGTTTCAGCTAAATAAGGCAAGGGCGGAACAAGTATTTCGCCGGAAAGTGTATGGGGAGGATGATCGAGATAGGTAGGAAGGAGGAGGCATCGTACCGATTTACATTGTGCAATTTTTTGAACCATTGTTAAAAACTAGAAAACGAAATAAACATGTCCTATGAAACAAGTAAGTAACGAGTGAATGTTTTAATAACTTACTGAATTCTTTTAGTCATTTATTATTATCTATTTCGAGTAAATATTGAGTTTTCCGATTTCATTCGGCATATCTCAAGCCGAATCATAACACTTTAAGAACATCAATGATTCATGTATGTACCTGATATTAAAATAAAACAACAATGAATTAATTTTATATATGAAAGATCTATTGCTTAAGAAACCACTGTAATATTTTTTATTTTTCAATTTATTATCCAGCCTTTTCCCGTTTTATTATTAGTAACTTAATTCATATTATTTTAAACGCATCGTGTTTTTTTATTTAACCAGGTGTAACGAATGCTTATCATGATTTATAATTTCTCGTAATTAATTTAATTGGCTTTAATATGCAAAATAGAAAAAAAAGAAACCAATAATAAAATGGTTATAAAAACAGGTATTATCAATTAAAATTTATTAAAAGTTATTTATTGTAAAATATTAAAAAATTGTAATATACGAATTGTTCATTGTAAATTTCAATAAAACAGCACAAAATATAGGAATTGAATAATTGTAATTTTGGATCAGCATATAGTATCTGTGCTCAAAATAATTTCAAATATTGTACACTGGACATGTGCCAGATTGTCAAGGAAATATATTTGAGTTCCAGTTAAAAGATTCATTTTATTACACAATTTCCTCTTCCAAAATATGTGACTCAAAGTGTAGTTTATGATATAATTATTAATTCTTTATTTACAGAATACATATTTGCAACATTACCCAGAACACAAAGAGGTCAGCCTCTTGTATTAGGAGGTGATCCTAACGGGAAAAATTTTTTATATACTAATGGCAATAGTGTAATTATTAGAAATATCGATGTGAGTATAACAACATTTCATTCAAATATATATATAACATTGAAACACATTATTTAAATAATTTACAATTTTTAGAATCCAGCTATTGCAGATATTTATACAGAGCATTCTTGTCCAGTCAATGTTGCTAAATATTCTCCAAGTGGATTTTACATAGCCTCTGGTGGTATGTAAATGCTTGTAATTAAGAATATTGTACATACATCATTACCTAAAAAATCCTCTATTATAGATCAGTCAGGTAAAGTACGCATTTGGGATACTGTTAACAAGGAACATATTTTGAAGAATGAATTTCATCCTATTGGAGGACCAATTAAAGACATAGCATGGTCACCTGACAACCAACGCATGGTAGTTGTCGGAGAAGGGAGGGAGAGGTGAGGAATGGAACATTATTTGATTGTAGGACCATCTTTAGTAATTGCTCTATTTCCATAAATAACTTTAGATTTGGTCACGTATTTATGGCGGAAACCGGTACGTCTGTAGGTGAAATATCTGGGCAGAGTAAACCCATTAATTCCTGTGACTTCAGACCTGCTAGACCATTTAGATTAATCACTGGAAGCGAGGACAATACCATTGCTATTTTCGAAGGGCCGCCATTTAAATTTAAGTACGTATATCGAGCTTATGCATCATACCGTCTTACGTATTTTAGAATAATTATTATTATCTTATCTACAGAATGACGAAGCAGGAACATGCTCGATTTGTTCAAGCTGTGCGTTACTCACCTAGCGGCAATTTGTTCGCATCTGCAGGATTCGATGGAAAAGTGTTCATTTATGACGGTACAAGCTCCGATTTAGTTGGCGAAGTAGGATCACCTGCTCATCAAGGCGGAGTGTATGGAGTAAGCAACGAATTTCCATATTGATCGAGTCGTTTAAGTAACAAATTATAATAGAAATATTTATGTAATTCCATAGGTAGCTTGGAAGCCGGATGGAACGCAGTTATTAACTGCTTCCGGCGACAAGACATGTAAACTTTGGGATGTAGAAACTCGCTCTTTGATTAGCGAATTTAACATGGGATCAACTATCGATGATCAACAAGTAATTCTTGAACGATATCTTAGAAATTTAAAATGATAAAATTATTCGGTAACAATGATTTTCTTTCAGGTCAGCTGTTTATGGCAAGGAAATCATTTACTGTCTGTATCTCTAAGCGGTTTCATTAATTATCTTGATGTTGACAATCCTGCGAAACCAATTAGGATAATAAAAGTAACATACTTCGAACAGAGAATAAACGCTCTCTCTCGTATGGATTTAATTTCTAATCACGTTATTTTTCAGGGTCATAATAAACCAATAACAGTATTAACTCTAAGTTCCGATAGAAATACAATTTATACTGGATCTCATGACGGCTATATTACTAGCTGGAATGCGAACACTGGAGAAAATGATCGTGTCCTAGGTCAAGGACATGGAAATCAAATTAACGGAATGAAGACTGCAAAGAACATACTTTATACTGTTGGTATCGATGACACTTTGAGATCGGTTGATGTTGATACAAATACATATACAGACACGTGTGTAGTTAAACTAGACTCTCAACCACGGGGTATAGATATTTACAATGATATAGTTGTAATTGTAACCGTTCGACAGGTAGGTTGTATATTGTATAAATTTATCGTCAGCGTAATGGATCGTTAACGATGATTGTCATTTTCAGATAACTGTTACGCAAGATGGTCGAAAAGTATCAAGTGTACCTATCGATTATGAACCATCTTGTGTATCAATTAATCAAGAAAATGGTGATGTAGCTGTGGGTGCTACATCAAATAACACTGTACGTTTATTCAATATTATTCGTGACAATTCGTATGGAAGTATAATAAAATAATTTTTAAAATAATTTTTAGATTCATATTTATACGCTCTCAGGTACCGATCTGTCACCAAAAACTGAATTAGAACATCTAGGTTCGGTAACCGATGTTGCTTACAGTCCTGATAGCAAATACTTGGTAGCTTGTGACACAAATAGAAAAGTGGTTCTTTATACTGTTTCGGAATACAAGGTAAAAATATATATCCTATGTAATATGAAAAAAAAAAAAGCCTACAACTTAAGAATATATTTGTATCACGTTGCAAACTATACCGCTTTTCGACTAATCTTTGTTATTAAGTAGATAATACCATTAACAAATTTCACTTCTAACTGCCATCACAAATTCATTACTTGTGCTTTTAATGTATATAGTGCAACTAAATACCCATTATTAGTGAAACATACATAATTGCTAGTACCTGCGTGTTTTTATGTACAAAATTTGTTTGTAAAAATTGCTCCGCCTAAACGCTTGTTGGATTTTTAGAGGGTGAGTAAAGTTTTTCACTGAAATTTTGTATCGTTCATCTCATCAAAATATATATAATTTAACAAGTTTATTAGTAACGAATAATTTTACAGCTTGCGCACAATAGGGAATGGGGTTTTCACAACGCCCGAGTAAATTCTGTAGCCTGGTCTCCTGATTCAATTATGGTTGCAAGCGGGAGTCTTGATACAACAATCATTATTTGGAGTGTAACAAATCCAGCTAAACATACTATCATTAAAAGTATGTTTAAATTATACTATTTCAGTTATTAGAAAAAAAAAACACACAAATTATTACAATCGTTGGAAATATTTCATTTCAGATGCTCATCCTCAGAGCCAGATAACACGTTTAGTTTGGCTTGACGAGGAAACGTTGATCTCAGTTGGACAAGATTGCAATACCAAGATATGGCGCATAGAAAAGATTTAATTAACGTTTTAAAAAAAAAAAGAAATGTATTTCTTTTTTTCGGTTTTAAAGAGCTTAATTTTTTATGTATTTTATTTATTTTTTAGTCAAGGAATATTGTGTATTATTTTTTAATGCGGTTTTGGAATAAGATTGAACAGAGTATATTACAGTCTTTTATATTGGATACAATTGAAACAATGAAAGGTCGTGCACTTTATAAACAATATTGCTGTAACATCTTTTTACATTTTCGCGCAGTGTCAATTATAAATAGCATTTTTACATACGATATTTATTTTTTAAATATTTACAATATGATGGAAAAAAAGAAACATATTATCTTTTGATTCTCCGATTTTTACTGGGTCATTGTAAAAAGAATTAATTATGAAATGAAATCAAAACGAAAAAGTCTATTGTCTACTTTGTCTTTATTAAAACAGCATAAAGATAACAAGAAAACAGTAACAATTCGAACACTAAGGGTTTCTAGGAACGTGATCACGCTTTAATTTATTTGTACATTTAAAAACAAAATAATTGAGGTGTTACTATAGCTTGCCTTATTCTTAGTCAGTCGTATACTGAATATTCGTTTAAAAGAAGATGAGACAGACAAGTTTTGTACCAAACTATCTCTCAATTTTCTTTTTACGTAATCAGTTTCTCAGTTTTTGTATTTAACTGCAGTGTTTAGTTATTAAATTAAAAGGATTGTAAGAAGCAAGAAATCTTTATACTGCTTCACTTTTCATTGATTTTACTTGAAATCATACATCATACTGGATTTTCTTTCAATTAAAAAAAAGTATACCACTTAAATAAGGAAGCATTTTAATAACTTTATAATAAAAATCAATATACTTTCATACTGATCCGATCTCTCCTCAATTAAACACGTTTTTTAAACGAATAAAATACTCTAACAATAAATAATGAAAATACGGGAAATTTATATCTAACTTCTCACTTTAAGATTATAATTTCTTTAACTAACAAAATTCTTAGGTTTAAGTCGAATAACACAATGGTCGTCATTTTAGACAAATAGGTATCCTAAAACAAGGGCATGGTAAAAATCAACATAATCTATAAGAATAAGAATTTCTAGGGTTTTGGTGTATTGTATCGCGAACGTTTTTGCGGTGAGGCCACTGGGTGTCTGTAAGAAACATGTTTCCTAAGCGCATCTCGTGATCTTGACACGTGGGAACAAGCTGTACAACTGTACGAACTATTACTGTGAGTCTCCATATGTACTCGCAAGTTGTACTGGTTACTTAATTGTTTTCCACAGATAAGGCAAGTGACACTAGATTTATTATAATTCTGAGAAGTTCTTCCGCTTATGGAGCTTGTAAGAAACTTAAAATTTGCATCCCATACAGGAGGAGGTTTCGTATCTTCTGCGGGCGTAATCTGATCTTCTAAGATAGGCGTACTTTCATCCATTCCACCTTCTGAATACCCTTTCTCAGGATATTTATTAGATGAAGTATTAACAGATGGAATACTGACTTTTTCCCTTTGATTTAATTTTGCGTTAATAGAATAATATGGCTTAGTTTTGACGCAATACGGTATACTTTCTGGATCGGTAAACGATTCTTCTATATTTTCAGCTGCTTCCGCTTCTAGGACTGTTTCTAAAGATTCTCCACCGCTCATAACATTGTCTTTATTTTCTTTCTTTATCGGTGTTTCAGTTAATATTTTCTCTTGTAACTGCGGTGGTGGAGGTTGAACATACATACCGTTATCGTGTCTAGTATTTTTCTGTAAAAGAACAAAAAAAGAGACGAATCAGATTTGTAAAAATTCGATAGATTATAATTCATAGATATTTTGTTATTTTTATACAAACAATTTGACTGTTACTTTTCATTAGATATTTAAAGTACAATTTTCTGTTCTACCTAGCCTCTGAGATACCTGAACACATTTTAGCATGAACAAATATTTATAGACATTTATCTTTAACCATTTAAAATACTGTATATTTTAATGTATAAATTTCAATATTATAACTTACATATACTGAAACTGAAACTAAGCTTTTTAACTTTTTAAATGTACTTTCATGGTATGTATACTTTTTATTGCAGTATGTTATTCTGTGTAACAACTTCCATGCACTGCTTTCTTCAACATTTCTTTCTTTTTCTTTTCTTTTCTTCTTCTTTTAAATAAAAACGAGACTGTTAAATATTTATACATCAATTCTAAACATTTGTTATAGGCACTCTTGACTAAAATATTAAGCATTATTGTAATGCATAGTACATATTATTGTAAAAAAAAGACTTAATCCTTCTAAAATATCTACTGAAAGTTTAGTCATGTAGAGATTTGTTGGAAAAAGCTATTTAGATATACCTGTAAACTCATTCTATGGGGAAAGGTTCCATGGGATGCATCCACTTGCATTTAGTTGCAACACACACAACGATCTTGATCTCGTGGATATCGTTTATATTCATTATCGTTCCTTCGATGCACGCATGAACATACTATGTGTAGTAGGTAATTCCTTTGTGAGATACTTCTTGAGGAACGACAGTGAATGTATTTAAGTGACCTGAACAAAACAACACGATCAGAGAGGGTAATATAAAGATTAAGAAAGGAAAAAAGCGAATATGTAATTTCTTTTATACCAGTACTGTCTTGCAATTCTGAACAAAAGGAAATGACAATATTAGATACTTTTTTTATTACATTTTTTTTTCTGTTCAATACACTTTATAAATATAAGAAGTATGATATGTAATGAAAAGTTCCTTAAAAGATGATTAAACATCATCTTTAAGAATTTTTAACAAAATATCTTAAAATTTAGATATTTTACTAAATTTAATCAACAAAGTAAATTAATAGTGCCATGATTATTGTATGGGAAAGTGTAATCTGTCAGTATATAAATACATGTCTACATGTTTTTAGATAACAGGTTATACAAGGAAAAAACCAATTTTCAGCAAGGAATTGCTAATGTTTAAGGCACCAAAGAAAATACATGCTATGTTATATGTTTTTTACAGTTCACACTGAACAAGCTTCAATGGATAAGGAATGATAATTTGTTAAATAGTGCTAATTATATTTGGCATTTTTGTAATTGATGAACAATAACAATTAGTATATACTAATTATTTATGAACTAATTCAATTGAACAGAATTAATAGAATTACTTATAAAATAATCTGAGAGGGTTTAGTTATGTTGTTTAAGTTGTAATTTTCCCCACTAAAATCTTTTCTAAAATCTGTACTCCATTGTGATAAACATTTTGAATCTTACAAAAGTTAATTACATAGGATATTCTTAAAATGCAATCATGCATTTTCATGTATAAAGCATTAATGTAAGAGGTTTGGTAGAACAGTTGTAGAAGAAAAACAGATAAAAATATGTAATTCCACAATTAAAAGTATGCATTCAAAGAAAAATAATAAAGGTATTAGGAAATCCTATGACATGATTAGCTATAATGCAAACTTACCAATCAAAATTGATTCTGTACAACCACCGCTTTTTTTATGTTTATTTATATTAATCAAAACAGATGAACTTCCTTACCCCAGCAATGTCGGCTAGCCCACGAATATGTAAAGTATCTGCCATAGCCAAAAGTGCAGGTAATTGTTCTTGATAAATATTCACTTCCCCATTGTACATGAATGTGACTAGAGCACACAAATTTGCATATTCCATCCCTGGTAACACAATCACAGGATGTTGCAAAGAACTCAAATCCTAAAAATGAATAACCTTAAATATTCATCAAATTTTATTTTCATGAAATGACCATAATTATTTTATGATACCTTAAATAATTCTTTAAAATAATAACTACAAGCAGAAAGTATAATTTTATGAGCATGTATGTGTCTGCCACCAGCACTCAATGTGACATCTGTTAAATAACCACCATCAAGTAACTTTGGAAGAGAGCTCAGCAACGTGTTTTGAAAATTATGCCATCGTAAACAGAACTGTTGACCTTCCATATTTTATGCTGCAAATCAAAATTATATAATTTTTTCAGATGAAAGGTTTATATCTTTCCAACAAATAAAAATTTCAATAATCATTGTACATATAATAATTGATAAGATTTTGTAAGAATAAGCAAGGGAAATAATACAATTATGAAACATCAAACTATCTTTCAAATAAAATAAACATCAATCTTTAAATTAATAAGAAAATTGTATGAAATAAATGTAACAACACTATTTTTTATGTAATCTTTAATTATAGATATATTTTACTAAACTAATGGAATTACAGTACAATAAAATGAACTTTTGAATACAGTGAATTCAACTAAGGTTATGTGTCTAGAAGTTTTAATAAAAACAGCAAAAAATTTCTTTAGCTCTTATTTCATCTATTTATGCCGGACAGAAGGGTAGTTAGGTTACTGGTGGTAGGAGCAGTTCAAGAGATAGACAATACTATTTATTTAATCAGGCTGCAGGTTCCAGCCAATTCTATTATTGTACCTTCAGGTATGGCTGGAGGAAAAAGCAGATATTGACTCATAATACATAAGAAATAAACTACCGATTTCTTACAAATTATTTCAATGAAATTCATCAACGATGTTGAATAGAATTAAAATTCTACTCATCATTTGCTCTTACCTTGATTAAATTTGTTTGATACAACGTTAATGATATTCTTTACACAACACTTCAAGTCCATCTGGCAAACTTCGCCATAATCACCAGTAACGTAGAAAAAGTACAGCACTATATGCAACACCGATGTGTACTGTCACCTGTCGACATATTAACGAAACATTCGAAAGGAAAGTTTGCGAAAAGATTATAAATTCTCTCCTTTTAATTAATTTTTCCTCTCAATTATAATAGCTTATCGTTACTGTAATGTCCACTTACAGTTACGTTGCTTCTTTAATTTCATTTTAATAGATACAGTGCAAGATATTAAGTGTATAATTATATAAAAATTATATAATAAATAGTTTCTTGTACTGTCAAAATTATATGTATTTTTAGTTATATTAAATTTAGAAAATATTTGCATAAATTGAACTGCCTTAATGTGTTTCACATTTTCATTTCAAACAGTATAATTTACATTGGTAAGATTGTTGTATAAGAAATGGAAATTTTTTAATTTAAAAGAAAGGATAATGTTTTAAATATGCAATTGATATATTACCTGACACGTGTATAACTCATAAGATGGCGCTAGGATTTGTGTTTATTGTAATTTATCACTCTACTATGGTTTGTCGTTACGTGTTGAACGATCAGTATGTTTTGCATTTTCGAATACCACGGTAGAACATTATAGGCTTTATTCCACGTAAACATCAACACAAAATGCAATATTTAATTAATCAACCATTTAGCACATCAAAATGTCTGTAACAGATTTATGGAAACGAATATGGCTTTGTTCGTTATGCATGGTTTTCTTAATATTCCCGCTGATTGACACAAGTGATATAAAACAATTGACGTTTTGCGAACAGAAATCTTCACGCAGGTAATAGATTAAAGGTATGCTTCATATAATTATATTTAATTAATATTTTTTCTTTTTTCAGTTTATTATTTATAAGCACTTTAGATGGAAAGATATCTGCTTTGGATGCTAATAATTCTGGAAAAAAACAATGGACATTAGATTTGAACGAAGGACCTATGTTATCATCAAGCATTCATCGCAGAGAAGTATATAAATATATTTTATACTTTTAATATTTTGAAGGAAATAAGCTAATAATCTAACACATATATTGATAAGAGATTAAACTATCATTTCCTGATTCTTGCTTCATTTATTATACAATTTCTTGTGTGTTAATATTCTTTTAGCTTAACAATAATGGACAATGGATTCGTTTAATTCCCTCTTTAAATGGTGGATTATATAAATTTGATGGTGAAAATTTAGAAGCAATACCAGTAACAGCAAATCAACTGTTACATTCATCTTTTCGTTATTCTGATGATTTAGTATTTTCTGGTGGCAGAGAAGTTAAATCATATGGTAAATGATTTTAACTATTATATAATAGTCATAATTATCTATTGAAAAAATATGATTTCCTCTTATTAATAGGTATATCAAGTACAACAGGAAAGATTTTATATGAATGTGGAATTCATGGCTGTACTAATAGCACTCAGAAAGAAGCTTTTGTCGAACAAGAAATGTTAATTGTCCAAAGATTTCAACAGACTGTGAGAGCGGTTGAACCTCGTACCGGTATTGAAAGGTAACTTTTAAATAATTTTAATTCAAATATCAGCAACAATATATTCTAACAATTCTTCTCTAAATAGATGGAACTTCAGTGTTGGACAGCATGATTTAACACTGGTCCCTCAATCTGATGTTTATTGCCAAAATAAAGTTCAATCTCATAATTTAGATATTGAAATTAAAGTTGTTATACCTGATGGTTTGATCTGGGCTATTAATAAGAATAATCCTACAGTGAAATTATGGCAACAGAAGGTAAATTTTGAGTAGAAGAAAGTACATGCTTTTTCTATATGTTCTGTACCTACTAATTTTATGTTTCTTATCATGTTAGTTTGACTCTCCGATCGTTTCTATTTGGCGTGAAGATGCAAATACAAAAAGTGGTGAATATAACAATTTAAAAGAGATTAATTTATTTGATAGCAAACAGTGGTCATGGGGTACAGAGTTTTCAACCAGTCCAGGTATTTATTTAGGTATGCATGACAGGCAGTTATACATACAAGAAAATGGAGAATTACATAAATCATTAGAAATTTCACAAAAGCATGTGCAGCACTCAAAATACCCATGGCAACCTTATCCTGCTGTTGGTGTGTAAATTATTTATCATAAAAAGCATATGTAATTGTTACTGTTTTCTGCAAATTATGGCAAAACATGATAAATTTCAGGTCATGCAGTTAAAAAAACTCTTCCTAGTCCAACAAATGATAATAATGATGATGCTTTACTTCAAATAAGTGATGCACAAAGTACTACTGCATTGTCAGTTTTATATAATTCAGAATATGTGAACGGTATAATACAAATATTAAACATTAAAATGTTGCTAATAGTAAAAACTGAAATTGATATGAATATAAAATATTTGTTTGCAGGAAATGGATTCTATTTGTATTCTAAAGATCAGTTGCAATTAGGTAATGACAAACAATGTGGTCACCAAAATCCAATCCTACTGCTTATTGATAAAGAAGAAAAAGTGTATATATCAAATGATACTCATGGAGAAGATGATGATACGCCTGTCCAAATTATAATTGTATCATTGTGGTATTGGTGGTATGTAAAATGCATAAATAGAGTAAAAGATATTATTTTCTAATAGAAAATTTCTGTTCAACAGGAAGGAAGTTTTAGTAATTTCAATTACCACTGCAATTTTACTTAATTTTATGTTAACGCAACGTCTGTTAAATGCCACCACTCTTGCTAAAGATGCGGTACTTCCGGTAAGAAATACTTTATTATATAAATAAAAATGCTACTTTAATTTACATGAATTAAAATCATTTGTTTCGGTTGGTACAGCCTTTAATAGTTGAACGCCATATAGAAACAAATAAAAGCAATATCCAACAGAGTGATGATGGAAAGAACAGTGATGATTTCAAATCACGTTATCTCACTGATTTTGAGCCAGTCGATTGTTTAGGAAAAGGTGGTTATGGCGTCGTTTTTGAGGCAAAGAATAAAATAGACGATTGTAATTATGCTATTAAAAGAATTGCTCTACCAAACAGGTTTGTTTCATATTTTTACAGTTAAGTGGATACATTTAATAAACTTCTTTTAATAGTAAATTTTATTGTTAACAGTAAATATTCAAGAGAGCGTGTAATGCGAGAGGTGAAGGCATTAGCTAAATTAGATCACCAAAATATCGTAAGATATTTTAATGCATGGCTAGAATGTCCACCAGCTGGTTGGCAAGAAAAACATGATCCTCAATGTATGAACAAGCTAATGTCCCCGAATTCTGAATTTACTGCTGATATTACTCCTTCGATTACGAAGATTAATAATTCTGTTTGTATTAATGTTACTCAAACTGATCAATCATCAGTGGATAGTGCTTGCGAGGCATATGAAATAAATCGTATCGATTCAAACGAGGATTCTTTTATTATTTTTGAGAAGCCTCATTCAGTAGGTTCAAATGAGGATATAATTAATATTCGTAATTGTAGTAGCGGAAGTTCTAATACATCTATTTCAAACAACATAGTAGGAAAAGAATTACCCACAACTAATGATTCAGAAAGCATCGTGTTCGAGGACACTGAAAGTAAACGCTCAGAGAAAGAAAATAAAAGAAAGCGACAAGCATCGTTTTCTTTAAATTTGAACAAATCAAATTCATATAAATCTCCAAAAATGTTCCTCTATATACAGATGCAACTGTGCCAAAGGTTAAGTCTTCGAGAATGGCTTAAAATACAATCAACAAGGGATTATCGTCGGGTATTAAATATATTTCAACAAATAGTTGACGCTGTTGAGTATGTTCATTTGCAAGGACTCATTCATCGTGATTTAAAGGTAATATTCGAAATTATCCTCCATTGTTAAAAGACAAATTTTCATTTATATTTAATGGGTAATCATTTTCTAGCCCTCAAATATATTTTTTTCCTTCGATGATAAAATAAAAGTTGGAGATTTTGGTCTTGTAACTGCAATGACAGAAGATTACGACGAGGCTCATACTCCTGCAGAAAATGAAGATATTACTTTGAAAAACAGTTTACATACCGCGTATGTCGGTACACATCTTTATATGTCCCCTGAGCAGATAAATGGGCAGGGCTATAATTACAAAGTTGATATTTACTCCTTAGGGATTATTTTATTTGAACTCCTTATTCCATTTGTTACTGAAATGGAGAGAATAACCACTCTCATAAATTTAAGGAAATCGATATTTCCAAATAATTTCGGTAATGATTATCCATCCGAGGTAAGAAAATAGCAATATCGATCCGTTCTTTTTTTTTATCAAACTAAATTAATTATATATTACTTTTTTTTTGTAGCATAATTTGTTAAATATGATGTTGGATGAAAATCCTAACAAAAGACCAACAACATTCGGTATCAAGGCGAAAGCACCATTATTGAATGATGAAATAGCCAATGGATTTGGTACAAGTGAAGATACAAAATGGCATTTTGAACTGCCTCAATTAACAAGACATTCCTCTGTAATTAGTAGCAGTAGCAATGATTCTTAGGAAAACAGTTAAATAATTATACCTCTCTGATTGATTTAACCACTAGATGTATGTATGAATACAATCTATTTATTTTACTAACATTTTAAATCACGAAATTGTTTATAATATTTTTTAACTTCGACACTGTGTTAACGAGAGTATTTGCTCAATTTATTTTGCTATATAGTAGTGTTAACAATTTTTTTTTGAACACTCTATATACAAATGACTCTCAACAAAAATCGATCTATTGACTACTTTGTTTTGGATTGAACAATTGATATGTATAGTATAGAATTTTTGGTTGTATTGTTTTTAAATATAAGCTGCCATCATTGTAAATCAATATTTGTTTAAATTTTGATTTACACTGTTTTAAGTATTTGTCTATAAGGATCGTATCGTTTCACATTGCTATTATAAATTTATATTTCTTTTCAAATGCGTTATTATAATAAAAATAGTGATGTTTAATGTTACAACTCAAATTATAAATCCGCTGTTAATAGAATAAAGAAGTATAAATATTTTTATTATAATCATATAATAGGTATTTTTAAATGAATTACTAACCCGTAGTATTTCCATAGTACTAACAAATTTAATTATTTTCTATAATTTTTGATAATATTTCATTTGCAGCTTGTTCACTACCAAGTAAAGTTACTCCACTTTTGGATGAAACAAACTTTATAATAGAATTATAGTTATTGTTAGGTGTTTGTGGAAGTCTATAAAAACCATATCTAAAACATAATATATTTTATTCTAATTTTTCGCCTTTATTTCTATAGTTTATATTATGTGTTACCCGTTTTTAGCATCTTGGATTATTTCCAACAAACACCAAAGAATCGTCAGTATGAAACATACAATTGTGGTTTCATAAATAAAATTCCATTCTTTCCAGAATACAGTTTCAAATTCTGCAAACAAATGTTAATGCATTCACAAACAAAACGTAAGCTTAAATAATGATTTTCATTACCTTCACTTTTATCTATTGCAGTAATTCCGAAAGTGAAGAAAATCTGATTTGAAGTTTTATTCAATTTACTCCTATGATATGAATGACATGAATAAAAATTTTCAATTGCTTCACGAGTTGAGTAACTTACAATGCTAATTGTACTGACACGTCCATCATCTTTCAGACGAAAAAAGTCATCGCTTAAGATATAAATATCTGTTAAAAGAATATACGTAAAATGAAAGATGTCAAATATTCAGTTTACCTTTCATAAGATTGTAATAGCTTATCCATTAATAACCACACGACATATATTCGTTTAGAAGATAAGTGCCCTTTTTCATAAGGAATTTTATTATAGAAACATGATAATTTAAGTTCTTGGCCTAATAGTAATGGTATTTCTTCATAATAATCTAACAAATTATAAAATTATATTTTTAATGTATTGCATTTAATGAGCATTAAGCAGAATAATTAGTTACTACCGGATGTACTAATAGTGCGACTTGAAAAACGTTTGCTTGTTGTTCCAAAAACTGCTAACGACAGGAGATCAATTTGATTTCCATCTATATTAAGGGAGCCAAGAGTAAAACTCATTTGTGGTATCTCTACACAGCTGGGACATATTTTTTCCTGTTGTAAATGGAGCACTTATAATTTCGTACGAGTAATAAAATCTTTTGAAATTATTTACCCTCATTTCATCGCGTATAGCTCCTAGGAACACATTGGGTACAGATGTTATAATCATTCCTTCTGACATTACAGGTACATATTTTTTTTCATTGCCATTGATTTGCATGTACAAATTTTTACCATCTTGAACAACTATTATTTCAAACCATTCTCTTATTAAGATATGTTCTGGACTTTCAGTTGCAACATGATTTACTCCATGATGAAATTTCAATTTTACTCTTCCTTCATCTAATAGTAGTAGAATACACTTGTTCAAAAAACTATCTGATATAATTGCTATGATGCCATTTATATCTTCTGTCTTTATAACAAGTGTAATCTAACTTGCAACAAAAAGATAATTAAAATTTATTATAGTTCAATTTATATGTACAAAACTGTTACTTCTTACTTGCCAAAATTCCAAACCTTTTGGAGATGGTATAGCAACTGAATCTGTTAAACCAATATAAAGAAAACCCTCATCATCATCTCCCATTAAATATTGTACATTGTTGCTACTGAATGGAGTATTTGCATGCTTTTGATCATACTTATCCTACATAGTATTCTATACTTGAATAATGTTAAAACTTGATTGGTCATATTTTTAAAAGAAAATTAATGATAGTAACTTTGGATGCATGGAATTGAACAGGTGCAAAATTAATTGCAATTTCTTGAAGTTGACCATGAAATTCTCCTACTTTCATAGCATGATCCAGATTATATGACATTGGAATACATGAAAAAGTGGCAATTTCATGACGATTATCGTTAATACGTAACATACCACGTGTTCCATAAATTGCAATTAATACTACATACCATTGTCCAATCTAAAAAATATTTATTAGTAATACATAAAATTATTAGTAATATATATTAGATTTCTCTTACCTCCAATTTATGTTCATGAACCAAACCCAAAGTACAACCAGAAATTTTAGACAAAAGTATTATTTTTCCATTGTGCAAAAACAGTTTTACAAAATCACACATTGATCCCTTACAATTGTTTTCAAATCGATAAATGATCACACCAAAAGGTGAAAGTGGTAAAAATCTTACATATAAATGAAGTAAACGCGAATGTTTCCCATTTACATTGTAAAGAAGACTGCTTTTCTCTGTGAAATACGCTACTTCATGTGATCTAACTTTGAAATAAAGACTGATTAAGATGATTTCTTTACATCAATAGTAATGATATTAATTTTCAGATATACCTGAACATGGCTTAGAAAAACATTGACGAACTTCAGAAGCAGAACCAGAACAAGATGTTCCATTACCACTTGGAGAAGGATTATTGCACATTCGATTTCTTAATTGTGTACCTATTCCACAGCTTGAGGTGCAAGCTGTCCATACTGTCCATGATGACCAGATTCCATTTACTGATGAGAACATTATACATAACTTCAATGAAGAAATGAATTTTATCTCGTGTAAAATAATTTTCTTACTGGAACACTTATTGATTGAACAACCCTTTATTTCTTCAGTTGAACCTTTACACGAACTTCCTTGTATATTTTGTATCTCTGAACATGAACGTTTTCTTACTTGAATACCATTACCACATTCTACACTGCATGCACTCCATCCACTCCAATTAATCCAAGTTCCTGCTGTAAATAAATAATGCTTGATTTGCTTCATGTTTAATGTACATAGAATTTAATTAATATACCTGGATGTGTTTGGCAATTAAGTCCCATGCAACTTTTCACTTCAAATGCTGAATTATTACACATTAGTTCAGAATTTGAAGGTACTGGGCTATTACAATTTCGTGTACGATATTTCTGACCCCTGCCACAAATTGCAGTACATGGTGACCAAGCTTCCCAAGTACTCCAACCTCCAGGCCCTATGAAAGATGTTTCTTACATATATTTGTAAAAAATTTATGATTTTATTTATATTGTGTTTTTACTTGGACATCCAACATTGTATTTGACACAATTCATAGCATTCCAATAAAGCATCTTTGTAAAAGATACATAAAAATGTATTTAAAAATCCTTTTCTGAAGAATTATAAATTTTGTGATATATTAAAGAATCCTACCGCGCTGCTTCCAAGAATTTTTTCTACAATGAAGAATGTACAATCAACAAAGAAACACAGTTCAATCAAAGCAGGTAATCTTTTGTGAACGTTTTTCACAATTTCCATTTCTTTCTTACGTATAGGATGATTGCTTACAACTTCTTCATAATCATTCATTCTGCAACCTGCATAGAAAACATGCCCATCTAAATTATTTACAAAATCATGTCATATTATTTTACCTGTATCTGTTTATACCAATAATTTGACAATTTTCAGTTTGATAACTAGGACCAATACATGGAGCTCCATCATTTGAAGGTAAAGGATTATTGCAAATGCGGTGTCTGGTTCTTTTGCCTTTAAATCCACATTTTCCAGTGCAAAGGCCCCAAGAACTCCAAGAAGTCCAACCACCATCAATAGGACACAAATTATCATTTTTTAATCCAAGATCACAGTCAAGATCTTGCATTGTATTAGATATTTCACCTACAATACAAAAATTAGAATTGTGTCAAGTTATAAATAATTTTCATAAATTGTCTTACCAATAAGAAGATAAAGGAGCAATATCAAAGAACATTTTATTTTGACACTGATATTTTGTACATGCATTATAAGAGCATGAAGCGTTTCAGTTGAAATTCAAAATATTTATTTTAAATATGAACTGACCAATAGGATTTACTATTTCCGCGCATGAGTAACGGATTTGTGACAGGTTAACTGAAAACTTGCCTGTATGGCGCGAGCGGCACAAACCTCGTGAACCTAATGGTGTTATTAATAATATAGAAATAGTTAAATAAAAGTTACAGTAAGTGATTTTCAACCGAGTTACGCGAATTCTAATTTCTATGGTGCAATTATTATTTCAAAAAAAATGATGTTACTATGTTATTTTGTGTATTATTTAAGCTTTCAATAGATAAACAAATCTAACCTTTCATTGTACTACCTCACTGAAACTGAAAAGTTAAAAGATCATCAATTAATTGTTATAGATTAAAATGAGGAAATTAACAGTAATTGTATGACAATTTATAGAGGATACCTAGATAGAACTTTCATATTTTAGGATTTAAAATTAGATATTACAGCCACTATATGTATATTTATTTGTTAAATCTGTGTAAATTATCAGTGGTTTAAATTTAAGCTTTTATTTTTTCTCTTGCAGGACAAAAATGACTCTCACAGAAATGGAACCGCTTAAAATACATTTGGATGCCTTAGAAATGGCAGGAAAAGTAGTTGATACACATATTACTGCAGATAGCAACTTTCCCTCTTTAATTAATCTCATGCGATATAATGTGCAAGGTAAATAACTGCTTTTTATTTCTTATTTGATATTTCATTGCAATTAGAGTTTTTAAACATAAAAATATGATTTTTTAGGTGGACCAACAGTTAGTGGTCTTGATGATCATGACTATCCTAGTTCAAATGGGATGTCAGTATGTTTGTCAAACATAAACCAAATGAAATTTCACAGCAAAATTTCTTTACCATCTGAAATAATGGAACATTTTCGTCGTATCCTTTTAAATATTAATTTTTATGTTTTATTTCACATTATATAGAAGACAATTCCTTATCATTTATTTAGATATGCAATGCCATTGTATGATGGGTCTTTTCACAGAAATTTCAAAAGCATGGCTTACAATTGATAGCGATATATATGTTTGGTCATATGAAAATGAGTAACTATTTATTCAAATTCTTGTAAAATATTTATATGGAATGCCAAGTAGTATTTGTAATGAAAATATATTTTTAGATCTGATGTTGCATATTTTGATGGATTAAATGAAACTATTATAAGTGTAGGTTTAGTAAAACCCAAACCTGGGGTATTCCAATCTTATGTAAAATACTTATTAATTCTTACAACTACAGTGGAAATAACCATCCTTGGTGTTACACTAACAGAAAATAATGAAGGTATTGTAATTTTAATGTTGTTTTCGAGTCGAATTTTTCTAAACACTTTATTTTTATCATTTTTAACTTAGGTACTCCACCAGAGATGCAACTAGTTCCAGAACCAATTTTTACAGTTACCACAGATGGTATTGGTATTACAACAATAGCAAATACCAGTAGTGGAAGAATTTTTCTAGGGGGTAGAAATGGTTCTCTTTATGAAATATACTATCAGGTAAAATTAACTAGATACATATAAGTTTGATAAAATGATAATTAATTATTATGTTATGTCTTTGTTGTATAGGCAGAAAGTAGTTGGTTTGGAAAACGTTGTAAAAAGATAAATCATTCAGAAGGTCCGTTATCGTTTTTAGTTCCATCATTTGTCACTATTGCTTTGTCAGAAGAGGAAGCAATAATACAAATTTCGGTCGATGATACCCGTTACATTTTATACACTCTTGGTGATAAGGGAACAATCACAGTTTGGGATATTGATAATGATGGTGCATCCAAAGTTGCATCCTTATCACAAGCTTCTTTGGTACAAAATGCTGTTCATGTTGTTAAGTATGTTTATACATATAAGTATGAAATTAAAGTAACATAATATTAATGATAAATTAAAAGTTTCATTAATTCTTTCAGAACTCTGGATAGTAATAATTTCCGACCATTGGTGAGCATATCTGCTATTACAGAATCAGAATCAGTACATTTAAACTTAGTTGTAGTTGCAGCTACTGGAACACGTTTCTACTTCAGTTGTACTTCAGTTGTTAATCCGACTACTAGACCTCAAGGTCTCCAATTAATACATGTTAGACTACCACCAGGTTATGCCGCTAATGCTACAGTAATGAGGCCAAGAAAAGTACAAATGGCACATTATAGAAAAGGTGTTACAAACGTTATAGACTATTTTATTAAGTAGTAAATAATAAATTTTTGTATAACGGAGAATATTTCTTATAGGAACTTTAATTCTTGTTTGTGGCGGAGATACAGAGACAGCTTTATGTTTAAGTAATGATGCTTATCCGTTTACGAATTACTTAGCTGAAACTCAGTGTCCTTTATCACTCGATAGCCCAGTATGGGCAATGGCAGAAATTCTTGTAGAGCCAGCTATACGTATTGAAAAACAAAGCACTTCTCAAGGAGAGCCACCTCTTATTGTAAGACAACATATGGAGGCACCACGGAAGTTTATATTTTTAACATCTCAGGTACAGATATGAGTAAAGGTTTTTACATTTGTTAAACGTACTCATCCATTAATCGTTTATAGGGCGCCATAATTTATGTACAAGTTCGTCCGATGGATATCTTGAAAGAGCTTCTTTTAAAACAGCGCGGACCCGATACCGAAGCGGTTCGGGCATATTTTCAATTACAATCGTTGGAACAAGCATGTGCAACATGCCTTATTTTAGCTACGCTTGAAAGCTCTCAAAATGCGGAGGTATTGATCAAGATTATACAAAAGTTTATCCGATAAAGAAACTAATATTTTATTATGGTGTACAGTTGGCAGAGTGGGCAACAAGAGCATTCTTTTTATATGGCAGTCAACTATCAACAAGCATGGGACCCGCAATTGATTTACATAATATGAACACAGGTATCATTGCACCATTGATTTAAATCTTATGTTTCCTTTCTTTACAAGTATATGTATGGTACCCTCGAATTTAGGTGATATTCGCACGTCGACACCAAGAGTTCCAAACTATGATTTAAGACATCAAGGATTCCGACCTCACGCACCACTCGGATTTAATACAGAAATTCCTTTACAACAGTTCTCAGCAAAGCACAATGGCTTGTATTTGTACGTGGGAAGAATACTTCGGCCCATATGGAACATGCGATGCATTAAGCAAGAAATTATAAATAATAAAACTCAGGTAAACTAAATTATTAATGATTTTCAATGATACTATTATATTTGTAAAAATTGTATAATTACAGATTTCTAGTACAATTACAACAAGGCAAGTTAGTTGGATTTTAGGTCTTCTTCAGGCATTAAGATCATTTCTTAATAAGAATACCCATATTACTAAACAGTATGTATTTTTGTTATATCAAATTAATTACATATCGCAAATCATTACGTTTTTATTGCTGTTTTTTTACAATTTTTAGGCATAGCACAACTAGAAACATTCCTGATGGATTTGAAACAACTATAGCTAGTCATTATCAAGAACCAATAGTTGAAGAAAGAAATTCCTTAGCGGCATTAAAAATTTTTATTACCCATGCCTGCGAAGTTCTAGAACTTTGGAAAATTTTGTGTGAAAATAATTTGAATAACATTGTAAACTGTTTGTCGAAGGTTAATGAAATGTGTACTATAAGTTTGTTTATAATGAATCAAAAAATTTGTAGCTAATATGTAAACATTTTTATTTGTAGGATCAAATTAATCAATTTTCTACAGCTACGTTCCGAGATTTGATCTTAATTGGTCATGAAATTTCGTCGTTACTGATCATTCATCTCATAGATAGGTGAGTTATCTAGAGTAATAGGATAAATACATTGATGGATATTTTTACTTATTTTTAATATTATTTTATAGTTATCTTGGAGATAATGCTTCCGTTGATATCGTTAGTCAAAGGTTAAGAGAAGTTTGCCCAAATTTATATAGAAGCGAAGACGCTGTTTGTTCTAAGGTATAAAATTAGAAATTATTAAACTACTCTAGGAAAATACAATTTAATTTTAATATCATTGTAAACTTCAGGCTAATGAAATTATCTTAAAAGCAAAAAGTTGTACAAACCCAGAGGAAAAGGAATGTTATTTACAGTCTGCTTTGAAGGTAATTACACAATTCTGATTTAATATTTTTACGTTATACTTTTTATTCGTCATATTTACAGCTTTGCAAAGAAGTTGCCCCCAGATTGAACTTAAGCGCAGTTTGCCAACAATTTGTTGCTTGTCAGTTTTATTCGGGTGTATTGGAATTATGTCTGTGTTGTGCAGAAAGAATGGATCCCAACAATGCCGCGTTACATTATTATAAAAATAACGAACCAATTGAAGATCAAGAAGGACGATTTGCTTACATAAAAAGGTCTTGATTGCATATTTTAAATAATACTTTTTTATATTGCTGATTTATTTACATAATCTTCTCTTTATGCAGATTCGAAATTTATAAAGAATTCATTGCACTATTGGATCATCTTTATAATCAAAGTATTTCAAATCCGTTAACTCCAACTATACCTAGCAGACCTGGACCTCCTACACAAAATTCTTTAACTGCACCTGTTACTCCAGCAAAAGAAACGGTAAGTTGGTTCTGTTGGGTTTTTTTCAAAAATTGTATTTTTTTTAATAATTCTGTATTTTAGTTACTCCAAATGATAAATGATGCATTACATTCCCCTTGTGAGATTCTTCACGCTTCGGTATACGAGTGGATGATTAAAAGAGGGCTTCACGGAGAACTTGTTGCTTTTGCAGCACCTTCTTTAGAAGCGTACCTTACACGTTTCAATGCGCCAGATTTACTTTGGCAATTTTATGAGAAAAATAAAAATCATGCCGCCGCTGCCAAGATCTTGGATTCTTTGGCTACTAAAGAGTAAGTATCGAAGACGTACAGAAATGTGAAACGTCTTATTCAATATCATATTTTACTCCTTCGTACAGATCAAATATACCATTGTCTCAGAGGGTTGAATACTTAGCTCGGGCAGTAGTTTGTATGCGAAGCGATCAAGCCGGTTACGCTCCATATCTTGGTATTTTTCTACGTGAATTGGAAGATAAAGTTGAAGTAGCTAGAATACAACAACAGGTATATATTCACAGACATGTTGTGAGAGAAATGACAATTTAAATAATACTTATTATATTATAGATATTAGATACAATTAATAATCAGGGCCTGAGTGATAGACTTAGCGAAGAAGCGCATAGAGCGTTAAAGTTTTCATTACTCGATATAACAAAGGTATTTGAAAAATCCTTACTTTTATTTATCACTTGTATCGTGCTCGTTTCATTAACTTGAGATAATAATTATAGTTGTACGAAAAATATGCGGATCCTCTTCAATTATGGGAATGCAAATTAGCTATAATTCATTGTTCCGGTCATCAAGATGCAATGTTAATCCAAGAAATTTGGACTAATATTATAAATAATGGTATTGTATTTTATGCTTTATTTCTTCGAATAATTATATTTATCAAAAGGGTATTGCGATTAATTATTTTTTCACAGAATTAAAAGCATGTTCCGCGTCTAGCCCAGAAGACAAAATGGCTATTTTAATGAGTAAAATTATATCCCTTGGACAAGAATATTCTGCATCACCACATTGTTTCCCAGTTGGTAATAATAAAATCCTAACATGATTATAATGGAACAATGAACATCAATGAAAATACAATATAATCATGAATATTTCTTTTTAGACTTTTTAATAAAACAGCTAGAAATAAAAGCATGTAATTTGAATGTATTAAATACTGGAATTATATCTGGATTTCTGCAGTTAGGAGTTTCAATGGAGGATCTTTTAGATATTTATAAGTATGTATATTGGAACACAAGTTTGTATAGTTTCTTTTGATGAATAGAAAAAGTGATTTACGTGCAACGTTTGTTTCCAGAATGATTGGTAAAGATACTCGAACTTGGTTGAACGAAGGCAATGAATTTCATCTTATAGAATCGACGGCGAATTTGGTTAATTATTTTATATCTCATTCTAACATTACCAATAATTTAATCAGGTAAGTTTTATAACTGAATCAAGATCTTGTTTACATTAGTATTAAATAATCCATTTGATTACAGACGAAAAATAATAACAAAATGTCAAGATGTGATTTCAAAGTGTTTAACCACTCTATATAGCAAACCTCATGGACAAGAACTAATAACAAAACTTAGGTCAATTCAAAGCGTTCTAAATCGTATGTAAAAAAAAAAGTGTTTTTATAAAGAAATAACATTTTATAAAATTGTATAAATCATTGCAACAAATCATTTGGTAAAAATATATTGTTAAGTAATATAAAATGTAAATAATGAACAGGTCACAGTTGCTCAAATACTTTCTATGAATTTGAAAACAGTAATTTTCATATTGCAAATTGAAATCTTTTAAATTAATAAAAATAAATCATTTCAGAAAATATGTAACTAAAATTTTAGATATAGTTCCAACATTTATATCAATTGTGTTGCTATTAAGAAGGATCATTCCTTAAATTATTTTCAACTGATAGACTTTGTAATTACCTTAGTTGATAACAAAAAACAAAGTAAAATAATGAACAAATCTATTTGAAAATTACAGCCAAAAATAACAAAAAACATTGCAAAATAAAAACTATATAGATCATTTTTAATTTTATTATTTGTAACTAAATGTTATAAAAATTAGTCATTCTTCTGTACGTTGTCTTATTTGCTATCGTTGTTTATGAATTATTGTCAAAATTTTTAAATAGAATAAGAATATTAAAATAGGAAAGGGAAAAGGTGAACCGTATGTGTTCCCATGTTGTTCCAACATAGAACAATGTGGTGGCTCTGAAAAGAGCCGTATTTTATATAACGATCGGTCCTTGCCGATCGATCACCTGCCTCATCGGATTAAGGATGAAGCTACGTAAGGTGGCGAAACATTTGCTTATGACGAAGCTTTTCCAAACATTCTTCGTGCATGTTCAACCAGAGCTGTTTTCATCTTCTTTATCTATCCGCTCGACAACACTTGACGTTGGAAGTAACGGATCAATGTCCATTCCTTGGACTAGTGCGGCGTCCTTTTGCCCCACTGTTGTTTTTCTCGAAATCTTCTTAGTTCTTCGATGATCTTCCAATGCAGTTTCGCCACCTTCTTGCCACATCCTAACCCAATGCCGTACGGTTTTCTCACTGCAAGGAATACGATAGCTAATCTCTTCTACGCTGAGTCCTGCATCCCAAAATGCAGTTATTCGCGCTCGTTTGATCACGCTAATATTAGGAGCCATTGTGCTTGATACGTCTCAAAAATATAAGTTCAGAAATGTTATCTCCGTGCACCAAACTCCCAAGTTGAAGCACGCTTAGTAAATCAGACAAGGAAGAAAGTCCCTACCGTGCGATTAAAAAAACAGAAGCCAAACGACTAGTGGGGAAATTCCATCCACTACGCTTCCCCTTAATTGCAGGAAGCCTTGATTAGATGCATGTATATAGAAAACATTTGGTTATGTAATCATTTCTGACAATAAGTTACGATCAATTGAACGGCACATGAGGAGAAGAAATCTCCCACTTCATTTCTTATCTGCTTCTTCTGGTAAATTTGAATGATGCTTGTCAGCCATTGGGTAAATGTAGTTTGTGAAAGAGTATATGATCTGTGTTTACGTTTCAGAATATATGCATAAGCGCAAAAAACATCTAGTCGTGAAAGGGGTTGAAAAACAAAGGGAAAGACGAAGTCTCGTTCGCTAGATTAAATTGCAAAGCTTTTGTGCATCCTGCTGCAATTATGAAGTTTATACTTAAATAGCTATTGAAATTACTATTTTCACCTATTAATTCTTGGTAGAGCCTTTATTCTCGTATGGCAGAATTATAAAATAATTGTAAAATAACTTTCAGTGTATAACATTTAGTAGAAGATGAGAGTATGTTAAAGTAAATATAATATTGATCTTTAAAGGTGGATATTTCATAATATATACAACAAATTTTAAATATTAACGAACCTTAAATTAAATGGATATTGTGGTTCTAATGAAAATTGTATGACACATAATATCACAGAACTTGTTAAATAAGAAAAATCGTAATTATTTTACAATTGTATGAAAGATTGTAAATTTTATAAAGCCACTTGTTGTAACTGCAATTGGTGGCAGCACTTGTTCGTAAAAGTGACTGAAAACATCCAAATCCGGCTTGAATTTGCATGTGTTGGTATGTATGAAGGATCGTTTTGCTGAACGAATGATTTATGAAAAATGATTTTATACGTAATATGAAACGAAGAAAATTAGTCAATTCTTGATCATGCAGCATTTATAATGATATAGTTAATCTCTTAGTGGTAAGATTATGATTATTTACTGGAAATATAATTTATTCCTTATGTACATAACCTATTTTCCTTGTCAATATGTAATACATTAAGTTCTGAAGATGGAACAATTGTATTTAACAGAGAATTGCAGACCGCTTTTGTATCCATTTAAAAGACAAGAGTTTATATGTTTACATTGTAATACATGTTTGTTTAATATTTCATACTTGATACATTGAAACTGATAGTGTCCTTAAAATGTTATTGTATTGGTAATATATCAATAACAGTTTTAAAACATTAAACCAATGTCTCTGTAGAATGATATTCAAATAATTTCACATGTTATTGGAATTGTATACAGTATGAATAATAATTCTTTTATTATTGTTTTATTAATAGTATTTTTTTTCTATTGTAGATTACAGCCTAACGTGAATAGAGTCTTCTTAATAAGACGGCATGTTTGTAAGAGACTGGTTGCGAATTCTCACGGGGGATGAATGAGGAAGAATTATTGAAACGGTCTGCTGCAGAGCGAGATAGAATATTTAGCTGCTATGACCGTGGTAGGGAAAATGGAGCAGAAATTGATCCTTGGGAAGATCCTAGCTTCGAAGTTTATCATGCTACCGATAGATATGGATTTATACAGTAATTATTTAAATAATGTTACTATATTATTAGTACTTTCTGTCATGTAAATATTTATATTTTAGCGATAAACGTCTGCCGCAAAAGCTGGACCCAAATGAAATCAAAACTCATAGAGTGGAAATGGAAAGATTAAAAAAATGGGAAAAAATGACTAAACAGTGGGATAGTTCCTCGACTAAAGAAAAATTACGACGCCGAGTATATAAAGGTATTCCGGATAGATTTCGTGGCCAAGTTTGGGCATTGTTGCTAGGTATTAAAAATTTGAAAAAGGAACAAGCAGGTAAATATGAAGAAATGCTACAACTTGCCCGTCAGTGGTCCACTGAAATAAGACAAATTGATGCTGATGTGGCTAGACAATATAGAGATCATATCAATTATAGGTATGTAAATTACAATTACATATAACTAACGTTTAAATGTTTATGCATTTTTCTACATAATTCAAGTAAATTTCTGTTAATAGAGAAAGATATAGCATAAAACAACGATCTATGTTTTACGTCTTGGCTGCCTATAGTATGTACAATATGGAAGTGGGTTATTGTCAAGGAATGTCTGTACTAGCTGGTCTACTATTATTATACATGGATGAAGAAGATGCATTTTGGGGTCTTTCCGTATTACTTGCCGATAAGAAGTACACTATGCATGGTCTGAACCAGTCTAATAATTACATTATTATAAAGATTTTATACCGGTATTAAATAAACAAATATATTTTTGTAGGATTTTACGTCGATGGGTTTCCAAAACTAAATCGTTTCATAGAGCACCATGATAAAATTATGAATAAATTTTTGCCAAAATTAAAACGAAAACTTGACAAATGCGGTTGCGATTCTATTCTTTATGCGTTAAAATGGTTTTTTGTTGTATTTCAAGAGAGGGTAAGTAAATGCTTACGTTATTGTGAGACAGAAATTAACATGTACATTTATATATGATTATTTATTTATGATAGACACCAGTTAGTCTTGGTCTTCGGATTTGGGATATATTCTTACTAGATGGAGATCGCATTCTACCAGCTATGGCATATACAGTTATGAAAATGCATAAGCGTTTTCTTATGCCAATGGAAAGTTTAGATGAATTTTGTAATTATTTACAAATTAAGTTAGAAAAGGATTTTTGTTTCGACGATGACACAGTAATAAACGCTATGGAACGTAGTATGGATGAACTAAAACGTGCTAAGTTAGATTATCCAGGCCCTCCCTTGCCACACGAGTTACCACGATTTCCATTCGGTACATTTAAGGAACCTACGTTTGCAAGCAAGGTAATATATGCCCGTTCGTATAATTTTATACTAAATACATGACTTAACTTTGTGTATTTAGGTTGGAAGACGTGCTGAAGAATTTAGCGAGGCGCAGCATGTGATGCGTGAGTCCATAACACAGCGCAGAGACACGGTAGTCCCTGATGATGATAGGGAAAGTACAACACCAGTTGAACAAACCAGTTGTGGTCTTGGCGGTGAGTTACGATTTAGTGATAGTATAGTATATGGTAACACAGATACTTGTCTTCTACATTTTACACAAGACAATATTATTAAAGATGAAAAGGAAAATCAAGATAGAGATTCAGATATTGATATGATGGTTATATACAATACTAGATTGTAAGATACTTTTTCAAAGATAAGGTTCTGATGTTAAATACAATATTGCTCAGTCACACATACAGAACATAGAAAAAAGAAAGAAAAATACCATGTAAGCTATTACATAATTACATTGTATTAAAAACTTTCATTTATAATATTTTTTAATACAGTGAAGTAAAAATAAAAAGCAACAGACTGTGATACTCTGTGAGATATTATCACAGTGTATTTAAGAAAATTTTGATATTAATTAGTATTAATAGCCACAACAATATTATTTTTATATACAATTTTAACTTGGATGTATTACACTTACTATGCGAAGTTATTCTGTTCGGAATACGTTTGTTTTAATATCTTGTTGTAGTATAATAAAAGTTACGTATATGTGCAGGAAGCAAATTCTCATTTGATCCAAGTCTTGACGATGGGGCCTCTTCCAATGGCTCACGCCGGTCATTGGCAGATACATCAGTTACCTCGACAGCTTGTCTTTCTGTATTTAGTTCGGCGACACGGTCTCAAGCGTTAGATAATAGTCTTGATACTCAAAGTAACATTTCTAACGATAGCTCTGGCAGTGGTGGGTTACCCACACCGAGGGCAACACCGCATCAACCAAGTCCAGACGTTGTACGAATTTATGTACCATACACTTCACCTATATCTGGTTCGTATAAAGATGATCTTCCGCGTACACTCCCACGATCATTAGAAACAAATAGAATACGCATACGAGTTGATCCTGATCAAACACCGATAGTGGAAAATCTGAAGCCATTTTCATTAGAAAATCCGGAGGTCGAATTAGATTTGAAGTAATTAATATGATTGTTCCAACGCGATAGTTGTATGCAAAGAAAATGATTCATGACATTACGATTAGTATTAAAAGTAGATTTAGGTAAACAAAATTCTATCTTTTGTTTTATCTATATCTACATTGTAACATACGTAGAGAAGTGATAAGAAACAAAACGGTAATCGGTGATCAGTGATAAGCATTAAAAAAAGACGTACGTACAATTATTTTTTTTTTTTTTTTTTTTCTATGTAAGTAATCACAGTCAACATAATGTGTCGTGACATTTCGTTTTCAAATGTAAACCAGTATATGTTATGCGCACTAGTCACGAATAATTGTAGTGATTCGTATTGAACAAAAATCATGAAGTGTTTGCTATGGCCTAATTTACCTTGGTAATACAATATTTAAAACAGACAATATAGAATGATAATTTTTGGTCTATTATTGTTAGTCGATCAATCAACGATGTTTTCAACAATAAAATTGATATATGGTATCAAATAATTTAAAAAATCTGAAACACTGCATAATACTTGTCATACATCAAGTTATATTTCAAGCGATAAGATGATGGAACTTTATGCAGAAGGAAAAAAACGAATTATACGCTAAAGCTATTCTAGTATTTAGTAGTTATTCAAACTAATATATATATATATATTAATACGTGTATAAGAAGTTACAACAGCATTATACATAGGAATGTAAACGATAAGAATAATGTATACATAATTTCTGTAAAGTATATGTTTTTAAAATCTCTTCTTCTGATAAACAGGATATACAAAATATTTTGGAATATAGTAAAAGATTGGCCATTATACATAAATATAGAAATATGAGTCAATTTTTCATAGTGAATATAATACTAAAAATATTATTTTCGTTACTGTAGGCAAATAGAATTCATCATTATATTTCCAGTATTGTGTATATTTCTCCGAAGATTGTTATTGTATACATTATAGAGGAGTATACATAAAGTTCCATACTCTAAGAGTATTTAATGATCAAACAATTTTACGTTATTTTTTATAATATTAAAGAATAGAAGAAACTTATCTTTATGGAGAATTTATACTTTTTATAATTACAGACAGATAAATATCAAAGTATATTATTTTTGAAATTAATTTCATGTGAAATTTTAAGCGCAACATATTCAAGACTATCGTTTAATTATAAAATCTTGCTCTAGCAATTTACATTTTATATGATAATACATCTAAAATATACCTAATTATTAGATTGATTACTCTACAAAATTCGAAGCAGTTTAGATGATTTATTAGTAACTTGTTTTCGAAACAAAACTCAGTTGGTTATATGATTTAATATGATTTCAATAACAATGATAAAAATGAAAATTTTTAGTTGGTAAACTATTATAAGATGATAATCATATCCTCTAAAAAAGTTACATTCTATTAATGTATTAAGTGCTATACTGCCACTTGTAATGTTAGTACTTTATTTATTTAAGTTTCACTTTTTTTTTATAACAGTTAATAACAAATATACTATTGTATATACATAGTATTTAAAGAGAGATGGAATCTTTCATTACATGGTATTTGAAAGAAATTCTTAGATGTGAAACTTGCAAGATATTTGTCAGAACCTTTGCCAAGGAATGTGAATATTGAACAGTACTTTAATATGCTGCATATTTATTGTTTAAATGTACAAAGACATATTTTAGATCGATCTAACTGTAATGAAAATGTGCTTCATTATTAATCGGTTCTGTTGAACATTCCTGGACATACAGTATTCCTTAATGTATATAGAATATGAAACTTATAACTATTATGGTGATAATATAAACCTGACAGCAATCACTTGTTATAATCTAATAGTATAAGGTAATATTTGTTAAATAAATATTAAATGTTAATAGTTTGAACCTTTATTGCATTGTAAAGAAGACTAACCAAACAGTGTACAGTTCTATGATAATCTTATCCTATGGTTGCATAACATTAAATTTTTCCAGAAATTCAAATGGAATAGAATCGATAAAATTATGCACAAAGTATTGATAAACACGGAATTGTATAGATGTGAAAAAAAATGAAGGTAAATTAAATGAGTTACCTTTGATAACTACATTCCTTTGATTAAAATTATTACATAGTTATTTGTCAATTTGTAGAGGTATTTATATTACAATTACCATTTCAATTGTTTACATAAATATTTTTACACGTTGAGGCTAAAAATAAGCAATGAATGATATTCACTGTTCTAAAAATCATTATTACAAATAATGGTACTTCCTTGTATTTGGTATTTATAATGTAAAAATATTCCATAAATTTAAATATTGCCTCTTGATAAAAGTTTTAATACTGTACTAGTTTATTTTAAGTTCTTATGAATCAATGAGTGTATTTCAAAATATTTTAGAAAGAAATTATTTTAATATACAAACAAATTTGTATAATGTAAACAATAAAGTAATGATTTTGAGATCAGAAGTAATGCCTAAGAGAAAGAAATGAGACCTTAGGAAGTTAAAAATATTTAAAATACTCAAGATATTATCAATTATAGTATGTAAGTTGTACTGCAATTAATAATACACGTTTCTTACATTTTGTATGTAGTATTTTGTTTCAGATTAGAATATAATTTTATGGTACCGTTAAAAGAAAAATTACAATCTGTTAAGTTAAAAATAAAGCAGCATTAAATTACATTTAAATACTTTCAGTACAAGATTTTGTTACTTAAATTACTCTTAAATTATGTGTTATAAACAAAGCATTGATTGTTTTGTTCATTATTCACATTCGTATATCGTACTATATACATAGTATATAGATTGAAAATTAGATGTAATACTGATGAGATATGTGTAATAATTAAAACTGTAGTTCCAGTTGATATTTTTTTTACAGAAGAATTAAAAAATTCGCCACATAGTATAGGCTTCTCTGTATTATTCATAGAATACTTAGACAGATACAATGTAACTAATAACGCAATACACGTGTAATTTCTTCATGCCTGGTAAATCATGTTGTAAATTGATTGAAACTATTCAAATAATAAATAATAAAGATCATAAATCAAATACTTGGTTATTTTCAGAAATTTTACTATACCATTTACTATTTGATTTGCAAATTGTACTTGTGAAAGTAATGGAAATTTGTCACTAATTTATATATTTTGTACATTTAACATTACAGTTCGGTAAATTTTGAACAGTTTTTATTTAACTCAATATGGATGTTAATTTTCATATAAGAAAAGTGTTAAAGGTAATTACTTGTTCTATTTAGTACTTTTGAAAAACATTATTTTATTTAAACAACAATTTAAATGCAATTATTGGATACAGAAGCGAATGTGGATTACGGAAATGATAAATCATATTTATTAATACTTATATTCACTGAATGCTTGTGCGTCAATCAGTTTAAAATGTAAACGATATTTTTCGGTGGTACAGAATACCTAAGAAAAAAGTCGTTTATCAGTTCTTAGTATAATCGCGACTTCGATCAATTTAGTGAAGTATTTGAATGCAAAGAATGTACTATGGTAGTAACTTTACCAAAAATAAAATATATATGTATAGCACAGGAGTGATTTTACTGTTAGTCTTTCAAATACAAGTTAATGTAATGTTATTACTATGTTGTACTTTGTAACTGGAAATTATATTTATTAATAGGTATTGGCTTTCCATTAATTATCACTTGTGGTCCTGTATAATAACGCCATATAAGACTGTTTCCTCTTTTCAGCTGATTGGTAGCTGAAAGATGAGACCAGCAATCCAACCAGCTATTATAAACTGGCATTTGAGGAGGAAGACCCGCAATTAACCTTAATTAACGAAATTAGATATATTAACATCCACTTTTGTTAAAACAGATAGAGTACATATCAATTGTATTTAAAAATTAGCTTACCCGCAATTATTAACTGCCATACAGTGTGATACCACTAAAAAGGGATAGGTAATTGTTGTTGCTACAAACTGCAAAATTATTTTTCATTAATTCCCATGTTTTTCTTACATTATATACATATTGTAATTTAATCATTTACTTACTCTCATAGTGGAAACTACGAATGGTTTTAATGCACGATCGCTTATAACATATTTATCGATAAGATAAGTAGAAGAACTGACTAGTACCAATGCTGCAGCATTTCCAATGAGACGGGGCACTAACCCTGCATAATATCCCATAACCCCATTTTCTTTGTACACTTCCACAAATGATCTAAATAATCCGCTATTAATGGATAAAAGAAGTAAAATGGCTATAGAAATAATGCATTTATAATTAGCATCAGAATGTATAAGACTGGTGTTATTTAATTAACTATAATACTTGTATTTTCTTTCTCCACCAACAAACTGTGCCATCATCCTCAATGCTATAACGTCCAGCGGATGACTAAGTATAATTCCAATTGTTCTACTAATTAGATCTCGTATGAATTGATATATGCAATTCTTACGTTCGATTCTATAAAAAAGTAAAAAGGTTTAGATTTGTTGTTGTTTGTAAAACTTTGCAACATTCAATTTTATGATATACACATATACATATATTTACTCTTCTCTTTGACATTCATCGTAACTCTCTGTATTACGTTCGTCGCTAAATTTCATTATTTTCGAGGTTTTCTCGAAAGCTACAGCACTTACAGTATAGGCACATAATTTTGGTATTAGGCCACAATAACAGCCTGTAAAGCCATCCACACTTTTTATGTACCTAACTGTAAAATAATAAAATAATATATTGTAGGAATCAGAGAATAAGGGAATATGATATTTATAAAGAAACAATAAGGATACATTATTATCAAAAATCCGCTTACCGTATTGAAAAACATTAGGTAAAGCCAAAGCCGGTTGTCCTAATAAAGTAGTTGTCGGCCGTGGTGGAATCGGTTCATATCCAATCTATTGTGTCATAAATAATAGTTAGAATATTCTGATGATTCTTTATTTTTCATATAATTTCATCTGTTACCTGTATTAAAACTTTAGCATATTCAATTGGATGTGAAACAGTGTTCGTTAACATGCGAAGAGCGATATCGGGCCACAACGGTTCATCTTCCGGAGGTATCATATTTGATTAGAATTTACCCTGTTTAAGTATCAGTTTCTGTGCAGTATTATTTATTTAATGATTTTGAACAATAGTTATAGTTAATCCTCAGTTAATACATTGAACTAGTATCCACAGTCCTCCCATTAAGCAAACGCATGCTCGCCACTGTCTTTCGCATTTGGAAACTAGTAGGTAATGTCACCAATGTATTTCAGGATAGTAAATTAAAAGAAATAAATAATGCATTTAGAATTTTGCTAGATACGAAACTCAATCATGTTTATCAAAAAACAAGTGAATGTAAATGGATAGATATGATGAAAGACAGTGGTTTATGCAACTTTTTTCATTTTATATATGAAATTCCATTAAAATATTGAGTTTGAATTTTACAGACAAAAAGAAATCTTTCAAACAATTACAAAAGTTCTATATTTTCTTTCAGGAACATCGATATGAATGTCTGTTTCCATGCGATATTATATACCCAGCAATAATAAATACTTTTTGAATGAAACCTTACAGTAGAGGAGGAATTATAAACAGGAATATATTTGAATTATATAATACTTATGTAAGCGTAAACCTTTTTATTGTTGTTTATTTATTTAACCAATGGGAATATTGTTATGTAAATTTTGAAAATTTGACTTTATGTTGTTTCTAGCGCTCTCTGTTGAACGAACCTGGAAAATCATTTTTCTAGATTGTTTTCGTCACGAGTTTCTAGTGAGGTAAAAAGGCAAACGTGAGGGATATCGTGCTGAGCTCATCTTACTATTTATGATTCATCTGTTCTTGCTTTGATGGCAGAACTACGTGCGAAGTAACCGAGTAGTTAATGTGATGTTTTCTGAGGGATGTAACGAGGTGAGTTTTTTGGTTAATTGCGATGAAAACGACGATACGTTTATTTGACGTATTTCCTCATGGCAAGAGCAAATGTCGTGTTTTTAATTTCCATGTAGAATACGACCATTCGATGAATACAAGCAAAATCAGCGACAATAATTAAAAAAAAAGTTTCATCTAATTGCGTGGTTGAAAATGATGTACGCGTTTGAAATATTTCCTGAGTAATTTTTTTTAGTTGCGAGGCTGAATTTCATGCTTGAAAGAATCAAAAGAAAATAATTAATCATCGCGCAGAAAACAATTGATGAGCAAACGTTATTGTTTCGAACAAGTTTGTGTCCGCAGATAAATATTTTCTGATCAAAGAAAAGATTTTTTCTGCGTTTCTTATTAGTTTTCCGAATCAGTAAAATTCTTTGTTTCGATTTTATTTAGAGAATATTTCCTTGTTCAACGTAATTATAGAATACTTTTTACGATAACGCAATATACGATCCTATACGTATATATCGCGTTTAAAGTTAATAAATAAATATAAGCTAAAGATTTCTTCGTATCAATTGATCAATCTAAGTGTTAATATTAAATTTTTTTTACAGTTATTGTTGGAAAAAAAACAGTATTGCAGAGAATTGTGAAATCAAAAAAAAAAAAAAAAAAATTGAACATTTTCATGTAATTTTATTACAGAATGCCAATACAGGCACCTCAGTGGACTGAATTTCTTTCTTGTCCAGTTTGCTGTCATGATTTTGATGTGGCCATAAGGGGCCCGATATCCTTAGGATGTGGTCATACCATATGTCGAACGTGCCTTGCAAATTTACATCGTAAACAATGTCCTTTCGATCAGGTACGTGACATTAATATTCTTTACTTACTAATGTAAACAAATAAGGAAATGTAACGGGTAACATAATAAAGTGGTAGTCATTGTTTATCAAGTTATATACGTTTCAGAGCGTTATTAATACAGAAATAGAAAGATTACCTGTAAATGAAGCTTTACTACAATTAGTGGGAAATTCTGTTCCCACAAATGTTGCGACAGCTTATCAGAAATTATTACCACCCGAAGATCATGCTAATTATTTGGTTGCTAAACGTTGCATTGAAGAGCTTGCTTTATATCTCAAACCATGTCAAACAAATCCTATTTTAGCTACAGGTAGTGTCAATTGTTATATCATATTATTATTTAATATTGGTGTAAGTTAAATTTATTTTTTGATACCTTATAGGGGCTGGTCTAGTTTCACGACCGATGCAAAGAAAATTAGTGACTTTGGTAGGTTGTCAGTTGGTTGAACCAGAAGGAAGAGCCCGTGCAGTTAGGGCAGCTAGAAGTTTAGGCGAACGGTCGGTTACTGAATTAATACTTCAACATCAAAATCCGCAACAACTTAACGCTAATTTATGGGCCGCTGTACGTGCTCGTGGATGTCAGTTTCTCGGACCAGGTATATTATAAAACAAATGAAATAAAATTATTGAAATATATATGTTCATGATTTTTTTCATGTAAATATCGTGTTCGTTATTAGCGATGCAAGAAGAAGTCCTCAAACTAGTTCTTTTGGCTTTAGAAGATGGATCAGCTCTTTCTAGAAAAGTTTTAGTTATGTTTGTAGTTCAACGTTTAGAATCACACTTTCCTCAAGCTTCCAAAACAAGCATAGGACATGTTGTACAGCTGTTATACAGAGCAAGTTGTTTCAAGGTAATATAAACGTAATTATAAGTAATTACAATTACTAAACATATAAAATTCACAATTGTACGTATTTAATTAGGTATCTAAGCGAGAAGGAGATTCGTCGTTGATGCAATTGAAGGAAGAATTCAGAACATACGAGGCTTTAAGAAGGGAGCACGACGCTCAGATAGTGCAAATTGCAACGGAAGCTGGTTTAAGAATAGCACCCGATCAATGGTCTGCATTACTGTATGGAGATACCAGCCATAAATCTCATATGCAAAGTATTATAGACAAACTTCAGACTCCACAATCTTTTGCTCAAAGTGTACAAGAATTGGTTATCGCTCTTCAACGTACTCCTGATCCGGGACAATTAAGTAGTCTAAGACCCCAATTAGAGCTATTAGCTTCGATAGATCCTAGCCCAGGTATAATTTCTCATATTATTGTATTATACAAACAAGCGAGATATTTCGAATTTATTCTCCCCGTTGCAGAAACTGAACCTCCTACGTTAGCGGAATGTCGCGCGGCATTAGAAGCCGTTAGAACTGTAGTTGCGGCATTGGTAGAATTCATTCAACAACACGGTAATCGAAAAACACAGGACGGCACCCACAATGTGGGCCCAGGTCAACCGAAATACAAAGTGAGCATGTGCCGAGATCTTGCGCTCAGAGGATCATGTCCTAGATCTACAAATTGTACATTTGCTCATAGTGACATGGAATTGGACAAGTGCGTACACGTGTACATTAATGCTTTCACTTAAAAAATATAATTGTATGTAATTTCAATAATTCGTTGAGTAGGTACAGATCAAAAAATCGAAAGCTAAGTATCAGATCAAATTTACCGGTCACCAATAATTCAGATACGAAGACGGACAAAGTAGTTACTGGATCAAATAACAAGTCGTTTAAACAAAATGACGAATTATCTTATCATTCCATAAAATCACACGATAATACTCATAGAGACAGTAAGTATCTAGGTAAAATAAGTAATATACCAAAATCGATTAACAATCAATTGATACTTTTTAGATTTCAATTCTGTAAACAAAGTTAATCCAATGCAACATCATACTACGACAAATGAAAATAATTTCGTTGGATCATTGACTAATTACATGTTACCATCTCCGCAAGGAATAGTGCCTATGGTACCGACTAAAAATATCGATATGCATTGCTCTCATTACATCGTGCCTAATGCACCTATCGAATACACTACACCTAATCTTGGTATGTGGGATTCGTCGCAGATTTCTTCCAACGTGACAAATGGAATTTCTAATAGTAAGAAGGTAATATAAATTTACTTTTCATACTCGTTTAATAAGCGTTGTTGTTACATACGTTATAAAGTACTTTCTTTGTAATACCTTTATATATGTTAATGTAGCAGCGGACAGTTGCCAAAACATTGGCGATGTTGCTGCAACGTAGGATGGAAATCTTAAATCAACTTGAAACAATTGTCAACAAACAAGTGCCGCAGATGAAATCGGTACGATCATGTGGTTTATTCGAATCATCGTGAATATTTTCTACATATTCTGTTTGTTGTTTACAGAATTACGATGTGCAAGGTGATGCGTTGTCTTCAAATTTCTCTATATGGGCAAATACACAGAGTAATCCTATAATTCCTCCGTCGAATATGAATTGTAACAACAATTTCCCGTGTACGGATTCTATTTTATTTGACGATGAATTTGTGCCATTTGATGCGTCCTCTAGTAATAAATATGGACCAATTTCTAAACTACCCAAAAATTTAATCAGGTAAACGATCGGGACATTTATCTCGAAAATTATCTATGTTAATTTTATCATTGTAATTTCTTTTTTTTAGATCTAGCAATGGTGTACAACCTACCAATTTTTATGGCGAAGGAGGTACGCCTCCTGCAATGTCTGCTTACAGACCTATGCCAAATACAAATTCAGTTACATCTTGGTACTATGGCAATCATCAACGTAAGTGTAATTTGAAAAAAAAAAAGATATTCAAAAATAAGAATGGATTAAAAATATAAATTATCACAGCGTACGCTACCATTGGCGCAAATGGGGGAATACAGTCTATTAATAACACTGGCTTTGAGGATAATTACATTACTTTTGGTCGCAATATATCTGAATCAACAACGCACACGCAGTTCGCGCGATCAGAGTGCATGTCTAAAGAGTAAGTTATTTTTGTTATTTTTATAAATTATGTATTCAACTAAAATATAAATTTCAGCTTAATTCTGGAATCACAAAAAGTGAAACAGCAATTAAAGCACCTTGAAAAGAAGATTAATGACTTGAAGGTATTAATAAATTATTGATATTTCTTTTATTAATAAAATAATATTAAAATAAAAGTATACGTTTAGCTTGCTACTCAAGGAGCCACCTTCACCGCCGGAGAAAGGTTAGCGCAAGAGTTACAGATGATCGAGGCCGGTATCAGGGAAAAGGAAAAGGACGTACGAAATTGGAGCCCGTATGGCACTATACCTTGGATTCAGTCATCGAACAACGTGCTTGGTAGCCAAAATTTTAATCAAGATTATAAACCCGAAGAGGTAAATTCTTCTATTCAATGAAATGTGTAATGTACTCTAGATATTCTAATTGTTATAAAGTATGTTGTTAAAAAATTTGTATAAAATCTCGACTCAATTCTTAGGAAGATACATATGAGGCTGGTATTGCAAATGATATGAGAGAGTTAGAATTACGATGGGAATTTGAACTCCAAGAACAAGAGTTACAAGAACTACAACATTGGTCGAGCGAAGAGGACAATTCTAAAAAATAATAGTAAGACATTGAATCTTACTAAGTTCTTTACTTTTTTTTTTTTTAGATCTGACCATTATTTGTTTTACGAAACAAACATGTTTTTTTGACATGTGCAAGTAATCATTCGTGCGAACTTCCATGCATCATCGTGTTTTCAATTTTTCTAACGAAAATAACTGAAAGTAAAGTGGAATTTGTACTATTTGCATAACGAAGAATTGAAATTTCCAAACTGGACGATGACACTTGAGGAAATCTCGGTAAATAGAAGAATTTATCATCCTAAACATCTCTTCAACGAGCATAAAAAATTTTCGTATTGGTATAGCATGATATAAAGTGAACTGAGTACTTTCCCATGTACTATGCCTTTACAAATTATCTGGTATATAATCTTTCTTCTTCAAGTGTGAAAATGTATTTTTTCCTGGAGTTTATTATCAGTATATAGAAGATTAGGTGTAAGTACGTGATATTTCGACACAAATTTGTTAAAACGCATCAAATTCTTCATGATGATGATATATAGTAACTTATATTTAGTTATGCAGGAAGTCGCGTCGTTTTAATTTTTACTAACTGCAGTAGAAATTTATTATTATAGAGAAATCAATGTAAAGAAGTGAGAGTTAGCTGCCGCATTAAAAAAAAATTTACATTTATAAAACCGGTGAAGGGTTGATCGGTGTTCCGTTATGAATACCATAATAGGGACATTCTCTTTAACAAACAGATTAAACAGATAAGAGCAGATTTGTTAAAATTTAACAGAAATTAATATGTCAGTGTTTTATAAACATGACAGGATGTAGTATATTTTGTTTATATGTTTGCACAATGAAGCAAAGAATATTATATTACTGATACATTCGGAAAGAATGCTATTTAACCTGCAACAAGGTTACATGATAAAAAAAAAATATACGAATACATATAGGTGTTATACATACATAAAATTAACATATTCTGTTAAAATTTTACATAATTAAGATATATATTACGTTTAATTAAATATATATATATATCTTAATTATATTATATATATATGATATATATAGGGTAATTGATTTTTTAGCTGATAAAGCAAAATTTCTTTTTTTAAATAGTTTTCGTATTGTACTCCGTTTTACGATTCATGTTTTCATATTTGAAAATATTGTTTCGAATAAAATGCGATAACTTCGATTTGCTATCGTACTTCGTTTAACGTTTACATTTCTCGCATAATATTTTTTGGTTTTAGGTCTACAGTCTGACATAAATTCTTGTTCAAAATTTCTATAATCATTCTTGAACGTTTATGAAATGAACAGAACTTACTAAAAGTTGGTAAATAAGATTATAAATACGAATGTTAAGAAATTTCTTTATAACATTCAATATCCAGATCAATATTCAGTATACAGTATTTCAATTTCAAATACTTAAAATTTAAAAAAGGATAAAGTAAGGAAAATTTTGATGATACGTATAAAATTTTCCTTTATTTTGACAATATATAATAAAAAAAATTTAACTATAGATTCCATTTGTGCCTGGTAAAAAGAACATTGCATTTTATCTTATTTACTGTGATTAGTTACATAATTTTAGACAGTGATGTTTAAATGTAAACATTTGATATGTTCAGACCATTAATCATAAAACTTGTTTATTAAATTTGTGTAGTTTTGTAATTTATACTATTTTGTTTTGTACAAATTTCTTATAGCATAGAGTTCGCAAGTCACTGACTTAAAACTATATTTTACTGAAAAGTAAAAGAAATGAAGTGAACAGACTGTTATGCGAGCTGCAGCTCTCACGTTTGTAAACATGTTCGATTTACGGACTTACGAGAAACCGAAACAGTCACATTGGCTTCCTCTTAACTATTACTTTAATTTCTTACAATAAACATGATCTAATGTATTTAATGTTATATGGCATAGCGTTTTCTTCTTACTACAAAAAGATGAAATTTACATTTTTCATAGAGAAAAAAAACTTAATGAGATATGTATTTCATTCTATAGACAAGAATATGTAACTTTCTTGGCGACTATTATCTGCATTTGGTACAATATCTCTGTTAATTTAAAACGTTTGTTTCTTTATTAAAAAATTGACTCAATCGATTGAGTGGTTTGATATGAATTATATTTTATAAATGTGATACAAAATTTGGTCAAACCATTTGCATTAATCAAGTTACAGCCTCTTTACGATATGGAGTGATCTATGCATTGCAATAGTTTTTTGGTTCTATTTTTTTCTTTTCTTTTTTTTTTTAAATCATACGTAGCATAGATATTGATAATTCCAGTTTTAGTGGAAGTGACAGATTTTTATGGAGTATAGAGATCGAAGAAGGTTGATCTTTCTCATTAAAAATATTGTTTTACCTTATTATACAGTCACTAGGTATGTTCATGTAGAAATATTTCTTTCAATCTAAAATGTGCCTTTGAATCATGCAGCAACAGAGAAAACTTTGTAAAGCATTTTACAGTTGCGCATATTAATTTTCAGTATTTCCTTATTTTGCAATATTGAGGCACATTATTCTGAGCTGTGGAAAGAAATGTAACCTCAGAACATAACTAGTCTCTTGTGAAAATTATAAACAATGGTGCAATTTTATTTGTTTTATCGTTTACTAATACAAATTTCTTTTGTTTACCATGGAACACTGAAATATATATAAAAAAATATACATAGAAAAATTGTATGAAAAATTGTTTTCTCAGTGTATGTGATTAATTTTAATTTCAAATGCAATTACGTTTATATTTAATCACATGAAGCAATAACAAATTTTCTTATATAAGTCTCAATATTTCTGTAAAAATGATATTTCCATTACAGACTTAGTACATAACATATAAGTACTAAATTATTTGCTCTACATTGGTGATACAACATTGGTGTTGATTATATTTAAATTCAAAACTATATTTATGTATTTGATAAATATGTTAAAAACTTTATTTATTTTTTTACTGGTTTCACAAATTTTTTTTTTTATTATGAGCATGAGAAAATTTGCAATCATTATGTGTTATGAAATTTCATTACAAATGCAACTGGCCATTGTACTGGAAATAAAAAGATGTGACAATATTACAGAAAGGGGCCATCTTTTAATTTTGTACATTAAACAAAATAATTTTTTAACTTATGAGAAAAAATTTTATAATAATTTTTAAATTTCAAATTAAGATACAAAATTTGTTCTTTATATTGAGTATCAAAACTAAAATCATAATTTTACAAATTCCATGAAAATTACCTTTTCAGTTTCTGTTGAAATAATTATTAAAAGATATTTTAGTCGGAGCACAAAATTAAATATAAGAGTTAAAACGTTCCTTTCTGTAAATAAATACCATGTTTATAGTTGATTCTAATACAAAATACATATATATGTTTATAAAATGACTAAATCTATTAACTTTCGTTTTAAACTGCTTCTTATATTAAGTTATTTACAAGATTAAAAACCTTGTGACCTTTCAATGTTTTCATTGTTTAAAACAATTATAATCAATAATCTGTCTAGTGATCTATTTAACAGAATGTTGCCCTTCAATTTCTTTTTTGTTTTTTATTTGTAGTATGACTCGTTAATAAATATAGAGTAAATGCGAAGAGGGCTGTGTACACTGGGAAGTAATAAGCGCAACAAATACTGTTTGTGCAAGCTTCAGATTAATTGCATGTTAAACATGTCACTATGTGTATAATGATACACACCTACCTATGTTAATGGTATGAAGCCACATACAATCTATGATTAACGTTCTTTGTTTGAACATATGAAACAATAATAATTATATACATATCGGTATATAATACATATAGTCAGCGCGCACTCGGCACTTAGCAGTACGAATAGTACTTTTTGAATAATACTTTGTTTATGTTAAATTAATTTCTGATTGTAAGATTTTTGTTACTTTATTCATAAACATAATGGGCAATCTAGTATGTGTACGTTCAGAATTTTTGTAATTAAAAGTTATTAGTCATTTGGGAAAAAAGGTAAAAGTATGTTACAATATGTTTTGTTAAATTCAGTTAAAACATATTTATATTGCCTATTATGTTGAATGTGATGTTAGTCTGGCATTTTTAATGTATTTTTCTAAATAAATAACAATGGAAAAAGTCACATTATAATATAAAAATTGTCTGTTAGAAGCAACATTTATTACCTCGGTTTCATTCACTGTTTCTGATATAGAAAAAACCTAATAGAAAATTCATTCAATATTTAAAAGTAATACATATTGCTGCAAAATTATTCACGAAAGTAGATTGTACTTTCTAAAAGATGTAATGTAAGCGAAAGCGTAATATATTTATCTATTAAACGTAAAGACAAGTTTTTGCCCGATTTGTCTTTTAAATTTGTTTATTAAATCAATATACATCTATGAAAATGTAAAGTTTGTATACCGATGATTGAAAATCCCGCCACGGAGTGAATTTAAAAAATTGTCTTTATCGATCGAAATTGTCTACTTGTTTCACGAGTTTGCCGCCAGATGGCGCCACTGGACAGTGCCTGGCGCGAAGGACATAGTTCCAGCGGTGCTGAACGTAGTTGTGCTTCGACAGTTGCTCGGTCACAAGCAGAGGAAACGGTGTGCCGTTTGCTATTCAATCTTGTGGAATAAATATAAAAAGCGGTTACAAATCAATTTGTACAACAGAAACAAGGTACATAGGCTTAAAACTGTTTTCGCGATCTTCGTGTTGTTGCTTTCACGATGAAAGCTACGCAATAAATTTCGGTACGTATCATGACCATATAATTACGTTGTCCTGTTGTAAAATGTATGCGAATAGTTGTAAAATCAAGATACGTTGTTTAGTAGCCACCACGTGTACGCAGTTATGAGTTCCCTTTTAGGCGTGTATAACGATCGAAGCACTACGTACGGTTACGAAAAGGTAGCAAGTGGTCTGTGAGGCGTGCCTGTCTGAGAAATAAAAATAAAAGAACATCTGTGAACGGTAACGCGGGTGAATTGTAGAAAAAGTATATTTTTCGTTCTTTGCAATATATTAGTATAAAGTGAGAGAAAAATGCCTGACAATCGAGGAAATGTAGTGCATGGCGTAATGCCACCGCATTACCTACACAAATTGCCGGCTGAAGACGAGGAGAGGCTGGAAAATATATTCCAGAAATTGGATTTAGACGGAAACGGAAGAATCGATGTTAAGGATTTATCGAAAGCGCTTCGCGAAGTTGGCGTGGACAAATCTTATGCAGAGGTATGTGTTGGAATTCTGTAATTTATATTTCACTTTGTAACCGAATTATACAATTGCGGATGTTGTGTGCCATTTTTAAATTTGCAATATAAATTACTATATTACTAATTACTATATTTTAATTGAATATTCTTGAAAATTGTATATTACTAATAAACCTTCTCACATTCCGTGTCTCGCTTGATTTGAAAGGCATTTGTATATATTATGTAGGTGTATGTATGTAAAGTATGCAGTAGACATGTATTATAGATGTTACATAAAGATTGTAGGTTCTGGGTCAAAAACAGCATGTATTGATTTTGAATGTATCAAATAAAAATATGACAATTTTATGATGAACGATACTTCGCGTATGTTATAAAATAGTTTAAACGACATTTAATCCGTGGTATTTGTACAAAGTTCACCATGAACTTTAAACCCTTAAACATTGTACAGTTTATGGAATCATTAATCACTTTTTATTAACCATTTCTAATACTTTGTCGCAGAGTATATTTTTAACAGCCATAATTAATTCCGCAACATAAATTTCTTAAGTATAATTTTCCGCATAATAATCGAGTTTTCATTGTAATATCGGAAACCTTGGACTTAGAGTTAGTTACTGCGATATGTGATCTCTGTTATTTAATTTGAAGAAGGTTACCGTTAATATTCTTGCCGCATACATACATACATAGCGGCACGATTTGCGCTTAATAGAATTTATTTTGATTTCATTAAGGATAACACACATTGTTGTGCCATTTTGTTCAAGTACGAAGGAAAGAAAATATTTTTCCATATAAATACATAACAATTGTTAACCCTTTCGCTGCGACGCGAATTTTTGAACTTGCACCAGTGGGCCACAGATTTCATATTAAAAATTTTATAATGGCAAAGAACTGCGAAATGTATTAAAATAACGGTACAATCTTGCCGATAGCACATTTTTCTTAATGGTGGTCACCGGAAACCACCATGACCCAAATGAAATGGCAAGCATCAGTCCCATCTGGTCCCATCGGTCCACCGTCGCAGCGAAAGGTTTAATACAAATTATTTTTCGCTGGAAAAATTTTTTTTTTAACGAAATGTCTACGAATTTTTTTACAGAAATTCTTGGCAAGATCAGACAGTACCAAGAGCGGTGACATAAGTCTGGCGGAATTTATACACTATGTTCGCGAACATGAAAAAAATCTACGACTACAGTTTTCTCATCTTGACAGAAACAAGGATGGTCAGTACATATATGATCAAATGTTCAATTACCCAAAGAGCTTAAGGTGGAAAACGAAGGTGTCTACACCTATCAACCAATAGGCATGAAACTGTTATCCGAAGTGATTTATCTGTTCATTTAAAAATCGATCATAAATCACTTTTCTTATCCAAAAAAATATTACTCGACATCATTGTTATCTTTACCTGTAATTATTTTATTCTTTTGTTAAACCCGCAGTATGGATTTTTCGAAGCAACTCGATAAAAAAATATTTCCTTTTGTTATGTCTAAGTGGCAAGGCCTAGGCAGCTGCTTAGGGCCCCCTTAAGACGATTTATACAAGATTTAATGTTAATTATATAAATTTTATTTGAGCTACTTTTTTTCTGTCATATACAATGTGAAGGGGCCCTTTTTTGTAGCTCGCCTCGGACCCCCGATATCTCAGGGCCGGCCTTGCTAACTGGTCGTAACCGAATGTTACATTTACAGGTAAAATCGACTTGGAGGAATTGGTAAAGTCGTTCGAGGAGTTGGGTATAACGATGGATTACAGCGAGGCGAAGAGACTGTTGCAGCGGTAAGATTATAATAATTGCAAGATAAAAAGTAGCGATTAACATAATGAGATGAAACTTGTGTCAATGATAGAATGGACACAGATGGAAGTCTCACCATCACTTTCAACGAATGGCGAGACTTTTTACTGTACGCACCGAGTTCCGATCTTCCCGGTCTTATAGAATATTGGCATCATACAAATGTAAGTATTGGTAATATAATACTATGCTATCATTGGTATACATTGTTTAAGCTTTTTATTAATAATATCGAACCAGGGAGTGTTTGAATTCATTACTTATTCAAATTTCAATGCAGAGCCGGCCCTGGGCCTAGGCAGACTAGGCGGCTACCTAGGGACCCCATAAGACGATTTTGCGTCTAAGAATTTTCAATCAATCTTTATATACCTTTATAATTTTGAAGAGTAATTAGTTATACAAGCTTTAATGTTAATTTTATAAATTTTATTTGAGCTACTTTTTTTTATGTCATGTATGTGAAGGGGCCCTTTTTCGAACCCCCAAAATCTCAGGGCTGGCCCTGTTTCAATGACAGTATTTTTTATGAAATTGCGCAAGCATAGCAGTTGGGTGCATAGGATTCGAGTGTCTGCACTCTATATAACAGTTGTACGATGAACTCGAGGGTGTAGTTTGCATGAATACGAGGAACGATCGAGTCGGTGCAGGGCTCTGATTCGTTGACGAAGAGGGCTCGACCGGAGGTGTGACGTCGAGTAGTTGTCGTTCAAAATGACCTTGATAGTTTCCCAGCTGTTTCCAGTACCTCTCTCTCTCCCCTCCCATCGCTAATGCAACCCCTTCCCGAATCAACTTGATTTAAATACGCGTGCGCCATAAAAGCTAATCATTTTCTAGCGCATGCGCACAATAGAGTACCTTTTGCAAAGTCGATTTCGCATTGCGGACAGGACAAAAAAAGTTATAAATCGAACGATAGTTCGCGAGAATCGCATTGGGAATTTTTACAGCCGTCCTACCGTAACACCACATATTTAAAACAGTGAAAAAGTTCGTTACAAATGTGATGTAGAATATAGATATCTCTGATTGAAAAACTTTCTCATATAATCATATTTTCTTTACAACATTGCCATACAAGTTCTTACAATTTACTTTAACAAAGATAAATAATTCTGTTCCATCACTGTTTTAGTTATTGTTCTGTAGGGTGGTACAAAAAACATTATTGTTCACCAGATTTATGATAGGAAACTGCAAACATTTGCAATAACAATGAAAAACAACGAGTAACGATATTTAATGATAACAATTTTAGTCATGAATAATATTGTAATAATATGTACCATGTTATAATTTGACTGTTACATTTAATTACAATTTAAATCTCTGTCAGACAAATCTTCTTACGTTAATTTCTTGTACTTTGTACACTAATTACATTATTTAAATGTAACTGCAGATATAGTATACCTACATGAAGCAAGAAATTAGATGAAAAAATGGTCGATAATAATTACTGGAAAATGACGTTGCCTTTTTACAATCTTCGGCTTTGAATTAAATTTTTTATAATGGTGAAATATCTTGCAACGTTTCGTCAGCCATACGCTTACTATGTGAGGTCAGCGTCTGTTGATCATGAGTACAGAATACGATAGTGCTGTACCACGAATCGTCGTGCCCCTTAGGCCTGCGTTAAAATTTCAGAAATTCATTATTAGCAGAACGTTTACTGTCTGCTGCGAACGTCTGCCATCTAGTCTGCGCCTTGTTTTTTCACGCGATGACGCATTGCATTCCATTATTTTCATAATTGTAATTACGTTGACCATGCGTAACACGAGCAGATACGGTATACGAATTGACGTAGCATAAGGAAAATTATTTATTTCTTTTTTATTATTCCGTTTACCTTCTTCTTTGCATAGTTTCCTGTACAATTGGAAAACGGTATTTCTTCTTCTGATAGATGAAGAAATACACATACCACGCGTGACCGCATGCTTTGCTTGTTACGGTATTCGATTTCTGCGTGCCGGAATAGTTAACTTTCACATGAAAAGAGGCCACACGGTAACATATTCTCAAATGTGTCAACGTGCTAATTAAAGTTCTATATTATACATTTCATATTCTTTATCATTATTGTTACATCTTTATCAAATAGTTGTTGACACAAATGTTAAAATGTTTGTTTTATATTTTATAGCTTTTGTGCCAGGTATATTGCTTTTTAATTTATCAAGTGGTTAGGTAAATTCACCTTTAAAATGTGAAAAATTAAAGGCAAATTCTAACAAGTATTTTCCTTGTTAAAATACGTTGAGCAATGAGACATATACTATAGCGTACAATGTAGACCTTACAAAAAAAAGATGGTGGGGGGCTTTCCCCGACTAAATCAGCGATATCTGTTTTAACTCCCTTGCCGTTTCTTAGCGCTCTTCAGTCTTGAGATCGGACTCCGAGCTCTCATATCGTTAGTTTTATGGGGAGGCTCGTTTTACCTGCATTTTCTATACATTTTGTTAAACAGTTTCTAGCCGCCGTTGTTTTTAGTTGTCGTATTTCTCAGACATATTGAACGTACATACACGCAAACCTTTTCGTTCAGTTTTAATCGCGCTTTCTGGTACAAGATAAAACCTTTAGTGAGAATAGTTTTTGCCATCGTTAAATATAATGTACACGTTTAAAAAATCAAGACTATTGAAGAATGAATGCATTTCGCCTACCTGTCAGGTTTGCGAGGATTTCCTACAAAATTACCATGCACTTTTGCAACGGGTGAGTGTCTCCTCTTGTATAGTAGCAGGGTAACTATTTATGGACGCTAAAAGGGATAACAAGTGTAAACGCGATTAAGAATTTTGCTGTAGTCTTAATCTTCCGCGAACTCACAATTTTTATTCCAACGGGGGGGAAAAAATATTTATCAAAAGTGTAATTCCATAGTGTACTTTGGAATCTATTTGAAAATTAATACTTGCAAATTGCAGTAAATCAGATTTTTCATAGAAAATGTATTGGCTATCTTAATCAGGGCAATTTTGTATTGATAATTATATCCGCGAGAGGTTATAATATAGTCGCATAGAGGTTATGGCTGGCATATGTGTCACGTGGTTACGGAGAAAGCGAAAGTTTAAGAATTTTGCTCTACGCTTTCTTGCAAACTATTTTAGAACTGAAATCTCACATAATTATTAATCATTCATGAATAAATAAATTAAATCTATGCATCTAAGAAGATATCGGAAACATTTTTTATGTACAACATAAATCATGAATATTATTTTATAAAATGAATCACAATTTCAGTAGCTCTAACAATGTTCATTGATACTTAATTTGCTTATAAAACAAAATTGAATATGCATAATTAATATTAACTTTGGTAGAACTAGTAAATAGTGACAACTGTTGAAATGAACATATGTTCGAAAGTATACTGTTCATTGATACAGGAATATTATCAAAGTACAGGGATATTATAAGATTATTGAACTTAACCTATCTAACATTCCTAACGAGTATGAAAAAATGAATGAAATCGTATTTTGTATGATGTTGAATTAGGAAAACGTTGACAAAATGTGTAACAGTAGTGTGATTCATCGCAAATACGAATGTAAATCCATTCCCTTCTATAATTTGTTCGAGATTGTTCTGTACGAACGTCTCAGTCCTGTAAAGAGTTTCATAGGAAAATATTGGTTCTATACACATTTATATAATTATTTGAAAGAAAAATGCTCGTAATTATTGATTATTATACAATATTTATTGGAACTTAATTTTAAAAACTCGTAGCAAGTCGCGAAATGACAGTTCATATATCTAATACTTATCAGTTCATACGTTGGAAAATTTTGACGCTCCTGAGATTCATAAACAGAAATATCGTACGTTTACATATTCATAAACATAAAAAAGAGAGAAATCTTTACTGTGTAGAATATTATTTAGAAATCCGAGATTTCTAATATAAAAAAAGATATTTTTTGTTGGAATTTTTTATTCATTTTCTGTTTTTTTTTTTTCCTTAAATAAAATAGTTATTTAATAAAATTGTGAAGTGAGTTTTATGTGCGTCATTAACAGGCACAATATGCGTATAGTTATTGTAACCAGTAACCGGACGATTGTTATCTGACACTTGAGTTCTGATATCGATTTCCTCGTAAATTTCAACCGTCATTATTTCAATTTGTTTTTTATGAATGATAAAGCATGCTTTGTTACGTCTTACATAAGTTTGAACAGATTTAAAAAATTGCGGTATCATAAGTGCCTTGTTATTTTAAAATGGCGGGAATTTCAAATGTTCTGGAAAGAACTTGGATGAAATTAAAAAAATGCACTTGTTATTCAACCTTTTTGCAAACAATTGTTCGACATTCTTTTCTATTTTTTTATTAGTTAAAGAGTGACGTGTAGTTATGATAAAGCGCGCGACAATTTGAATCGAATACAGCCGGCTTCAGTCTGGTTGCTGAGTTTCTGGTCCGCCTTGTCAGCCAGGATCAAAATAATCGGTTGAGTCTCGTGACCACAGGCATCCTTAAGTTAGAAACAGAATATTGGTTGATTCAAAAGAAATTTGAAAGCTGACATTGGGCGAAAACCCAACTAGCTTGTTGGCTTTAAGCCAGACTTAATGACATAAAGCTGCATATACTTTCATTTTAGTCGTTCCTCGAATTTATTCGATTCAACGTCTTGTATATTTTACTTGTGATAAAAAAGAAAGTGCACATTACTTATCAAACAATGGACGGTATGGATTTCGATACAGATATCTTCTTTCAGTTACGACTAAAGTTAAGTATCTGTGATTCAAAGTTAAATACATACCTCGCTTTTACTATCAGGTTGTGTTGGAAATAACCGTAATTTCTGTTATACCTCTATGTGCATTCGAATTAGTTTTTTTGCTTGTATAAGCTGTTTTTTAACCCAAAAGGAATCGATAAAAAATGCTTGTGTAATCAATCGAAGATGTACAAGTTCAAAAACTAATTCAATGAAACCTACCAACGTCAAGGCTTCTTTGAACTTTTCCTGTTTTTTATGCCCGATATTTCTTTGTACGCGGAAAAAATTCAAAAGTGACATTTTTTTTTCATTACCGTTCCAGTATTTTTTGTATCAAGGCGAGCAACTTTATTCGACATTCCCATTGAGATAGTTGTTTCACTTACAATTTCCATAGTACTTTAATGTGTTCAAATTTGGAACTAAACATTTATTATATCGCACGCGTGTTAAGTATATTGTCTGGCGTCTACCTTTAAATAAGTATAGACAAATATAATGTTCAATCGACGATTAACTAATTTTTACTGACGTTAATTTACTATTGAATTATCGTGACATTGTTTACTTACCTGGCCTCGTCCATCCATTATAACACATTAACGTGTCTATAAAAAAGCTTACTAAACATTTTTTCCTCGTACTTACGCTTTTGGTTTCGTAATTATCAGGCTGCACCTAGTGACTTTTCACCGATTGTTTAAAAGCCGATTGACTTCGAAGGTCACATTACTCTTTCTGTGTGTTCTACGTAACAGTCACCCACTTAATTAATCGCAAATGTTTAAATATTGTTCCTGTTATAACGGCGTGAATTACATCTGCCAGAAAAATTACCGGATTTAGTGAGAAATTTGTTTGACCACGTGACATTTTGACCCGGCGGATCAGACAGAACATAACCAGCTTTTCATTCGGTTAAATTGTAGATATAACCAGTGAATACTGGTTCCGAATATACAGACAGATAAGATGCTCTGGGGGAATCATTTATTTCTCAAAGAAGATTTTGAACTGTTTGTAAATTGCTTTAGTCGTGTAGGATTATCACGCGCACGGAATTGGCGCGAAAAGCGAAGAAATTTAAACGAACCGTAACGGAGAGTACCATTGTCCCTTATCAAGAAAACCATAACACACGCGTTTTAAATTACGAATGTTAAATAAAAGTTAAGAGCATAGCAGTAAATTTGATTTACGGGTTGCGTACATATTTACATTATATAAATGTAAACCGTGAAGGCACGTTCTTTCGTACATATAAAACGTGGTAACAATGAAAGAAAAATACACGGCAGTTACGCACACGTAGTAGCCAGATGTCAAAATTACAGAATATGGCGTACAGAAGAAGGTTAATTATTAAGATATTAATCATGCATGATTTAACGAGATTTATCTCGCCATTCCGCGGCATGGTCTGTTTCAACGTGCAAAACGGCGGTTGTTTATCGGTGCGGTTACAAATATGAAATTTCGTTGAAATAATTAGAACGGATAATCATGTTTTATGTTGCCTTTCCAGTATATGGACATTGGGGAAGACATCGCTGTTCCCGAGGATTTCACGACTAATGAAATGGTCTCTGGAATGTGGTGGCGACATTTGGTTGCCGGTGGCGTAGCGGGTATCGTATCGCGCACGTGTACCGCTCCTTTGGATCGTATTAAAGTCTATCTGCAGGTAGGTTTACAAAATGAAAAGTATTCGTTATACTTCCTGTTCAGGGTATTTATTTTCAAATAGGTATTTAAAGTAAACGCATATTATTTAAGTACTATATGGTACAACAATATGCAAACGAATTAGCTCTGTTTCTTTTTACAAAGAAGAATACTTTTAGGTACATGGAACGCGACACTGCAAAATCAGAAGTTGCTTCAGCTACATGCTCCGCGAGGGTGGTTACAGTAGTTTGTGGAGAGGAAACGGTATAAATGTACTTAAAATCGCGCCAGAAAGCGCGTTGAAATTTCTGGCTTATGAACAAATTAAAAGATACATTAAAGGAGACAACGTTAGGGAACTCGAGATTCATGAACGGTTACTAGCAGGATCTTTAGCTGGAGGAATTAGTCAGTCAACTATATATCCACTTGAGGTATAAAATAAAAAAATAAAAAATCATGTCATCTATGTATTATACTTATATATATATATTATATGTTACAGGTACTCAAAACCAGATTTGCTCTTAGAAAAACAGGAGAGTTTTCGGGTTTAGTTGATGCTATCAAAAAAATATATAGGCAAGGAGGTTTGAAATCATTTTACAAAGGATATATTCCTAATTTACTAGGAATTCTCCCATACGCTGGTATTGATCTGGCTGTGTACGAAGTAAATATAACATTGAAAGAATTATTTATTATATCATATCTTTTATCTAGATTGTTGATTATTAATATTATCGTTTTAGACATTGAAAAATTGGTATTTACGAAACCATGATAAAAGCGAACGTCCATCGGTCTATATATTATTATTTTGTGGAACAGCTTCTAGCACGACCGGTCAAGTGTGTTCATATCCATTAGCGCTAGTCAGAACACGGTTACAAGCTAATGCAATATCAGACAAGTATCCTAATACTATGATAGGTGTTTTTAAAGAAATTCTTAGAAACGAAGGACTTCCTGGTTTGTATAGAGGAATAACCCCAAACTTTTTAAAGGTATAAAATAATTTATATAAATAATAATGATGAATTTGATAAATTACTACATATATCATTTATTTTTTTAGGTGGCACCAGCTGTATCAATTAGTTACGTAGTATATGAAATCTGCAGGGAACTTTTAGGTGTTAATATGACGTGATGATTATTTATTTTAGGTGATATTAATTTAACTAAATTATTCTTTGATTATATTTTAAGGTGTATAATAAATTAGCCAATCGTTGGTTAATATTATAAGCAATTTGGCATGCTCTGCCTTCTGTTAAATGTAATATCGCTTATTTATTGTTAACTCGAAGCTTCCACAATTATTTAAACATCTATCATTCTATTTTTCGAATGTATCATACTATTGATATATATATATATATATATATATATATATATTAATAATACACATTTATAAAATATTTCAAGGAAGAGAAAGAGAGAGAGATTAGGTAATACAAAGTGGCCAGCATAAAATGACTCGAATTAACTTTTAACTATTTCGTATTTATATACATTTTGTGTATGTGTTTGATATGTATTAATAATTTAGTCGTCCTCACAGTTATGACTTGCATTCATATTTTACTTCCATGAAGCAAAACAAAAATGTAGATCCATAATTTCAAGATAGTAACGATAGTACAAAGATATTAAGAAAAAAAAAAGGTATTATAACTTATAATTTCATCTTTTTTTCTTTTTAAGGGAAGGTAATGAATGATGTCAAATAGTTGCAATATTATAGCAAAAAATTTCTGTTTACAATTAAAAAAATAACGTCATTTAAGCAAATAATATACTTATAAAATTACATTTTATCAAAATGTAAACGAATGTATTACTTCAAAATACATTACATGATGTTACCGATTCTGAATATAGGGAGGATCGAGTTATATTGATACTGTGATGTGTATGATTATAAGCTACATTGAAGAAGTAATTCAATGCATAACATGTTATTAATTTAAAAATTTTTCATTTTTATCATTTTTTCCAGGCAGATACATATAACGGTAATAATAGATCCTCCGTTATAACAATGTTATGCTATGAATCACGTCATAAGTTGCACGTTTCATTAATCCTTTTTATAATTTATATATTAAACTTGTTTCAATGCTGGATATTATATTCTTACGTCTATTATTTCCAACATAATCAGTTGTGTAATGTAATGAACTTTGTGAACAAGTTGTGTACATCATGTATGCTATAAATATGTAAATTTAGGCTTTACAGTAGTATATCGCAAAATAGCATTGTAATCAAATTTGTTTACATTTCTCTTTCAAATAATTGCAAAAATGACGGTGTTAAAGAAAAAAAGAAACAATACTTTTACAACTTACTCTTTCATATATGTGTAAGGTATTATCTACAATATAAATTCTTGAAATTCAAGGTACCTCGCCACATCTTCATCTTTCGCATAACGTAAACGGAACTATTAAAATTATAAAACTCTTTCTTCTTCGGGTAATTGTAGCATCTACACGTTAAAAGTACATTGTACTTTGCAAGAACTATTTTGTAAATAATGCTTACGAATTTGAAGAAAAAGAAAACTTTACAAGATTATTTTATTGCGTCTCGTGAAAGTAAAATGTTTCACTATATGAAATATGATTGCTAAATTATGATAAAGCCGACAAGTCTTACGAAAAACAGATAATTTTTTAGTTCTTTTTATGGATATCCATGTATACGTAAGATATTTGTAAAAAAAATAAACATAATTTATAAATTATTGTAAAAATTTAGTTAATTGACATCGGTTATTGAATATGACTGATAAGAGATATCAAGAGTTTAAATATGTAGACACAAATAATATTCCTGTCTCAAGTAATACAATATTTCGCTTAGGAATAAAAAAAAGCATATAAAAATAATCGTTTTTTTGCTCTATATCTAATTATCCATATTTATTAATTTTATGTAAATCACCAAAGAATATCTTACAATGCCGGACATTTTTGATTGCATTATACTTGATATGTCTACTTCTGTATACAAATAACGATAATTACGATATTTATTCTTACAAATAAATTAATTGTATAAAAATTTTAAATTATTTTATTAACTATCTTTCATTTTTATATCATATTCATTTAAATAAAGTAGTGAATAGTAATCGTTCCAAAGATCATGAAAATATATTTGTTTTCGTATTGAATTTTTTTTTTATATCTTCATAAAAATAAATATTGCTTTGAAGAGATTTCTTCGTCATAAACTTATTGAGATAATTTATTAAATTGCAGTTTCATAGTGATAAAAAATAAGTTATACATTGAAAAAAACGTATTATTTTATATTTTGTACTTATTTCATGTATACAAATATAAATGGAAAAAATAAAATATCCGAAAATTGTTGTATTGAAATACACAAACAGAGAATAACAAAATATTTTAAACGATATTAACGTTATAATAAACAAATATCATCTTTGAGCAACAGTTCACAAAAAAATGCTTTCATTTAAATGTTTATCTATTAGCCATTTTAAGTAAGATGCACGTATGTATACAAAAGTATGCCTGAGATAGCTGTTGAGCATCAGAATAAGATATTTAAGTGGAATGTTATAGTCAACTTTAAGCAAATATGTTATTTAGGCTTGTAATAATTTTGATGAATCTTCATCTAGGATCCAGTACAATTCTCCATTGTGCGGTTGTACACGAGCAGCTGGCAAATTTTCTTTATCTTGCAAAATTCTCTGCGAGATATTAAATATTAATAGTAATATTTCTATAAACATAAGTTACAAATTAGTCTTCTTAATCTCTGATAAAATAATCACCTTCACAATTTCAGCTTTGCTAGATCCAACAACAGTAAATATGCATTTTTTTGCATTATTGATTACAGGAAGAGTTAGAGTGATACGAGATGGAGGAGGTTTAGGGGAATCATTAATAGGACAAACCCACAAACTTGATTCGTTCAAAAGCTTATGACCAGGAAACAGAGAACACGTATGTCCATCTGGACCTACTCCCAAAAGGAGCACATCAAAACATGGGAGACGGTCAGGAGGAAAAAATACAGACATCTTCTTAATATAATCTTTTGCGGCATCTTCGGCTATAAGTAGGACAATGAATTTGATTATATAATCATTACTTAAAACGTATAGAAAAGAAAAGTTTTTAAAAACATTAGTTTACCAGATAGATCAGGATTTATTTTTATGAACTGATCTTCAGTCACTGGTATTTTTCCAATCAACTTTGACTTATATTCTCCGTAAGTTGAGTCATTACTATCAAAAGGAACAATTCTTTCATCACAGAAGAAGAAATACCATTTACTCCAGTCAGTTGTAATATTAGGTAAACTCTGTGCCAATAAGTTAACCACAGAGCCCCCTGATAAAAATAAGTATTTCATGATTCATTATCAAATGATTATTTTAATAAAAAGAAAGTAATTTATGTTTTAAAGGTTACATATTTAATGAATATTAAGTATAGCTTACTAAGAAGTAAGTGAAAGCTAAACTAAAAGTGAAAAAATATTGTTATGTATTTATACTTTAAAGATAATATACATGCAATTAGAATGAAATTAAAACATTAATTATACAAATTTTTCTATACGTTGTTCGTAACTTATAGTCGTATAAGATTCCACAAATTTTCATTTAAAATCCTATGTAGAAAATTTTAAAGCAATGCAGCTAATCGTTAATAATAATTTTAGTATTTTTCAAGCTGTAATTTAAACTAATATTTGTTCGAAACATGTCACCTGATAATCCAACTTTAAGTGTATCACCGTTGGCGAATGCCTCTTCGGCACTCGTTTGAAGAAGGTTAGACAAATATGACACTATGATACAATTCTGAGGCTCGATTAGTATCTTCTCCATTATTTATCGGTAAATTTTTAACAGCACTTAAATTTAGTAAGTGCAAAATTAACCAAGAACTCGTTATGGAGAATGGAAGTTGTGCAGAGTGTAGAGATGCAAGGTAGTATTAGTTATATAGCCTCAGTTAACAGTAATCAGAATACAGCATTGGACATTTACAATGACACGTGATAAACTCATGATAACTATCTCCTAAACGTTACTATGATTACGCGAACAGTTCATTCACATAAGAATCTATTTTTCGTGTATATGAAAACGCGATATAAAGTAATATTATTTACTAAAAAATTCTGTTTTGGATACTTGCTGGCGGGACACATTTTTTTAATATAACCTATGTTCAAACTACCATAATGTCGATTGAAATTGAAATAATATAATGAGTTTCTTTGTAAACTCTGATATAATAAACTTATTTATAAAGCGAAATATATTTATTTATTAGTTTAATTAAAGTCCATAATTCTAAGGTGGATTTTATATTTATGAAATGAATTGCGATAACAAATTGTAGATTATAAGATTTCTAATGCTAACTGGAATACTATAATCAAGTCAGAATGCATAATATTATATATTTAATAAAGATAGAAGTGCATTAGATGATTATTAATCAATTATTTGGAAGAACAAGACAACAATCATGTCATTTTGTGTGCGACTTGCGCGCAGCAAACCCATACGTTTGTTAGGAGGTATTGCAATGAAATGTTGGGCTTTCTCTGGGACTTACATACTTGCCTGTTTTCTTTTATATTGGTTGTACGGTGGAATCTCTGCCTTCTTTCTCCTTTGTTTCGCTACTACAGGTATATGTTTGTATTTCAATAAAAAAAATCTTAAAGGTATTAGATATATATTATAATTAATATATCTTTGTAGGTATATTATATCACAGAGAAGATCAACTTGTATATCGTCCAGAATGGCCAGCTAATTCCAGGGTATATGTTCCTGCACCTTCGATATTTAATTTACCTTATCAAAGTATATATACTAGATCAAAAGATGGTACAATGTTACACATGTTCTTTATTTCTCAACCAGAAGATAAAGCAAAAAAGGTGCCTACTATATTATTTCTTCATGGCAATGCCGGTAATATGGGACATAGGTTAATATTTTTCACTTACATCAAACATGTAATTTTATGTTAACAGTTTGGATTAAAATTTTCAATTTATTTTAGACTTCAAAATGCAGTTGGATTGTATCACAATATTCAATGTAATATTTTGATGCTAGAGTATAGAGGGTATGGATTATCACAAGGTTCACCATCCGAGGAGGGTTTATACATGGATGCTTGTGCTGGAATTGATTATTTGTCCAGTAGAACTGATATAAATACAAGTGAAATAATTGTGTTTGGTAGATCATTAGGTACTTCATTAGGCTACATTCATTTTATACATCCATAAGTGTGTTATTCAATTTGTTTCGTTTTTTATAGGCGGAGCGGTAGCAATCAATTTAGCTACAAAGCCGGAAAATTTTCAAAGAATTTGGTGCCTTATTGTCGAAAATACTTTTACCAGTATTCCTGATATGGCTGCATACCTTTTTGGATCAAGATTTTTACAATATCTACCACTCTTCCTGTATAAAAATAAGGTATAATATTTGCTTATCGTATTTCATACAGCTTATTTTTTTTTTGCGATGAAAGGAAACTAATTATTACTAAATTTATAGTATTTATCGATTCACAAAGTGCGATCAGTAACGGTACCTACGTTATTCATTTCTGGTTTGGCGGATACATTGGTGCCACCGCGTATGATGCAAGAACTTCATAAGAATTGCAGAAGTTCGTGTAAAAATATACTTTCTATTTCGGGAGGTACTCATAATGAAACATGGTGTCAGCCAGGATATTATCAAAATATATGTAACTTCTTAAGTGAGTTAAGAGAGAATCCTGTTCAAGTGACATCCAGTCATTGGCAAATAGATGACATATAATTAGAAATACAAAGTTCATTTTGCGTCCAAAGCGGTAACTATATTTTAAATGATCCATTACTAAGGTCAGTATATTCTAATAGATAACAAATTTAATTTAGCGTACACGAATATATTAAAAGTTTCAATTGTGATCATTATTTTCAATGAAAACATAATTTAGCTCATAACTAACGGGGATCAATATTCTATCGAAATAATTAGAGCGATATTGAACAAAATGTAATGCTTCGAATCATCAAATTATTATATTACTCGAATTTAGCAAAATATTTATTTGAAACAAAACGTGTGAATAATGAAATAACTAAGTCCTTCCAATGTTAAAAGTATCTCGTTAACGTCGTCAGTGGATAAGAAACATTTAGATAGTTTTAACCTCACTGTTTTCATCGAAAGTGGGCTGTTTTTATATTTTAAAATATGTTGTGTACAGGGTATTTCCGATGTAATGGCACAACCAAAAGGGATGAATCTACACAAAAAAGTAAGTTAAAAATGCATTAAAATTCCTGTATTTCAAAAAATTTTAAAAACCTACCATAAAGAATTGGCGCCATCTTGTATTAGGTGTTAAAAATGAGCTTTTTTTGTTTTACCGATAGGGAGTGCAAAAAATATATTTATAGTTATCCTTATCAACACTAGACGGCGCTTTTGTACAGTGGCGGGTTTTTTTTTAAACATTCAAAATTTAAATCAATTTTCGACTTACTTTTTCATATTCACCCTCTTTTTGGTTTTGTCCCACCAAGTTGGAAATATCCTGTATAAATGCAGAAGTGCTAATGTATGTATGTGAGTGAATTTAAGAATACATTTTAGGTGTGTATAGGTATTTATTTTCATTCTTTTATAAGATACAATATATGCATTAAAATACGCGTATGTATGTATTTATTTATATGTACAGTGTATTCGAAATAATATTTCATTTATTTTTATCTTTGAATAACATTTACATTTTCTCTGCATTCAAAAATAAAATTGATCGAATACGTACAAAATAGCATACTTGAAAAATTAAGGATTTTTATCGGGTAGTAGAAAATAACTTTTTCAAACGAAATAATCATTATCTTATAGCTTTTTAAATATGTTTGAAATTAGTAATATTAAATAAATACTTTTGTTGTATTTTATAATTAGTTAAAAATGTACGACACATAATTTTACATTACTTATTTACAAATTATATCATTATAAAAAATATAAGACAGATAAATTTATATAATAGAGAGTAATAAATATTAAAACTTCCTATTAATTCTCCTCTTTTTGATAGCAATTTTTTGTGTCCAAATAATGCCTATTATTATTAAACTTGATAATACAGTTAGAGCTATTCCCATAACAATTAACCAACCAGTACTCGACTCAAATGTTACTTTCTTATCTACTACATTATCAACCTTCATTATGAGATTTTCATTCAAGTTTGACATATTACAAAAAATTTGTTCTTTCCAACCATACCAATGTACCATTCTGATATTTGATATTTGTGGAGGCCAAGCGCACCTAATGAGATACAATAAGAAGTATTAATTAATTAATCTTGTTACTTTGAGAAAATTATGTGCTGAAATATATACCGTAGATTATCTAGAAGATCAGGCCGTGTGAAATACAGGCTTGGTATTAAATCATTTAACATCCATTGTAGAGAACAATTACATTTGAATGGATTTCCTTGCAAATTGATATCAAGTACTACTGAAGTATCACTGTTCATAACTAACTCTTGTGACACGTAGGAAAGTCGGTTGTTCCTCAGATCCAACTGATGGGAAAAATATTTATTATTCTTTGTCAAGTGGCATTTTGGCTTAAAATTATAAAACTTACAAAACATAATTTTAAGTGTTTCAATGCATCTTCGTGAATGAAAGATAACATTTCATTATTGGATATAGTAACTCTGATACAATCTGTTGGAGGCATTCTGAAGTGTGTAAACGTATCCTTGTCAATAGTCTTCAAAGTACTTATATTACTTGCAATAAACGAGTGTAATTGTAAATCCGAACGAAACGTTAAGTTTTGAATCGGATTTTTGCTAACGTTAAGTTCAAGCAAGAGTGGAAAATTTTGAACAGACAATGACTCAGGGATATACTGCAATTTATTGTTAGACAAATCTAACTTTCTTAGATTCTTGAGTAAAGTATTTGGAAAATCATATAATGTGTTTCCAGCGACATTCAAATCCGTTAACTCGTTCAATTTTGTTATATTTTTATATATTTCAGAAATATTATTGTACTCTATATTTAGTACTTTAAGCTGAGATGATTCATAAAATATTTCTGCAATCTGATTATGTCCAGAATGTAGTTTTATTAAAGACTTTGGAAATATTCGTATATCCAACGAAGTAAGGAAATTGTTGTTTATAGAGATCATTTTCAATGAGTTTAGACGTGTTAAACTATAGTCCATCAAAGAATGAATTCTATTAAATGATAGGTCTAGATATTGCAGATTTGGTAACAGTTCAAAGAATTTCTTAGGTAAACTGGATATGTTATTATGAGACAAAGTGAGATAAATAATATTTACTGTAGTTTTGTCTGCTACACTTTCTACTGTATGAATATGATTATGGCTAACATTTAACGTTAATAATGTAGGAAGTACTTTCAGTAACGAATCATCAAAAACTGTTAGTTTATTTTTAGAAAGATTTAAATCTTCAAGATTACTCAAATCTATAAATATGCTTGTATGTATCGTTTCCATAAGATTTTCAGATAAATCTAAACTTTTCACAGGTTTTAATTTCTTCAGTAGATGTTCAGGTAAGTTACTTATATTATTATTTGATAAAATAAGTTTGTTGAGTGATCGATATCCATTTAATGTTAGCAAATCAGCAATTAGCATATCATTGTTTTCCAAATCTTTTCCATGGCAATCAATAATAGGCCCTTCGTTTACTGAAATATACCAAATAAATGTAGTATTCAATTAATACGCTATTTGCGAATGCATAATTTTTTTTTTTTTTCTTTCATTTAGAAATATAAAATAATTCAACTTACTTGCAGTCAAACACAAACATGTTGAACATATTTCACATGCAGAACGTTGTGTTATACATAAAATATAAAATCCAATTAAATATAAATGAATAAACATTATATTCTTCATTATGTTCTCATTATATTATAACTTAATACACATTAACCACTTGCAACAGTTACAGTATGATTACTATTACTCATATTTAGGGTGTAACATGCGTTCGGTTTCAGTGATAACATATCTGATAAACTTGGCAAGTGAATGTGTATCTATTTCATCCTACATCATACTTGGAATCAGATAATTTCAGTTTACAGATAAAATATACAGAGTTGATTTAATAAGCATTATATAAACTACTTGTAAAATAGTAATTTTTTTAAATACTTTATACGCAATATCATCTCTAAATTAAAAAAAATAAAAAAAAGTACATACTCAGTATAAATTGTAAAATATGTTATACTTTTTTGAAAAAGTTCATTAGAGTTGTTTGTTTATTATTTTTCTTCCCTTTTATTTCTGGATGTGGTTCAGGTACTACAGTTTTCTTTGATTCTACAACTTCTGATTCATCCTCGGAACAACTTTCATAAACATGCACTTTTTTTGTTACAAGAAAGCCATCTTCTTCAAACGTTTGATCTACTGTTTTCAAAACTTTACGTTTTCCGTTTTCAACTTTAGCCTGCGGTGGAGTATCAGAAGATACTTTTACAGGAGGAATAGTTTCAGGTGAAGATTCTTTTTTTCGTTCTTCATCAGATATCAGTTCCACATTTTCTTCTTTATCATCCGTATCGCTGGAATCACTCTGGATTGTAATGCGTTTTCGTCTTTTTGTAGCAGAACTAATATCCTTGCTTCGATTACGTTTCTTCCCGTGTCGATTTTTATTTCGTTCTTTCTTATTTTCTAAAATAGTTTCTTTTTCTGTAATATCTTTTAATACACAATCGGTATTTGTGTTAGATTCTGGAGATGCTGTATTTTTAACTTTTTCTTCAATTTTATTTTGTTGGAGAAAGCTACTGAGCCCACCTTGTGCATTCTTTTTCTGTGGTTTGGGTACATCTTCCTTTGACAATGTTTGCTTTGTAGAATCTGTTTCTACTTTCTTTGTGTTAGACAATGTTGAAATAGTTTTCTGCTTATTAGCAACTTTCCCAAAAAGACTATCAAAGCCTTTCTTCTGAGCATTTTTCTTTTTATCCATTGATTTTTTCTCTGGGCTTATTTCTTCTTTCATTTTGACCGGTTCGGATACATAGTTTATTTTTTCTTCGGAAACAGGCTGTACTTCATTTGATTTTGCACCCCAGCGTAATATATGCATTTCCTCGTTACTGCGTTCGTTACTTTCGATACATTTAATTGCACTATATCTGACGTCTCCATCATCTGTCATTTCCAGTAACTGTACTTTAGCAAGTGCCTTTTGAAGGCTGTAAATATGTTCGGATAGAATTTTAGCATATTTCTCTTTGGCTGTAGCTAAATCCTTTTCTTTAACAACTTCAACACGCATGCCATCATCGTGTAAAATGCCCATCAATAAGAAAGTACAATCAAAACTTTTCTCTTCTTTGTATCGTTGCCAGAACTTCCATAAAATTTGCTTGGCCATATCAACATGAACTTCCAGTTCTTTACTTAACCACTTGTAAGTTACCTAAAATTATTTTGAACATCAAATACTTTAAGAATATTTATGTTAAAAATTTTGAAATTTCTGTAAGGTTTGAAGGATGAACAATCTGAAGAATATTAAATAGAGATACTTACCACTTTATCATCATCAAATATATATCCAGCTACAGTTTCTAAATATTTGTCCAGCGATTCTATAATCATATTTAACTGAATTTTTATTGTATCTCTAAATAATTATAAGTTTTGTGTTAGGTTATGTATTTCTTTCCTTAAGGGCGCCAAACGGTTTGGAGTTTTCAAGATACCAATTATTCAAAGATCACTATGGTATGTATGCTGAAAAAAATTTGTTATTTTTCAAATATTAATTTAAATAACAAGAACATCTATATAATAAATGAAGTTTCCCTAATCTTTTTGTATTAAAATTTCACTTTATAAATAAATTAAAAAATCAGAATACATTTATTGACAGTATATTTAATCATTGATAAATTGACACGGTGTTAGAAAACAATTATGTGTCATTTTAATATTGTATATATGTACTTTATTTACATTCTCGTAAAAGGATTTGAAAATTGACGTTTATTTTACTAGACGTTATAGTAGAATATTTATATCATTGTGGCAATACTAAGTTAGTGAACATTTTTTCAGAACGCAAATTTCATCAATTAGAAGAGCGGGCGTTCTTATGACAAACAAAGTTAATTGCCGGATGTGCAGGTTCCTCGTGGTGATCCGTTTATTCATTGCAGAATAAATTTGAGTGATTGCTATAATATTTTGATGATAATTGAAAAAAAAGAAGTATGGTCTCGGTAATGCAGCCATTCATGGTGAGTGGACAACATTGAAAAGACAAAACTCGTTACCGGTTTATCTTCTGCTTTTGACAATGGCAATATATTTTCTTATTTTCATCCTGACATTCTGAAACGTAAATAACTGATTATATCATAGGATGTTGAGAGTTCAAGAAGTTACATCGATGAACTGTACTCCCTGGATCCTCAAAAATGCTTAGAGGCTATTATGTGAGTAAAAATGGTACTTAACCTCTGAATTTGTTTACTAAAAGTTTTCCTGAAATCTGTACGTTATCATTAGTTAATATTTCTATTATAATTTTTAGATGCCTTAAGAACTCTGTGATTGGAAGTAACAGACAGAAAGGTTCGGTAATAGCTCAAGGTGTAGTACCTCGTTTATTACAACTTCTTGGTGATTCCGCTGATAGAATTGGAGATAATATAAGATTGGAGGCTGCTGTGACCTTAGGTTCTCTAGCCAAAGGAACAGATCAACATGTACTGGCACTCATAGACCTTGGTGTAGTGCCGTTGCTTTTTCAGGTTATATTATCTACACCAGTGTCAGAGACACCCTTAGAAGGAAAACCAAAAGTAACAGATTTGTTAAATGAAGCGTGCTTGCGTTGTTTACGTACGGTATTTCAACATCCAGCAGCTCCGGTTCACTCCATATATCAAGACCCTGCATTGGTACCAAGATTGGTATCTTTAGCGAATCAATCTGTTACTTGTCAAATTTGTGTAGCAACAATTTTAACAACAGCATGCAAGGTAAAGTTATAAAAATTCTATTACACGATCAGCAATAACGATTTATATTATTTTTATTAGACAACAGAAGATCAAAATGCATTATCAAAAGGTGGCGCAGTGGAGACATTAGCAATGCAATTGGATTCGCCATTACCTGATGTACAGTTATCAGCTTTGGCTTGTTTGGCTAATATGTGTTATAAAAATTACAGGGTATGCGTTATGGTCGCTTCGGCGACTACGAGTAACACGCCGCAAGGTAGACTCGTACCCGTAGCATTAGGACAATTAATGGGTCGCGAGAAGAGCTCCTTAATTCAACTTGAGGCTGCGAGATGCGTCACATATATGCATAGAACCGGGGTTTTGTTGTACAAAGATCCAAGAATTATATACCGAGCCTTGCCCTGTTTAGTGAGACTCTGTCACAGAGATCATCCTCCTCGCGAAAGAGTGGCTGCAGCTGAAACTTTAGCTTTTCTTACCGAGGTTAATACCGAATTACAACGTCTAGCTTCCATAAGTAATCATTTAATTCCTACACTGGCAGAACTTCTACGACCTCATCCGCATGTAAGTATCATGGTACTTATTAATGTATCTATTTGTATGTATATCGTTATTAATATCTTCCAGGTACAAGATGCAACGTTAACACAAGATATGCGACAAGCCGCGTTCAGAGCATTTGCATCTCTCGGTGCTAACGACGAGGATATTAGAAAACGTATTATCGAGACAGAGAGTCTTATGGAACAAGTGGTAGCAGGTCTTCAGGATCCTGGAGGTTCTCATGTACGTTTAGCAGCAGTTAGGTGTTTACATTCTCTTTCTAGAAGTGTTCAACAACTGAGAACAACTTTTCAAGATCATGCCGTTTGGAGACCATTGATGCAATTGTTACACGGAGCTGATAAAGGATTAGAGGGTAAAATATGATAATAAGATAATAAGTATTTGTTGGAGAAAATTTCTTTATATGAAACATCTATGAAAATATTTAATACTTATCAACAATTAGTAATGATACTTATTATTACGTAGTAAATACGTTTGTATTATATAGGTAGAGGCGAAAGCGAAGTTGATTTATTAACCGTTGCTTCAAGTACTTTATGTAACTTATTACTGGAATTTAGTCCGAGCAAAGAACCGATATTGGAGTCTGGAGGAATAGAATTGCTGTGTTCGCTTACAAAACGGTGTACACCAGCGTTACGATTAAATGGAATTTGGGCTTTAATGAACGTGGCTTTTCAAGCCGAGCAACAAGTGAAATTACAAATTTTACAATGCCTGGGAACCGATCAAATATTTTGCCTTCTGGCGGATCAGGACATACCTGTTTTAATGAAAACGTTAGGTTTATTAAGAAACTTGCTCTCTACAAAAGCACATATAGATCGTATAATGGGAGAACACGCAGCGCACGTTATGCAAGCTGTCATATTAGTTTTAGAAGATCCAAGACATCCGGCAGATGTTAAAGAGCAAGCTCTCTGTATTTTAGCAAATGTAGCTGATGGTATTCGAGCAAAAGATCATATTATGGCTAACGAAGACGTGCTTAAAAAGCTTATGGATTATATGGTGTGTGAAAATATTACTTTCTTATCTTCTATAATACATTTAATTTTCTTTATATTTTCTCTTTCCATATTAGGAATAATACGACATATATCGGTTCCTGTTTGATATTTATAAGCAACACTAATATTTTATCAAAGTAATAGAAATTTTATAATTTCTTATATTCATTCAGATGCATAGTAACGTGAAGCTGCAGGTTGCAGCAGTCTTTTGTGTGTGCAATCTAGTCAGGAGGGAAGAGCCTGGTGCTGCTCAACGGCAGGCACGTTTAAAAGAATTGGGTTTTTATCGTATTCTACAACAATTACGGCAAAGCAAGGATCATCAATTATATGAAAAGTATGATAATACTTTTTTAACATCTTATCATTTTAACAAGGCCTTAAGTTATAAATGTTACGAAAATATTTCTGATTGTTTTCAGGGTCAGAACTGCCGTAAACGAATTTTACGATGCCTAAATTTCAAACGTATTAATGAATAAAGTGAAGTTTTGATTGAAAATTCTTTGATGCGTGAATTACAGTTATATTCAGGTGTTAACACTGTGATCCTGTACTTTTTTAATGCATAAGCATTTTATATTTATACAGAAAAGATATAAAAGCAATATCTCTGGCGATGTAACGTGCTTATGTTGTATTTATTTAATTTAAAAAGAGAAATGCAGAATATGATATTTCAGTATATTGAAAAAAGGTACGCATTACACAATAATTGTATCATAAATTTTCTAAACATGGATTGTTTTTATACAATGATAATATTAAAGAAGTTTACTGAAAAGATTTTAACTGTGAAAGTAATAACGAATTACAAATAGGAAAAATATTTGACTAGTATGTTTATAAACTATCAGATCTTATTTCTTTGGTGTGGTAACTGAAAATGATACAAAATTTAAATATTTTTGATTATCTTACAGTTTTCATTAAATCTTAAAAAAGCTCGGAATGTTAAGTTTTAAATTATAAATATTAAGTATCAGTACAAACACAATGAACAAATAATGTCTGAACATTGTTTGAAAAAATAAAAACGTATGCTCTGACTGTTGCTATAAATTGCAACTGAATATAAATAATAATAGTAATAATACATTATAACCGTTTGAAAAATTCAAGCAGATGCATTGCTGTCATTAGAAAGATTTTCCATTGGATTATTAGCTAATGGGTCCAATTCAGCAAATAAGTCCAACCATGAATTACCCTTTTGCTTTCCACTTTTACTCGATTTCTAAAACAAACAAAAAAATCGATGGATAATTACAATGAAAAGGTAATATTTAACAACCAATAAATACCATTAATTTTTACTTACTTTGTCACCTGTGTTAGTAGTAAGTATACTCTTCTGTCCAATACCAAGTGCCGCATCCCCTAAACTTTGTTTCAAAATATTTGGTGGTAAAAAAGTATCATTAGACATTGCCGCCTCCCATTCGCTTTCAGTATTTTGTTTATCGCCAAATAGGTCATTTAAAAGAACGATATTTTCTGATGTGAGAGACTGCAACGATTGTTCCCCTTGATTTTGTACTTCTAAAGAAAAATCAGTCAAATCAAAGTTTGTATCTGATTTATCAAATATGTCCATCGTTAAACTTTCGTCAAATGTAATTTGATTTCCTTCTTCTGTACTTTTAGTTGATTGTTTATTGTTACGACACATATTATTATCTAAAGTTAAACTTTTAAAAAGTTCATCAACATCGTCTTTATGCTCTATGTTAGAAGTGGATTCTGTGACTCCGTTCTTTGAAGAACTAGAATCCATATCTAATCCTTCTAATTCTAATATATTCTTCGTTTCACATTCTATGTCTAATAATTTTTCATCCTGTTTGTTACTTTCAACTGTGCCTTGTGTAGTAGGTTTAACTTCTTCGGCCTCCTCGACATTATCATGAAAATCCATATCAAAAAATGATAATCTGTAACAGAAGATAACATCATTATTCTAATTACTAGTACTTTTATTAAACTAATAACTTACTTGTCTTTATCATCAAGATCGTCATCGCCTCCTGTTTCTTGGGCCAGTTTAGTCGAAGTTTCAGCAAGCTCTCTTACAACCATGAAATCGTATCGTTGATAGCCTTTAAAACTGCTCGCTATCGTTGAATATGCTTGGGCAGATTTTTTAGTAAAATTCAGAAGCGTGCTTTGATATAAAACCAAGGCATGACTGAACATGTTACATCTTGCTGCTGCTAATAGATCTACCTTTTGAAGACAATCCAAAGCCAAGTTGTCAAAGACTATCTTCCCCCTGAATTAATATAAATATGTAAATACATGAAATTAAGTATCGAGTACTGTTAATAAAAAAATATATATTCTACTTACTGTCTAACACGTGTTTGAACTTTGCGAAATCTTTCCAGCTGTTTCGACGTATCTGGATCTAATTCTTGGGAGATGTTCTTCATCCATGACAGAGCTGCTCTGTACTCTGTGCGAGATTTTTCCATCGCTTGAACCTTTTGCAATGTATCTTCGATAGCTCTTTGCCTAAACGTTTCTACTTCTTGATATAAACGGCCAAGCGGAGCTCTGAGGGCAAGCCTTTGTTGCCCGGAATAAGACAACGATTTTCCAACTGCTGACATCATCTTGCCGGCTCTAGTTTTGTCTTGTTTACCGGCATCTTTCAGAAATCTTCCCATTGCATTCTCTTCCTGTGCAAGGGCTATGTAAAATTTTACATTATAATTATCTCTGTTATTTGTTAATTTTTCTTTTCTTGAATAATCTAAACTTACTACATAATCTCTCTTGATATTTGTCAATAACCCTTTGCAAGTAAGAGCAAGACTCTTGAATACTACGAAATAATTCTAATTTGGCATCCAACTCTGCGTCAGATGCTACTATACAATCATCTTCTTTCTTTCCCAATTTTCGTGACAAAGCTTGCTTGGTGACCCAAAACTGATGTTGCATTTTTGTTATAGCAGAATCGTCATGCATGTTGGTTCTCTGTACCCAACAGTCAAAAGCATTCCCTGATACACCTGATCCATTCTTGTTACTAAAAATGAAGAACATGTTAATGTTATTAAGAATTCTTCAAAACACAATGAAAAATATAAAAATTAATATACAATTGACATTATAAATTTGTAGGTAGGCACCTTACCTATAATGTTCTAATGAATATAAACTTTCTTAAACAACATAATTTTATAATAAACATTATAGGACTTACTATGTATTCATGGTGAAGATTATTAGTTTAAAATGGGAATTGTGGTTAACGTTTGTGACCCAAAAGTAACTTTGAAACGTTATTTAAAATAACAAATCATTTACACGTATCATATTTATTTAATAAACATATTTAATGGTCTAGAATGAATTAAACACAGAACGCTTAAGTTTTAATGGGTGCAAGAATACGAACACATCCTCTTCCTGTCAACTTGACAGAAGCAGATAACCACAGATAACAAGAAGCCCCTTTAAACTTTACTCAGTGACTGTAGATAAAAAAAGACTGCACATGCCTTTGTTCTCGAGTAATCTTGACTTTAGGGGTCCTAAACATCCCCGCGTGAGGTATGGATGAACAGAACATAATTGGTATGACAATTTTGCTTGTTTTACCGATCTCTCTTTTGCTACACCTCACAATCACAATTGGAGAACCACAATCTTGAGTCTCATTGATTCTATTCTTTGGAAACTAATCAGAACAAGACTGAAAAAATATTAAACAAGTTGTTTGACGAATTTGCATTTTAAAAAGCCCGCCATGAATTGAATATATTTAAAATTCGATGCTATCGCCATCTATAAAAGAATGGCGGAAACTATTCAACGACTTACCGACAGGGTTTCCGAATCAGGGAACACTAGCGCCATCTATCGGGAATTCGCGGAAACTATTTGCCGAATAGTTTCCGCCGTTCTTTTATAGATGGCGATAGCATCGAGTTTTAAATATGATTGATGGCGGGCTTTTTAAAATGCAAATTCGGTAAACAACTTGTTTAATCATTTCTCAGTCTTGTTCTGATTAGTTTCCAAAAAAATAGAATCAGTGAGACTCAAGATTGTGGCTTAATTTTTAATCTTTGAATTTGATCAAAATAAATTTTGAAAAAACTTGAATTAAAAATTGCAGATTATCATAATAGTCTGTATCGTGTTTGTGTTTGTAATTTAAATAAACAACTGTATTTATAAAAATAATTCATTCGGTAGAATGCAAATAATTTTGTTAGTTTCAAGGGATTGTCTAAAAAAGAGATAAGTTGTTCCATCTGTTATTTCTAGGTCGCTGTGACAAGCATAGATTATGAGGAAAAACAGCAAAAAGGCAATGGCGGCTATTCTTTAGGCGACTATTGAATTTATTATGAAAAATTTCGGAAAAATGTGATCTACGTGTTGATTGAAGGAAAACATATTCGAGGTATGTGTTAGTCAGACTTTCGTTAAATTTCCGAATCTGACAATCAGTTGCAGTTAATACATTCCGATGGATGCCACATGCAACCACATGTGGATTTAAAATTAACAAATACTTTGTTACAAAAACACAATTAATCATGAAATACAATTTTATTAATTTTAAACAGTATCTTAAGTGTTTCCTATCAAATTTACTAACTATAGTAAAAGGCACAATACAGGATTGTATTTCATTCTTACCGCATTTGTATTATATCTTTTACTTAATTAATTATATTTTATCTGTAATCCACGTAACAATGGTATGCTAATTTTATTTTTTATTCAAATCAACGTGTTTTAAGGTAATGGTATTTTCGAGTGGCTTGTATAATGTATATTATAACAGGATATAGGAGGTTTGAACCAGTTATGAAACAAATTCGATTCTTAGAAATATTATTATATATCGTATAAATGAACTAATAAGTATATATTTAATATATAAGATTGCAATTTGTATTTTCTCCTATTTTTTAAATATTATTATTATGTTAAATAAAATATTTTATTTCTCTATTGAATTTATGTACGTATAATTTTAAATGATTATGTTACTTTATTTATATGGTTTTGATTATTTTGTTATTGTTATGTTATTATATAGAATAAATTATTTTTATTTACAATTGCGTTTGTTTCTTTTGCTTTCTTATCATTCCTTACTCTTACTGTTTTGCAATAGAGTAACACGTATAATTAATTGCTTTATTGTATAATGTCAGGTGTGGCCCAAAGGCGGAGGGATGATATTGCTCCTAGGAATAGAGATGGCACACAGTATGTGCAGACAATGGCTGACAAACAAATAGAGCAGTCGCTGAGTTCAATGAGTAACGAATGGTTGTTGATAGTAGATCAGATAGGAAAGATCGTCGGCTGGCAGGAAGGAGTAAAAAATCGAGTGTGCCTAAGTAATGAGCGAGACTCGGCATCATCTTCACTCGGTTTCGGACTTGTATGCAGCCGACGAGATAGAAGTACTTTTGTTGGAAGAAATTCGTGACCTGGAATTACCTGCCTCTGCGTATTCTAGACCTGAGGATATACAAGATTTTGACATCGGTATCGACTTTCTATATATTTTATATACTATTCAAGAAGTTTGATTTTGAATATATACATATATATATAGACCTGATACTATATTAATAGCAGGTAGTAGGACAGGGGGGCAAATTAGCTCCCAACCTTTGGAGCTGGATTCACCAGGGGTCCATTCGACAGTCCATTCATGGGACTCGCATGCTAATTATCATGGTCACTATGGCTATGGTGATCACCATGACACTTCCTCCAATGCTTTGGCTTGGCCAAGAACAAGCCATTTGGTTCTTTACTGTGACATACAGGGACATCTTAAAACAGCTATCGGCGTTGTTAGACTTTTACTGCTTGTAAGTAATATTTATCATTCATCCAGGGGGGGTCTCTTTCTCTCTGAACGATATTAAGTTAAATTGTTTGCATAGATATCATCTGCAGCGTGTTTGGCAACATTATGCAGCTCCGGCACTGCCAAGGTCAGCTTATTTATGTTGCCTTTAGTCGGGCGGCTGCGTTTCATGATCTTTGTAGCAGTTTTCTGTTTTTTGATCACTGCATTGCTCCTCTTCCTTGATATTTCGCATGTTATCTATGTTTTTCCTTTCAATTGGGCTAAATTGGTAAGTAATCAATGATTTATTAAAATTTCATTTGTTTCTATATATTAATATTACATAATTAAAAGTATCAAATCAATGAATATATATATATATATAAATATATTTTAATATATTTTGACACTAATATATCTGATAGAATCCACCTCTTATAGAATGCTTGGGTATTCACTGGTATAGGCTTATCTTATGCCTTGAGTAGTGCGTTATTAGCATGCTCCATATGGGAATATTACAGTGGAGGTTGGGTACCAAAACGCACTCGTTCTCAGTTATCTGCTGCGGCAGTACTTGGATTATCATGTGCTATTTTAGCATTTTTACTTTCATGGATACATGGTCGCAGTAGATCAAGTTGTAGGAATCCAGATAGTCGTAATCATACACCGACGCAACTTTATAAACCTGTTGATAATTCTTCCTCTTCTGGAGTAAGTGTTTTACGTATCACATTATAAACCAAAATTTCAGGTGTTATTAATATATAATTTTACCTACGACAGGTTACTCTGAAAGAACGAAGCCCTAAGAGGCCAGATTCGTGGGTTGTAAAGAATCAACAGTCCAAGAAACAAAATACAGATAGTGATACAAATACAAATAATGGCCATCACGGGAACGATACTCATTCAAGATATAAACAAGCCGCTAAAAGAAAGGATCATTGGGCTTCTGCGAGACAGCATTTCTTACCCTCCGAAGAGAACAATGAAGATATTCAAAGAGATGATGTTAACACCGAAAGGAGGAGAAGAAGACGAAGAAGAAACGGTGATAGTAGTTCGACAGGCGATGGAAATTTAATAAGTAATAAAACCGATAGTGATCATATTATTGAAGATAACAAACCTAGACGAGTGCCGCGTAAACTAGCTCTCCAGTCGGTAGAGCAATCACGACCTTGGCCTGGTGCTGAACGCGGTAGCAGTAGTTCAATGCAAATTAGAAACAAAACTTTACAAATCCCAGTGAACAATAACGCACAGGATTATTGTGGCATAGATGAATCTAGTTCGATGCAAGTGACTCAAAATGGTTTTCATTGGGAAATGGAATGTACATCTAGTATCAGTATAGAGAAAACAACAACAGAAATAGCTATGGATCGTACTGCCATGTGGTCTGGACAATGGCATCCACCACCTGATGACGTTCAACCATGTTCTAGTAAAACTATTGATCCTTACAGCTTTGCCTGATCAAATTTCGAAAATGTATAAATATGTTCTAGATAATATTGGACTCATTGCAGTGAATGACTTTTGGGAACAGTTATATAGTACAGAAGTTTCCCTTGGAACAAAATAGTTCCATAATATCATACTTAATTTTACTTTTTATTCTTTATGTTAAAACAATAAATGCAATATTTTATTGTTTTATCTATATGTTATTTCAATCATGAATTTATTGAATGAAATACGTTTCAAATTACGTCTAGTCATGTTAATTTCAAGGTAGTGCACAGTGATCACGAGATACTCTATTTTATCATCTTCTATGTCTGTTTTCTTGTTCTCTGTGCGTAAAACAATTTGTTACTTTTTTTTTTTTAACATAAACTGCTGATCAGTTATTTCGTATAATTGTGTAAAATTCTATTCCACAATTTAACAAGGGGACACGAAGGACAAAATTGTATCTGAAGATTTGAGAATCCTGTATAAAGTTATTGTTGCCTTGTATATTATGCTGCCAAGAAGATAATTTATCCTTAGTTAACGATTTTTGACATTTTGCATCACACAACCAGACTGCCCAACTTTGATATACAGACAATGTCGTCTCATTCCAATTATATAATAATTAATAAACCTAAATAATAATGGGATTATTTGTAAGTATAGTTTTTACTAGTATCTCAACACTAAAGTATTTCTTTAGATATTATTTTTATCGTACTTTTAATACCAATATATTTTAGTTTTATGTATACTAAACAATTCAATAGTGTTGATAAAATAATATAATTAAATTTACCAATATATTATTTTGGTCATTGTTAAATTTTTCAATTTAGATACAATTGTTTTCTTATTAGAATCAGTTCGATTATGATTATTATATGACAAATCAGTATGCACGGAACAAACGTTTAAACTGTGTTATTCCAACTTCTTAATATTAAGATATGCTCATTAAAATAAATATGATTGTTGCACAGAGATGGACATAGAAATGAGTTTTACAAATATGATTAAAAGAAGCAAATGTTTTTCATGATTGTAATATAGTGTAATACAATATTTTTTAGTGCTTTATAAAATGATGATTCAGTTTTTAGATGCTTATTTAGTTTAGCAGTCGAAGGACGGTCCATCTCTATTTTTGTAAAAGATACAAGCACTATTTTCAATCCCTACATGTAATTTAAAGACAATTAGACGAGGAATATAATGAGCAGCAGTGAGATTCTGTTACTTCTTTACTTTAACGAAAATTTCAAGTCATTTCTAGTCCAGTACTCTTGTATAATCTTATCTCTTAACTGATTCATCAAAGAGAAAAGTAATTTTTAGTACATACATATCGTATTAGAGGTACAATTTATCTTGAAAGTTATTAAAAACATTGCATTTTCTGACCGATTGGTCCTTAAAATCTTTTTGTTTTCTGTATAAGAAGTGACATATAAAATGAATTACATTGGGACCTCTGGTTTCTTCAGTTAATTAAAATCATTATAATCACACGTATATAAAAAGTAACTAATTTCAACTAGGTTCATAAGCGACAACTATTTTGTCTTTTGATACAATATTAGAGTATACACCCAAATCAGACATTTAATTACATGTGGGCGTGTTTAACGCGTCAGTTGTTTAATCAATTATAAGAAAAAAAAGTGTGTGTTTATATAGAATCATACAACAAAAAAGAGGATAATATATATTATAGTAGCTTCGTTGTGGTAAACACAAATAATTGTAATTTGGTTTTTTTTTTTTTATTTATTAAACACAACGAAGGAATAAATGTAATTTTTCTTATACACAGTACATATTGATGTACTAATGAAGTGTTTGGAAATACAAATACATTTCATAAGAAAAATGTTGGATGGAAATGTTACATAGTGCAAGATATTTAGCTTAAAAGTTTACCTAAAATGATAAAAAAAAAAAAATATGTATGGACACTGCCAAAAAAAATGTAATGCTCTTTGAGTGTCATGTATGTCAAACAACTTTGTTACTTTTCGGTAACATAGTATTTGAGGCTTTACCTCGCTACAATCTGCAATACCTCATAATAAATGAACTGTTAAACTTATATTTAGTACGTGAATCTACAACACTGTTTAATATATTTCTGTATAAACTTTAACCGAAAACGCTTCAAATTATAGCACAAATATTTAAATAACGTTTAAATAGGATGCAAATTGGTTTCATCTCTCTAAAAGGGTTGTTATTATTTTTCTCTAAATAAATTCACTCTTTCTTTACTATGAATTAATCATTGATAAAAACTATTAAGATAAGTAGGAATAATTATCTACAATTTTTTTCTGTTTTCAGTTTGTTACCATGAATTTTTTTGTATCTTTTAATTTTAATAATAAAATCAATTAAAATATAAAGAGGTATTTGCATTAAATCTAATGTAATAGTTATTTGATCAAATATTGATATCTTAGGCTATTATTCAAATTGATCTATAAACAAGTATTCATGCTAATAAACAGCAACATTTATTCTACGCACAAACATTATCATTCATTTTTTTTTATATAGCATATTAAAGTAATTATAGTTACCATATGATTTAGTTTCATTTTAAGTTAATCAAAATACTAATGTTGAATACAAATATTATTTTTCAATATAGATAAACAATCTTTGAACAGTGCAATTCAATGGTATAAAGAAAATTTGCTTATGCACATCTACTGTGTTTATTAATCACTATAACATTAGATAATGACAATCCAAAAAAAGATAAATGAACTACATGATGCAAGAACCCTTTGGCCTAACTTTGTTCATTAGTTAATATCAGGAAGAAAGAAAAAATTCTTTGAATACGTTTTAAATAGGTATTGATACCAAGTATTGTGAGCATTGTTAAGATGATGCTATCAATACTAAAGAACATTGAATATCTGATATAATAATATTTCTATTTGTAGACTTTGCAGAGGTAGGTGTATTAAATGTTCTCTGAGACAAGAAATGATTATTGTGAGTTGATAAATGTGGTTGAATAAATTACCAAAAGTTAAATAATTTCAATTTCTAACTTGTTGGTAATTTGTTATACTTCATAGCGATGGTCTGGACAATAACGACTAATGATCCATATAACACTTAAGTTAGTATTGTCGTTTATTCTTTTAAAAGCCATTTTATACACTTAGGAAATAATGAATTAAAACGACTGTTGTATAGTGTATATTACACAAAAGTCGTAAATGCGTATATTATATGTTAATTATAAATAAACCACGAAATGTTAGTAATTAGAGATAAATTTGTTCTATGTTAATTAAAGAAGAAACACGTGTACATTTGTTAATATGTTGTAAGTATTAAGGTTCGATTGGCGTCAGTAAGGAATGATATCCTGCGTATATGCATTTAGAAAAGAAATTGTCACGCAATCGTTCAAAATACAAAAAAATTATTAAAACTATTCGCGATTAATCTAGCATTCATAGTTATTATCTTTTACCAGTGCCAAAAAAAATATATATATATATGTATACTAATACAGATACATACATATACGTACATACAAAAACGTATCAATGTTCTATTAATTGTTGAGACTGGTGTAAGATAAATGAAAGGATGAGAAATTTTATTCAGTCTACTTTCCTAATTCAATAATTTACTTAATGAGTTTTTAAGCTTATAAGCTTAAGCTTAAAGAACTAATTGTTTATGTTACTGTTTCCTGTCTCTTTCAATTTTCTAACTATATCCTCTAATTTTTTACGTTGTACTATTTGCTTCATTTCCTTATTTTTATCTTGTGTGAAACACTGAATATCCACTGTTTTTACATAATGCAATACAGAATTCCTTCTGACGTAAGAATTAAAAAAAAAGAACAAAAAGTAGAATGTATATTGTGTTAAAAGCAATGACTAGGAAACTTACTCTCTGTTTCTTGAAAGCTGAAGTGGAAACTAAAAGAAGAAAAAGTAAGATTAAATAAATACTTTGTAACATTTATATATTCAGGTAATTTGTAATATTCAATTGTATCTCACCTCTTGTGAAAATCTTAATTGTTTTGCTTTTGGATGTCTCCAATCATATTGTACCCAAGTGTACGGAGTATTATACATATTTGATAGTCCTGATTGTGTCACAGAATGCACTGCAAATTGTGGGTTTACAGTTAATTGTTCATGTTTTTGCAACAACTGTTGTTGATACAAATGAGCAGAATAACACGGATCATATTTGGTAGAAGTTTCCACGGATGACAATGCCATGGAATTTGCCACTGCCACTATGAAATAATGTACATAGATATATACATGCCCTTGTTAAGGTTATTTAAAACATTAGTTACAATAATTGCAATAAACCTTTAGCTTTCTGAATATTGAGTAATGTATCATAATATTGTTTTTTGAATGTAGCCAACTTTGTAATAGATGCAGATTGTTGTAAGGTGTTACAATTATTTTGCTTTGTTTGCTTCACTGTATATCTGAATATAAATAGTTTTATTAAGTATATTATAGGTCATTAAAAATATTAAATCTGTAAGATAGTTTCAATAATACTTGTACTGTAAATGTTCTATATTATCCTTTTTTTCACATTCTATTGCTTGGGTTTTACCAATTACTGTGTTCAAATTTCTATGAAGCACTTGCAGTTGTGCTGATTTTGGATAAATATTCATTGATCTTAATGGCTTCTTTTCAGTATATTTGTTTATATTCTCTGATACATTTACATATTTCTTAGTATTTAATAAAAAATCTAATTCATTCTTATTTTCCAGATTTTTCTCAGTTACAGAATCCCAACATTTGGATGTGGGAGGGGCTATATGCACAGATTTGATTTGAGGGAATATTGGAACTTCTAAGTACATTAGAAAAAGAAATATTTGTAATATTTATAATCATTAAATAAACACGTATTCGTAAAACTAATTGTATTACCAATTAAAATTTCCTGTTCTGCACGTTTTAGAAAACTGTATAAACTTTTTTTAAGTTTTCTATGTGCTACAAAGTTATTCGTTATAAAATTATTTTCTTCTAACGTCTGAAATGTTATCGTTTACAACAAATATAGGATACTAAAATAATTGTTTTCATGTATAAATTTAATTGTCACCTTTGAATTCATTACTGTATCTTTTTCTTTCTCATCATAACATACAACATCCATTTTATATATATCTTGTTGAATTACTTGTTCATTTCTCAACTCTTGTACATAATGTTTGTACATCTCCTCATTTATAATTTTATTCTTTTTTAAATCTTGATTTATATCTTCATTGTATACTGCTTTGCAATTCATTTCTGATTTTAAGGAGTATTTACTATTGTGTGTTCCTCTTAAATTTGAAATTCCATTTTTATCCTGCTTATTTAAAATAACTCCATTTTTATAGAATTTTCTTTTAAAATATGTATCATCCTATAATGTTAATTTTAGTTTTACTTAAAAAATATCAAAACCATTATTTACATTTCAATGATAAGTAAATAATTTTTACAAACCTGGTATAATGTACGAGGTACATTAGCTATATTGCAATGATTATAGTTATTAAATTTATCAATTGATAACTGAAAATGTGGAGTCTGAAGCCATTCTAATTTTGACTGAAGCTTTAATGATTCCTCTTCTTCGTTAACATTTGATAAAAAGTTTTGTTTAATATTAATACAAGCTTCTATGTGTGGGATGTTATTATCTAATGTATTATACACATAATTCACATTTTTTACATGACTATGAATCATAGAAATTTCATTAGGAGGGAAACCTCGAAATACTTCTGGTACTGACGATATAAACTGTTTGAGGAAAAATAATTGATATATCAAAACTAAGTTATAAGAATCCTCAAATACACATGAAATTAATTTTTACATTCTTATTTACTTCAAAATTTTGAGAAGATGTATTAACCAAAATATTCTGATTCAGATGCATCTTTGATTTTTCATCCAAACCTTCTGTGTTAAATTTATTTTCAGGAACAGAACTAATTTAAAAAAGCAAGGGTATACTCATTAACATGTTATAGAGACATAGAAAATACTTGAACATACTTTTGATACGCAGCCATATTATTAGCTGATTTAATTAGGTCAATAGTTTTACAAATTATGTCTTTTATCGCAATATCTGAAGCACCTTTTGGCAGTGGTATGATAGAAATGATGTACTCTTGCATATTACTGTCAAAATTTTCAGACAAAACAAGTAATGTTTTCAGTACATGCTCATATGCATTTATACCATCATCAGGATGGTACATACTTAGTAGTTGATTTATTGCATTAATAACATTTTTGTACTTTGAATTTTGCTGCAAAGCAATCCATGAAAATGGGTAATTTTCAAACGTTGAAGCAACATTTACTGTGGTATTCCCATTTTCTTCAATCACTAAAATAAGAAGTTAATTTCAAGTATTAATAAGTTTTCCTTTCTGTACATGTAAAATTAATATAACAATTTGATAAATTATATAATTTCAGTGAAAAAAAGGTTCAAGTGAAACTGATGTGAAATATTTTCATTACGAGATTAAACGTGAAAGGTGTATTATAATTTTAAACACAGTATTTTAAATTCCATTGCTACTTACTATCGGTGGAATTCTTTATTTCCATCTCGACATAAACGTCTTTTTATAAAATGACAGTTTTTCTAATGTAACAAAATTCGTAAATACAATTAATTGGTAATTATCAAATAATGAAAACAGCTGCTTCAATATATTATTGTCGACAATCGAATAACGCGTTTCTGGCAAGTTCGTTTGCAAGTCGATTGAGATCGGAGTTACAAACTGAACTGCAAAACCCATTTTGATTTTACATTAGGTAAGAGATAATATTATGTTATCTTAAATTATAAAAATATAGGGCAAATTTATGTATAGTTCTGGTAAAAAATATTAAATTAAACAACTGTAATATATGTTAAAGTAAAGCAATACAAATGAGAAGGAAATTGCTTTCCCAACTGGTATAAAGGAATTATACTGGCTAATTATAAAACACAAGTGCACTTTCTGTTACAATGGATTATTTTAATGAGAGTATTAGTCTTATATTAATAGTCTTAAAAGCTTTGCATATATTATCATCTGACCACTGCTATAAAAGCAACGACAGAACATAGTTCAATAACTTGATGCAAGATGTTTCTGCTAAAGGATCTATTACTTTTCTCTTATTTAACAGTTTTAATAGCTGGTGCAGCTGTTAAAATTCCAACTAAGACACCATGGACAAGCAGTGCTTCAAAATCTGGTAATATAAAATATTTAATTTTCTATATACGTATATCCATGTAATACATGTTCTAATATATAAAACATATTTTTAGTTTATTCAAGAGCCATTGGACCACCAATGGGAATGGACACTATAACAGTGCCTTACATGTCAAAGTCTCCATTCTTTCCAAAATTTGTTGATCCTAAAATGATGATTTCGAAAAAGACTGACCTATTGAGCAATTTATTTGGAGGTTTAGGACCAGCATATCCTGCAGGCTTTAAACCATACATGCCATATGGTGCTAGTGGACCATCTTTATACAGTGCTGCTGATGCGACACAAATGTTCAATGCTATGAGCAAAAACAGCGCAGATGAGGGCAATGGACCATACAAACGTGGAATTTTTGGACCCTACAGCGCTAAACCTTTTGGTCCTATGAGTTCTAAATTTGGACCAATGTCTAAATATTCAGGCTTGAATACTATACCTGATTACAGTATGGAAAATGAATTCTCCCGTAAAAGGAGAAGCATAGACGAGTCTCCTGTAGCGAAACTCCGATCAATTATGGATGCCGGCATGCCAGAAACAAAGAATTTGGGACCTCCGCCACCTTATCCAACTCTTGCTCCAATTTCTGAAGAACCAGAAGATGAAGTTAATGTATTGCTTAAAAAAATGGGTGGTGGAACAGCACCAAAACAATATTTACCAGGAATGTTTGGACCTTTCGGACCCGTGGTTGATCCATCGATGTTTATGGCAAAAAAGTCTGCGTTCTTGGATACACTGTTTAAAAATCTTGCTACTAGTACCACTCCGTCACCAGCAGATACGGTAACCGCAACTTCTACAGAAAAAAGTACCATCGTTCCACCGGATTTTTGGTTTCCAACGTCAATAATTCCAACTCCAACTGAATATAATGATAAGGTGGAACAATTCATGGATAAATTATTTGAGACTTTGAAGATCAACAAAACCGCGGCATCGAGCGAAGACGAAAGTGCATTTAAAAATGACTTCACAAGATCAGCCACGTTTGACGAAGACGTCGTACAATCAAAGATTGCTAGATCCGCTGAAGATCTATCATCGATCAACGCAGCTAAAGATACAATTGTTGACACTATTCTAGCCGAACTGGGTGACCTGAAGAGTAACATGGTAACAACAATGAACGATTTGATCAGCTATGAAAAAGCTGCATCGGCTGCATCGCCGATGTCGTCAAAAAAGCCTTTTAAATCATTCTGGCCAGGTATGAAACCTGTTCCAAATGGGATGGTTCCCTTTCAACAGAAGATGGCTATCCTAAGTCAAGTATTTGATATGTTAACGGATCTGCAAAAGAACATTACTTTAGCAATACAGAATATAGTAAAAGCAAAAATGAGTTCTGTTGCACCTCAAGGATCAGGAACCTATCCGTCTATGTTGAATGATTTTACCACGCCTGTTAATATGAGTCTTTTGGATGCTATTAAACAAAGATTGGACGCACTTGATTACGGAATGCCTATGGCTTATAATCCAAGTTTCAGTCAATTTGATTCAAAAATGGCTAGATCATTGCCAAAGGGCCCGTCATCATTCTGGGTGTCTTATCCTGAAGATGGAGCTAACATAAAACGACAAGTTGATAGCGATACCGAATCTTTGATAAGTAAAAATGCTAACTCTGATCAAAAGCAACAGGCACGTTCGGTGAAAATGCAAATGCATCAAGGATATCAAAGTTTACCACCTGGTGCTATAGAGTCTGTGCAAGCAGGAGGTGGATCGGTTCCTGGTCATCAAGGCGGAGGAATTAAATTATTCGTAAGTATCTAAATAAAAGAATAAGAAAAACGATGAATCAAAGTTTGTAAAAATTCTCTAGTATGAATTAGATTAAGAAACGTGAGAGCTTCATCTGTTTCCAGATACAAATGCCTGCATTGCCTAATATGCTAGTGCCAGGCTTTCAAAATAATAATTACAAAAACTAGGTACGTGAATTTTGTGTACTGTGAATATCGTGCACATGCTCGTCTGTTGCAGGATGACAATAATTACGACGACACCAATCAATGGGTCAACTGGATGGAATATCTGAAAAATAACTATCATGGGCACAGGCATCACAATCATCATTAGGCTATTGATCCAGCAGGAATATTTCCCATCAATTGTAATTACAAACTTCTATCTTTAAACTGACTATTTTTCGTATACTATATGTCACGTGTACACTTAATAATATTTTCAATAAAGTGAGTTTTGCAACATACATGGTGTCAACAAAAGGCACACTTTGAGAATCTACTATTTTAAAATATGCAAGAACAGATACCTAGAAGATATACGTCGTTTTATTAGATTTTCTATTAGATTTATAATAATACATATAATTTCATTAAATGCAGCAAATGAAACGTATACGGCGGAATCGTCGTACATTCATTCGATGTAACAATATCAGAGATTTCGAACAGTAAAATTAACGTGTACATCAGTCAAGGTATCATCAGCGCACATGGACGCAATCCTGCATCAAGTGCGTTGCTTTGTTTCTCTAATCAGCAATGCATTGCACGCAGGGTAGCGTTAGTGTGTTAGGAAGCAACAGAAGCTATCAATACGACTTGATCACGAAGGAAAAATCTTTCACTCTTACGCGTTAAAGTTTAAGTTGAAATATTTGTACTTAATTATATTTAGCTGCCTCTTATTATAAAGTTATATAAAATGCTGGAAACTGGCAGTACCGGTAAGTGTTGACGTTACACGTCTATTTATTTTAATAAAAAATTTTCAATACTAATATTATGAATAACAAGTCATTGCACGTTTTCTTATTTCCCAAAATTTTCATACTTTACTGTACTGATTGTATCGCACACCATACAAACTGGACTACTATCATCTGCCTTTGGCCACTCTAGATATAAGATGTTCCATTTGTTGATCGATTCTGAACACCATGTAAAAGGACGCCAGTACACTGCTCAACGTAACTAACAGTCCCAAACCCTCGAATATTAATTTTGGCGCGAAGATTTTCCAAACCATTAAATGCCGACAGTGAATCGTTGCGGCAAGCATACTGCCGAACGTCTATAATGTATATGAAGTTATACTAATTAAGTTAATAATTAAACACGAAGCATTGTTTCTGATTCAACTACTTTGAACCGGCAATAAATCTAAGCCATCAGAAATAATAAAAGATCACTTACTCTAATTCCATAAAGCAATATGTATTTCCCTGCAACCGAAAAAATTGCAGCATGAAATATAGAATCTTGCTCGAACAAAAGTAACTCTCCTCTCTTCATGTCGTCTTCAACAAACTTGACCTTGGCTAGTTTTGGAAATACAAGATAAAAAGTAAACGGTACAATCACTAGTAATGGTAATGTTGCACCCAGTATAATATGCGATCCGAAAGTATTTATTCCTGTAAATGATTAATACTTGCTAATAAAACAAACATTTTAAATTAATAAAAAAAAAAGATAAGGCATACCTATTAAGATCGCTGATAGTAAGTTTCCATAAAAATGTCCACCTGTCCCAATGAATGCAGCATCCCAATGAATAGTAGGAAAAGTTGACTGATGTCCAGTTCCATAAAAGAAATATTCTGCTATTAAGAACCAGCACAATAACGTGGGAGTGGGCACTTCTACCAGTTCAGCTGTTTTCAATAGAATTATATTAAAAATATGAAACATTATTTAACTTATTTATTAATTACTGAAAATACTTACATATACTATTAGCATTCTTGTATCTTTCTATAGCAGACAAGCCCAAAACAGAGGCGCAAGATATGAACATTAAAAAAGTACTTGGTGATAGTATATCTCCTAATAGAAGAGAATACAATAGCATAAGAAATACGCTTAACGAGACAAATGTAGCACTGTAGGCAGTTCCCAGGCCATAAATAACTGGTGTTTCGTCTACATCTATATTTTTCCGATAAATTGATTCCTTTATCTTCTCAAACAATCTTGGAACTATATTTTCATCTTGGTACACGTTGATTGATTCTTTTCGTTTTGGCAATAGAAATATACTCAGTGGACGATAGTACAGAATAAAGATTGCAAACAGACAGAGCGCATACACGATATTAGGCAATGTGCTTATTTGCCAAGACAATGCAAATTTTATTTTGATAAATTTAGGAAGTCGTTGAAGAACCCAATAACAACCCATACAAACACCGATTACAACAGGACAGTACTGTCCTACCAGAACACTGGGAGAAAAACCAGAAAGATTTCCACAATTTTGTAACCATAGTCTTATTATTGTAATATACAATGCCAGTACGATTAAGGCAATGGCAAGCAAAACGCGTTCTAAATTATTCGATATTATAGAACCCATTTTGCCAATTACAAATAGAGAACATACACGGGTTTGCTGTTCTTCTCGGCAACGCCAAAAATAGTAAGATAGCCGTATAGAGATGCTTGCTATTAAACCAATAACAATTACAACTGTTTTTAAATTTGACTTTGTTTGTGATTTAAAAAATGGCTTTGTTTTCCTTTCTATACCTTCATTGGTATTTTCTTTTTTCAAATTGAATACAAGAAGCCAGAAAAGTGTAACAAGTAAAAAAGATAGTACATTATCTTCCTCGACAATGTAACTGTTAGAAAAAAGGATGCATACCGTTAAAAGAAGTATTACTCTGCTAATATAAATCAATTTCTT